TACTCCATACTCATACTCCATACTCATAGAAACAAGTGGCTGCGAAATACTCAACCACTACCACCACTTACCAGTAGAACAACCCCAACATATTTTACTCACATTCGTACTTTTCCGACAGATTTTATATCATTTTCCGCCTACTTTCCAGCACCTTCTCCCCTCCTTCACTGCTTTTTCCATATCTCTCTCCCTTCCTCTCTCTTAGCAGACCCCATGCTGTGCAACCACCCCCCATACATTCTAAATCTCGTCACATGACCTTCCACCTCCCGCATCCCATCTCATTGGACGTGCACCCACCGCGCCCTGTACACCGGACACCATCAAATTTTCAATGGCTCATCTCAAATCTTCCGCATTTCTTAGAAAATTGGAAAATTGCAAAGGGCACAAAAAAAAAAAAAGTTATCAGAAGTCACCAGCTACCATCCTTCTAGTCCTAATTAAAGTAACTTTAACATGGCAGGTTTAGATTATCTTCTTTTCGAAGAAGCTACTGGTTATGCTATCTTTAAGGTGTTAATCCAGCAGGATGAAGTCGCTTCAAGACTGAAGGAAGTGCAAGAAGCATCTAGTGATTTATCCAAGTTCTCAAAAATGATTGAGTTAGTTTCTTTTGCTCCATTCAAGGGTGCAGCTCAAGCTTTGGAAAATGCCAACGATATCTCAGAAGGTTTAGTTTCTGACTACTTGAAATCGGTCTTAGAGTTGAACTTACCAAAGGGCTCATCCAAGAAGAAGATTTCTCTTGGTGTTTCTGATAAAAATTTGGGACCTTCCATTAAGGAAATCTTCCCATACGTTGATTGTTTATCCAACGAAACCGTCCAAGACTTCCTCAGAGGTATCAGAGTCCACGGTGACAAGTTATTAAAGGAATTGCAAGACGGTGACATTGAAAGAGCACAATTAGGTCTTGGTCATGCATTCTCCAGAGCCAAGGTTAAGTTTTCAGTGCAAAAGAATGATAACCACATCATTCAAGCTATTGCCTTGTTGGATCAATTAGACAAGGACATTAACACCTTTGCCATGAGAGTAAAGGAATGGTACGGATGGCATTTCCCAGAATTAGCAAAGATTGTCCCAGACAACTACCAATTTGCTAAATTGGCCCTCTTCGTTAAGGATAAGGCCTCATTAACCGACGACTCCTTACATGACGTTGCTGCCATCTTAAATGAAGATTCAGGTGTAGCTCAAAGAGTTATCGATAACGCCAAGATCTCCATGGGTCAAGATATCTCTGAACAAGATATGGAAAACGTTTCCACATTTGCTGCCAGAGTTGTCTCCATCTCTGAATACAGAACCAATTTATACTCATACTTAACCGAAAAGATGAACACTGTTGCTCCAAACTTGTCCACTTTGATTGGTGAAGTTGTCGGTGCAAGATTGATTTCCCATGCTGGTTCTTTGACCAACTTGTCTAAGCAAGCTGCTTCCACTGTTCAAATCTTGGGTGCTGAAAAGGCTTTGTTTAGAGCCTTAAAGACCAAGGGTAACACTCCTAAATACGGTCTTATCTACCACTCTTCATTCATTGGTAGAGCTGCACCAAAGAACAAGGGTAGAATTTCCAGATACTTAGCTAATAAGTGTTCTATTGCTTCTAGAATTGATAACTACAGTGATGAACCTTCCACTGCTTTCGGTCAAATCTTAAAGAAACAAGTTGAAGAAAGATTAAACTTTTACGATACCGGTTCTGCTCCAATGAAGAACTCTGACGCTATCAAGGAAGCTTTAGCTTTATCTGGTGGATCTGCTGATCTTGCCATGGTTGATGCTGACGATGTTGAAGATGATGAAGAAGTTTCTGAAAAGAAGGAAAAGAAAGAAAAGAAAGAAAAGAAGGAAAAGAAGGAAAAGAAGGAAAAGAAGGATAAGAAGGATAAGAAGGAAAAGAAGAGAAAGGCCGATGATGATGAATCACCAAAGAAGAAGAAGAAGAAGTCCAAGGATTAAATCAAAAAATAAGAATGACAGTTCTAATGATTTAACCATGATTGAGAGAAGAGTCGCCTTTATATTCCTATTTAGACTTCTGCAGGTTGAATGCTTTAGAAAGTTCTGTTGTAAAGTAAATATTTGTATTGCATGTTACATTTTAAATATAGTTATAATTTTTCGAAACTTATTTCATTGTAATTGAATTTATATTTAAATTCATATTTGTTCGCTCTCATTCTCTTGTTTTGAACTTTACTTGAAGGCAGTAGGGTTCACTTACTCACACACTTTTTGTTTCGTTACTAAACAATTGCAATTCCTTCTGTTGATTGTTCAGGAACCACTGAACCAACTTCGGGCTGAACTGATACCTCAGCTACTTGATGGACGCCCATCATAGCATTAAGCAAGATTCTCCAAGTTCTGGACATTTCACTAGTCAGTCCCTCTTCAGGTACGGTTTTGATATCGTGCAAGTATCTGCTAATAGCCGTTTCTAACTGGTTGTTAATTGGTTTGAAGATCGGATCTGCTCTGCTAGAGATTACACCTTTGCCATTAGCGTCATAGATGACAGAAAATAAACTAGTTCTTAAATCATTCATGGCCTTGTTAGTGGGCTGAACGACCACAGATTGAAAGTTTTGGTTGGTGCCTTCGATGCAGTGATTAACAAACGTAGAGGTACTTCTGAAGGGACGAGTAACAGGATCAGTCAAATCGTGAGCCTCCAATGTCTTCAAAGTAGGGAATATCCTATCCAATTGATCGAGAGAATATATACCAATCAAGTCACCATTATCCATGATAGTCTTGATCGGCTCTGTGCTTCTGATAATCTTGAGTGTTGGCTTGATAGCATTCTTTACTTGAGTAGTGCACGGAATCGAATAAATTGCACTTCTTGTGGATTGCACAAGTGGGTACAGTCTAGCACGATTCAAAAAGATATCTTTGGTGGATGGAACATCATCAACAAGAGCGGGAGCGGCTTCCATTTCAGTAGTAGTAGAGTTATTGGCAGACATAGCGAAATTATCAAACGCTTATTGATAAAGGTGAAGTTGAATACAGAAGAAAAGAGAAAGAAAAGTACAGTTCAACATCATTTGTCTATTTGTTCCCTTCATAAGAATGGCTGCAAAAAGGGAAAGGTGCAAAGTTCATCCATCACAAATGCAGCACTTTGTTTTTTTTTTTTTTAATTTTTAATTTTTATTTCTTTTTTTTTTTAGTTGTAAAATATACTGAAAATAACACAGAGAGCACTGAAAGGTGCAAAAGTCAGACATTCTCCTGGGTTTCAGTAAATAAAATGGGCTTATGGGTCGAGGATTTAGTCGCGACATAATAACAGCCACATTTCTGTTGGTATCGCCAACTCAGCTCTGATTCGATATAGTTACTCCTATTACATTTTCCACAGATCGGTATTCCATCCCCGCACTCCGAATATGTCGAGGTAATACAAGATCAAACTCCGAACAGGAAACTTTCCCGAGCAATAAGGCGGATAATCTTAGTACGTCCGGAATCGCTTAGAAGTTTAATTGAAAGTAATAAATCCCCGACACTTATCAATTAGTTCTCCGCAATTGATCATAGGACTTATAAAGCCGGGCGATAATCCTCACCACGTTCATTTTTCTTAGCATTTTTGACAATAAGACTGGGTGCAGCAATTTGAAAAACGACAAAAAGTATAAATACTACAAGTAAATTGATAGACCTCGTTGTTAAAGTGAAAAATTAAACAAATAAAAGAAAAAGAAAAGAAAGATATAAAGAAAGCAGAAAGATGTCTAATATGGATATTGAGAAATTAATCGAACAGTTGACAATTGAAGAAAAGATCCAATTGTTAGCAGGAAATGATTGGTGGCACACCTTCCCAGTTCCTAGATTAAATATACCATCGATCCGGATGTCAGACGGTCCCAATGGGTTAAGAGGTTCCAGATTTTTTCAAAGTACTCCCTCGACTTGTTTCCCTTGTGGAACAGCTTTGGCTGCTACCTGGAATAAAGATTTGTTATATAAAGGTGGTAATTTAATGGCAGAAGAAGCCTATATCAAGGGTGTCAATGTTATTTTAGGCCCAACCTGTAACATTATCAGATCCCCTTTGGGTGGCAGGTCATTTGAAACTTATTCAGAAGATCCAGTTTTGTCGGGAGCTATTGCCAGTTCTCTTATTTCTGGGATTCAGGACAAGGACATTATCGCTTGTATTAAGCATTTTGTTTGCAATGACCAGGAGGAAGACAGATTGGGAGTCAATGCTATCGTAACCGAGAGAGCTCTTAGAGAGATTTACTTGAAACCATTCGAAATGGCAATTAGACAATCTCGCTCCCCACCAAAGGCTGTTATGACAGCTTATAACAAAGTTAACGGTGTTCATGCTTCACAATCAGAGGAATTGTTGACCAATATTCTTAGAAAAGAGTGGGGTTATGAAGGGTTGACCATGTCAGATTGGTACGGTTGTTATTCGGCAGAAAAGTCTATTCAAGCAGGATTAGATCTAGAAATGCCAGGAAAGGCAAGATTTCGTACTGTGGATTACCTTAAATTTGTGCTCAGAGTTAATGAATTTAAAATTGAAACTATCGACAGAAGTGTTAGAAACGTTTTAAACTTAGTTAAGGAAGCATCAAAGGCTGGTATCGCTGAGGACTCTCCAGAGAATGAATCTACCAGAAATCCAAAAACCAGTAAAACTTTACAGGAAATTGGACAAGAATCAATTGTCTTATTGAAGAATGACCTGAAGATCCTTCCCTTAACGAAGGACAAGATCAAGGGTAAAAAGATTGCCATTATTGGACCCAATGCTAAAGTTGCACAATACTCTGGAGGTGGTTCAGCAAATTTGAATGCCAGCTACTCTGTTACTCCATATGAAGCAATAAGTTCAAAGCTTAAGAAAGATTACCCAGATGTACAATTGGAGTACGCTGAAGGCTGCCAGATTGATAAATATCTACCAAATATTTTCAAATACACTACAGGAGACATTATTGGTAAATTTTATTTAGATCCACCAGGTTCTAAGAGATCAGGTCCTTTCGATGTACTTCATTTAGACTCATCTGAAATTCTTATACTTGATTACCTTCACGAGAAATTGGTCACTAATATATTCTATGCAACATTTGAGAATGACTTCGTTGCTGATGAATCGGGAACTTATGAATTTGGATTGACAGTTTTCGGAACTGCCCAATTGTTTATTGATGACAAGTTATTCATTGATAATAAAGAAGAGCAAAAAATTGCGGACAAGTTCTTCTTTGGTGTAACAACTGATGAAAAGAAAAATGAAATCTACTTAGAAAAGGGAACGAAGCTTCAAATTAGAGTTGAATTTGGAGCTCCAGGCACCTCTGCCGTTTTCAAAGATCCAACTCAAAAGGGAGCTTTATTCTATGGAGCTAGGATGAAGACAGATCCACAAGTGGACATAGACAACGCTGTAAAATTGGCAGAAGAGCTGGATTACGTTATCTTGTGTATTGGATCCACAAGATGGTGGGAGAGTGAAGGGTACGACAGAACAACCTTAGATTTACCATTAGAGTCAAATAAGTTGATTGAAAGTATCTTGAAAGTTAAGCAGGATACTATCGTTATTAACCAATCGGGTTCTCCTGTTACAATGCCATGGGTAGACCTGGCCAATACATTAGTTCATGCTTGGTATGGGGGAAATGAGTGTGGTAATACCATTGCAAATGTTATATTTGGAGATCACAATCCCCTGGGAAAATTAAGTGTAACATTCCCCAAGTTATTGAGCGACAATCCAAGTTATCTTAACTTTGGTTCCTTCAATGGAGAAGTTTTATATGGAGAAGATGTATTTGTTGGTTACAGATATTACGAAAAGTTATCTAGAGAGGTACTCTTCCCTTTTGGTTATGGTTTATCGTATACTACCTTCAAATTTAAGGACTTGGAAATTAAGACTGATGAAGATAATCTCAATTTGACATTACTTGTTGAGAATACAGGAGATTACGATGGGCAAGAAGTCGTTCAAGTTTATATTGAACAGAGTAATCCAAACATTATTAGACCAGTTAAGGAATTAAGAGACTTCCAGAAGGTTGAAGTAAAGGCTGGTGCAGCCAAGAAAGTTGAAATCAGTATTAGTATTATCGAAGCAACAAGATACTGGGATAACAGCAAGAGAAAATGGATTAGTGAGAAGGATGAATATAAAGTCAAGCTTGGAAATAGTAGTGATAATATTTTAGCAGAAGGTTCATTTAAGACAGAGAAAACGAAGTGGGATTTGTAAGCAAGATATACTACATGAAAGTCGAATATTAGAATAAAAAAAAATGTTTTAGTTTGAGAAATATACGATTAAGTGAAAGAAAGGAAGTGAAAGAAGTAGAGTAAGATACAAAAAGTGAAAATTTCACTGCAACACCGTTATATGCCTTTCGGATAAATCTATGAAATTCCGTCTCTTCGGTACGCATGCAGATGTTTCATGCATAGATCCACCAGCCGCAACAGTCGAACTTAACTAACGTCTAAACTATACCGAAGTGCTTCCATTGCTCCAGTGGAAAAGAAAAGCAACAAATATCACACGGGGTCCTCGCGGCACCATATAGTTAGGGCGCTGTCACGATTTGAACTCGTTCATTTCAAGTACTGAGAGATCAACCTAAACGCTAACTTCGCAGAAGTAAGTAAACATTATGATGAGGCTACATAAAAAAAAAAAACAAAAGAAAAAAAATGCACCCTTTATCATCGAGATTCGGATTGGATCTCACTTGGATCATGCAATATAAGCGATCGTTCTATCTAAATTAAGGTCACGGTTGTATAAGTATTTCAAAGGATACATCATACACACATACACACACACATGAAGAGGAATACGACTAACACATTTCTCCCCGCATGAAGAAGGTAAAATCGAGATGCAGAGTTCTGCTGTTCAACATTTCGGACATACTAAACATTTTCAACAATTCCAGTCTCAGCTAGCCCTACCATTCCATCCTTTCTCCCTGAAATGACACATGTATTTTACATACCATTTTCCCCATTGCCCTATATGATCAACACCACCAGGTGGTCCTGCACACACAGGACGATAAGAAAGCAAAATGCACTTGCCCTTTCTATTTGTCGCACCAAAATGGACAATTTGTAAACATCATTACGGAATTTTCAAAACAGTCAAGGTAGGCACCAAGAGAACACAGAAAGTATAATAATAAAAGAAAAGGAGAAAAAAAAAAGAAAAAGATTCGTGATAGCACAAGCAGAGAATTGAAAGGGGTAATAAAGGACCATCCTACCACTAAAATTAGACAGAATACAGTTACGTTGGACCATTTTGCACCGTATTCGTTTAGTATGGAGGTTGAGCTGAATCTCTCGATGGATAATTCCTTTGAGAGTATCGAGTGTGACGATTTCAAAGTCGATTTCAGTCATTTGATTGAAGATGAAGAACCAAAAAAGAAATCGAGAGCTGGACCGGGGTCCATGATACCGAATATATCATCGATAGACACTCCTAATCTTTCACTTCATGACAACTCAGTGACGAACGACTTGTTCCAAGTGACTAGGGGGGCGCCACTGATGTCAAATTCTTCCACGATGTTGGCTTCCTCACCTCCTCGTAAGAAGAAGAAGAACAAGCATTTTGATATTTTCAACCAACTGTACGATGTCTTTGATGACTTTAGTGACCAAGCGGACGATGACGTCTTTAATAGCAGTCTGCGGTTGAGCAATAACAAGATCGACAAGTTGGTCCAAGAACTTAGTGAAGACGGATTCGAGCTTGACGATCAAGTGAGGACGAGAATATACAAAGGAAGATTCAGAGGTGGAGAATACAACGAGGTTGACAGCTATTTGGATGATAACAAGGAGAATTTACCCTATCCAGATCCATTGAAGAGCGTGCGACACAAGGAGAACAATTCAATCAGGAAGAATAACGTCAACATGATACCCAAAAGGAAGAATGTACTTTCATCGGCCAAGTCGTTTATACCCACATTGAGGCCATTGAGCAATTTGTCGACCAATGTTACTAACTTCGAGCTTCGCAATGATTACGTGAAAGAATTCAACAAGAATAGCAATACTGCTACTACTACTAATAATTATAATAACAATAATACTAATAATGCAACCTCGGTTTCAATGTCTCCTAAGAGGATCTGTGTGCCGAACCACTTGAACTACACCGGCAAATTCAAGCCCTCTATAAAATATTCAAAGTCCCTGACAAACATATACATGGTTGACTCACTGACTGGGCTGATAAACGACGCAACCCAATTTGGAACGGAACTAAATGCTTCAAACTGTGAAGGATTCCCCTTGCCAGAAGATACCAACGAGATTGTTCAAATTCCAACCAATGATGATACAAACAAAAACAAACAGAAGATGGCCATAATCAAAGCATACCACAATAAGTACTTTAACACGGCAAGCTCCGCCGCTTCAAGCCGAGAACTGAAACCGGATTTTCGAATCGGTGGCTTCTACAGTAGTGAAGAATTTGAGAAGTTTCAGAGCTCCATCGATGCAATGAAGACTGGTGTGGAACTAGTCCAAAACGAACCGAAAACGAAAGCAAAGAACAAAAAGGGCAAAGCCAGGGTGAATTGGGCAGAACAATTAGAGTGGTAAATAATAAATATCTAAATAACTAGATGTAGAATTACACAACCGGACATAAAGTAAAACATCAAATAAACGAAGGATATACCTCGTAGCATGTTTCTTGCATTCATCGTGTGTAGCATCGGCCCCATTCGTTTACTCTTTTTGGAACTGTTTTGCTACATGGCGAGGCTGAGACTTGCACTATATGCACTCCAAAAGACACGAGTAAATCGGCTTGACCGACACGCCGTGAAAAATATGAAACCAAGAAGAAACACAGCAAAGGTATAAATAGATATACATAGTTAATACACCGATACATCTAACAGCACAATGTCTACATTCTTTGATCAACTGAAGAGATCCTTCACCGAAGTGGAAGTTACTGACAATAAAATCAATACCAGTGAGTTCTTGGAAGCCGCCGAGTCACTCGTCAAGTTGTTTGACCTCTTGGGTTCTTCAGCTTTCTCTGTAGTTCAAAGTGATATGACAGGAAACATCACCAAAATCCGTAATAAGTTGTTAGAAAACCCAGCTGCTAACGGAACATTACAAGACTTGGTCCTTGCAGAAGCTGCTGGTAAATCCAAGACTGCCACCCAAGGATTGCTCTGGTTGTCGCGTGGTTTGCAATTTACCAGCCAAGCTATGAGAGAAACTGTCAACAATCCAACCACCGAATTGACCAAGACTTTCACTGACGCTTATTCTAAAACTTTATCCAAATATCATGGTATGATGATCAGACCAATCTTCAAGTTGGCCATGAAAGCATGCCCATACAGAAAGGACTTTTTTGAAAAGTTGGGTGCAGACCAAGACAAAGTCAACCAGCAATTGGAAGAGTGGTTGAAGGCTTTGGAGAACATTGTCCAAATCATCATGGATTTCTTTGCCTCTGGTAACTATGGTAAGGGTTTATAGATAGGGAACGATTTCATAAATAAATAAAGAGAAAATTACGTTGAAGTAAGATTGATAGATAGATAGAGAGAGAGAGAGAGAGAGAGAGATACACCTGATGATATATTATCTTATTACTCTTATTACCCTTATTCTATTTCTATGCCTATGTACATCATTCTTCCTTCTTTCCCTTAGCTTCCTGCATCAACTCGTAAAGTTGACCAATCTGTTCCGGGGACATCTTATCCAATTCCAACTTGGAAAGCTTCCCAGACATCCAGTCACCGCCATCTATGCTTCTCAAGTAGTCTTGCCACTGGGTCAAAAACCCAACTATATGCAAGGGATTATCGATCTTTTGATGTGCCTTAAATTCAGCTTTCACGTACATGTCCCCAAGGGCTCTCAAATCTGCGGGAAGAATTTTATGTGCTCTCAATATCCTCTTGTAAAGTTCCAAAGGAGGGTACAAGGGTGCTGTGGCACGCTCTGGACGACGCGGCCTGACTAACCTGACTAAAGTTGGTCTCATCTCTGCAGCTCTAGCTAAAGGTAAATGATTGGTAAGGGAGAGTGGAAAATTTGATGTTAAGCAAGATCCGCAAGGTGTATGACACCTATATGCAGTACCACAAAGGGAAGAGAGTCTATGGGATTGGGACTTTGAGCTGCCTTTAGAAAGTAGCCTGCCATGGACTTCTACGTCCGAGTAACTGTCCTATAATAAATTAATTTAAATACATGTATATATATATATATCCATTTCTTTATTCATTTAAGTTTTCAATTGATTTCTGTTGTGTTTCAATTAACTCTTCTGCTCTTTTTTTTTTTTCCTTTTTCTTTTCTTCTTCTTTTCAAATTTCAAATATTATCTGTTTTCTATTAATAATTTAAGCTAGTTATCTTCTAAACCATCCTCTTTAATCCCATTTAATAGCATACCCTTTTCCACGACTATATCCGATAAATTGCCTATCGTTCTCAAATCCAAGACATTCTTTCTTGATTCATCATTAATCCATATTTTCACAATTCTAATGAGTTGATCTAAAACTTCATTGTGCTCATTGCAGTCTTCTGACACTTTTATAATCACCTTTAATAACAATGTGAATGATAAAAATGACATATCAATTGCATCTGTTTGGAATGAGAAGTACCCCAACAATTTATCAGCTTGCTCAGGATCAGTTGGGTAGTAATATAATACCAAGGACGATGTAAGTATGATAAATTGATCTTGGGTTATGAGGTTCAATGACGATATTAACGATTTTTGATTGGTGAGCTTGTTTTCATTATGGGTATATTCCTCTTCTACTTCGTCTTCGTAATCTTCTTCTTCCAATTCAACTTCATCATCATCATCACCTTCACCTTCACTTGTGATTTCGTATTCATGGGTGTTTTCCTTTGCAACCACTTCTTTATCTTCATATGCAGCACCCTTTTCTTCTTCTTGAGATAATAAAGTCGCAGAATCAGCTAATTCGTGACCTTGTACGAATTTGAAATTTACTAAACATCTTTCAACATCCTTTTGCACTTGCTTTCTCAACTCAAATCCATAGACTTCTGGCTTGATAGCAGTTTTGAAAAGGTTGAAATATTTTGTCAACTTCTTGGAAATATCTGCTCCACCATTTTGCTTCTTCTTCAATTTTAACAATTTGTTGATCTTTTCGGTATCGTTTTCAATTTCTTGGTAAATGGAATTTTTAACTTCATCTTCCAAATCCTTTGAACTTAAAGTTTCTAAATACTTTAAATTGATTTGGTGAGTCAACTCCAAAATTCTCCAAGAAAATATAATGCCATAATAGTTATCAAACTGTTCTTGGTACAATTCAACATATTTTAATCTATTCAGACCATCATTACATCCAGCATTGATGGAAGAATTGTGCTCCAAAATATTAATTAATCTTTTGAAAAGTCCCTCAGAACCGAAGACTGCAACCCCATCCAAATCATGGATCAATTGGTTCAATTTATTCAAGTAGACATCGTCTCCCTTGTATTCCAAGTTGATAATAATGGAAGCTTTTAAGCTCATATTATATTCCAAAAAGGAGCTCAATATTGGGTACTTACTAATTAAGATCTTACCCACTAAAATATTGAGAAAGCAATTTTCAAATGTTAACTCACAACTGGAAAGGTAAACATAGTCGTTTATCAACTTAATATAAGATACTGGCTTAGCCGCCTTACCATTGAGCTTAGAGATGATTTCGCTTTTTCTCTTTTGGTCAATTACATTTGGTAATTGGAATCCGAAATTTATGTAGAAGTAATCCCTCCAAACTTGAACAAGTGAAGCATTTCTCACTTTGCTGTTTCCTTCATCTTCTTCTTCATCTTGAGGATCCACCATGTGCTTAGCAATGAATAGTGGGTAAATAATATTGATTATAGCTCCAAACAATATCAAGTTCTTAAGCATTCCACAGGCTTGTAAAGTCAACTTAGAAGGATGACTAAGAGCGTATGGAATAAACGGTAAACTGGATAAACCTTTGAAGTCACCACCATCCATCCCTCCCCCATTAGAAAACATGGAAGATCCCATAACCGTAGCTAAACCACCAAGCAAAACCTTTTGACCACTAGATAGTTGGTTAGGAATTTGCTGAGGTTGATGATGCATCAGCTGCTGATGTTGATTTGATCTGTACATAGTGTTACCCCCAGAAAAGGATTGAGCGTTATTGTTTACAGTAGTATTGTAGCTTTGTTCGTTCATTCCCGGAACGAAACCAAAACCACCCATACCATTTCCTCTGTTATCATACTGCATATGCTGCTGATGTTGGCCACCTGAACCTACATTGGCCTCTTGAATAATTCTCTGCAATTCAAGATTTTGGTTCTTCAAGATGTCATTCTTCTTTTCCAAATGTTTAATGTATTCTGTGGCTTTAGTCAATACACTGGCCTTGTTCAACTTAGATGCTGGAGTTAATCCTTCCAAATCAGTGATGGATATGTCCTTACTGTCACCAGTAGCTATTCTCAAAGAAGGAACAGCGTCTCTAAGGGCCAAAATCTTGGAGTTGATGTTAGTTCTATATTTCTTCTCAATCATATTATGGGAACACTTGTCTTTCTTCGAAGGTTTGGTGATTTTTGACAGGGTGTTGGTAGCGCTCTTGGGGTTCATTTTAAGTTCATCTACAGGGTTGCCCTCTTGCTTTATGTGGACATATTCTGGAGAAGTATGTGTGGAGGAAATAGAATTCTGTGAAGCTGGGGAGAGTCCGTTGGAAGTTAGTGAGTGGGAGGTGGAATTAGTGGTTGACATTGAAGATGACTTTCTGTCGTTCTGTATGTAGCTGGTGTCGAATAAAGGCTGTACCACATTGCCGAATGCAGAAGCACTAGAATTCTGTTGTTGTTGTTGTGGCTGTTGCTGCTGCTGTTGCTGCTGTTGTTGCTGCTGGAAAGTCTGTTCTTGAACCTGTTGATCTTGCTGAATTTGCAATTGTTGTGGCAAATAAACCTGTGACAGCTGCTCCCACCCGTTAGATGTAGGGGACACTTCGTTATTACTTATGTTATATGGGTTATTGTTCATGTTAGGGTTCACGTAATCGATATTTGGGTCCAATTGCTCCTGGGTCTCAAGCCCGGCTCCCCCCCTAAAGGACTGGTTGTCTTCTCCTGCAAACAGGGAAGGCGAAAGGTTAGGAATACCTTCGCTCAAGGTTTGAAGGAAATCATCAGTGGTGTCAAAGTTGAACACTGGCGGATAATCGGAAAATGTGGCCATATCTGAATCTTTTATCCACTTAGAGTGCGTTAATATTCCCCGTAATAGTTTACTTTCTGGCTATTTTGAGTCTCCTTACGATTTGAACTGTCTTAAGTTTTTTCTCTTTATGACAGGATCCCTAGATGCCTTTATTGAATGTATGTATTTTTTTTTAGTCACTCCCTCGTATTTTTTTCAAGCTATGCAGTCAAAATTGCCTGATTAAAAAGTAAATGATATAAAAAATATAGCGGAAAGGAAAAAGGAAGGTGCGGTTCAAAAAAGGGCAGATTCGGTGGGTTTGAAGGGTAGATTTAGCTGGAAGTTGTTCACGGTTTAACGGAAAGAACTTGGTATAGTAATAGTAGTAGTAAAAAGCTCTGGAAAGTACTCCTCAGATAGAAAAGAAAGAGTGTGTCTGGAATGCAAATGTAGAATATCATGCTTCGGTAAGTGTTTTCCCAGGTAACTGAGCGAGCATATGTGACAAAAATTATCAGGCCATTTTTTTCTTTTCTTTTAGAACATTTTCGCAGGGAATTTCTTTTTTTTTTTTTTTTTTTTTATCCTATTAATTTTAGTCTTAACCTCGTCGCAAGCAATTTGCTTCCTGCAGCAGTGCTACATCCTATTGTCTTTCCATGGGGGTGCATAATTGGTGTGGTATCATAGGTGCCCCAACGGTGGGATAGGGGGTATGTGGGAACTTTCATGACGCACACCCTATCAGGTGTTCTCGGTTATTAGGACCTGAGCGCTCTTTGGACCCGCTCCTCAACGGTGTACGTAGGTGAAGGGTGTCTTAGCAGATGTACTTAGAGAAATTAAAGTGAAGGTTTCCAAGTATTTTTTTTTTTGCTAGGAATGAAGAAAATTGCAACAATTCAAATCTATATCAGCCGTGATTATATGCAAGATGCATCCTCTATTTAGTAAATGGCGCTTTGTGGTGGGACATGGTGATGGATCGTACAATCCAAGAAATTGACCAGTGTTTCATATTTCATATTCTACAAGTTATGAGTACTTACCGTATATTTGTCGTACAGCCCATTGGAAAGCGTGTCTACTAGAAATATGTACACTCGGTAGATTCCGTAGAGGAGTTAAGCCTCAAATATGCTTATACTTCTCCGTACATTTGGCCGCGCGCCAAGTGAGCTAATGAGATGTATCAGAAGAGTAAGAAATGTTGGAAGTGTAAGAAAAGGCTGATTCCAAATTGCTCCGATTTGGACCCTCCGTAACTAGCCGTAGAGTTAAACCTGGGGAGCTAAATTTCAGTAATTTCAGCAGGTGTCAGTGGTATGTGCGGGTGAGCATATATGACATATATGTGTGGATGCACTGATGAATGCCCTGATTACTGAGGATAGGCTTGATAAAAAAAAATTAACGTGGTTGCTTTCAGATTTTAACATAAGGCACGTGAATGCTCCAGCGAATAAGACATATGAAGGTTTCAATAAGAGAGAATCCCAACTTCTGCTCGATGACGATGTCTAAACGTAAGCTATAGGAGACTTATAAAGCTAGAGGGTAGTACATGTTTCATATGTGTTTGCTATAACAACTCTTCAAGCTCAATTAAAGTATTTAGTTAGATGTAAAAAATTCAGATGAGAGCAAATATACAGGACCTACATGAACTATTTGGAGATAAGGACATGTACATGATTTGGTCGCACATCAGCACTTGTTAGTTCTAGATGCATTCTACATTCCTATATATCATACTCAAGATGAACTCTCACGAATGTTGTCAGCGACAGTCCGATAGTGGCCTAATCTTTCCTAGATTATTAGATTATTAGGCAAAAATAGTCTAATGCAGGTTTAACTCCAATTACTCCACTTGGGAACAGCATTCTTTTGTGTGCCGATCACCGGAAAGAAATTTCCAAATCACACCAACATTTTCTGCAATTATTCAAATCTCTCTCTTCATTGATTAAACTATTCCAATGCAATTCTATTATAACTCGGAAATAAATAGCTCTTCAATCCATCATATAAATGTCAGAGATGCCCTCGAGTAGGTATTCAGAATTTTCACATTTCAGAAGTGGTCCCTTGGCCCAGTTGGTTAAGGCGCGGTGCTAATAACGCCGAGATCAGCAGTTCGATCCTGCTAGGGACCATTTTTTTGCTACTCTGCTCCTTCGCCTAGAGACGTTCCAGCACTATCCATCTCTCATCCTACTCTTTAGGCGACTATTCCGGACTATGAAATCTAGATAGCTGCGATCTAAATACTTAGTGCCCTGTTTCCCTCTTTTCACCTTTTTTTTTATAATTTGGGTATATAGCAAAGCATCGTGAAGTATACACCATCCATATGCATCTTACAAACTTACAAACTACTTTCCAACTTATTTCTTTCTTATTTCTTCATTCTCCCATATCTATATCTGATAAATAAAATAATTAATACAAAACTGAACTTCCCTAAAGAACAACGGCTTGGGCCAATTGCTTCTTATAATCCAAAATAGAACCGTTCCATCTAGTGGCAGTCTTGTTTTCAATAACGAAGATATCCTTGGCAACTTTATCCAATAATCTGAAATCATGCGAAACAACGACAACCCCACCATTGAAAGAATTAATAGCTTCAGCTAAAGAATCAATGGTAGATAAATCCAAACCGTTAGTAGGTTCATCCAACAAAATTAAGTTTGGTCCTTCCAAGGCTAATAATGCAAAGACAACTCTAGATCTTTGACCTTCAGACAAAGTGGCCATTTGAGAAGTTTGACCTTCACCGGTCAAACCGTAACGACCTAATTGTTGTCTCCAGTATTGGAAATCTTGAGAAATATGAGGGAATCTGTCACGGACGAATTCCAATGGAGTCTTGGTTAAATCCAATTGATCTTGAGAATGTTGGGAGTAAACACCCAATTTAATGTGTGTATGTTGAATAACTCTACCCTTTTGTGGAGTTAATTTACCTTGGAATAAGTTCAATAATGTAGATTTACCCACACCGTTTGGTCCAACAAGAGCAACTCTTGAATCCATATCGATACCTATATCCAAGTTTTCGTACAAGTTATCTTCATCCTTACCAGAGTATGAGAATGACATACCATCGAAGGCTAAAACTGGAGGTGGGAGTTTTTCAACATCTGGGAACTTGAATGAGAAAACCTTATCTGGGATAACTGGTTGAATCAAACCATCGGCTTCCATCTTGTCCAAAATCTTTTGTCTAGACTTTGCTTGTCTAACCAAATTAGCATAGGTACCAGCGGAAGCAATAAACTTCTTGATATGGGCAATTTCTTCTTGTTGCTTGGCGTATTGTTTCATTTGATTAGTTTCTTGTTCAGTTCTGGTCTTCACATAAGTATCGTAGTTACCACCGTATAATAATAACTTCTTCATTCTCATATCGATCATATTGGTACAGACACCATTAAGGAAATCTTGAGAGTGGGAGACCAATACCAAGATTCTGTCGAATCTCTTCAAGTATTCTTCTAACCAAACACAAGCAGCTAAATCCAAATGGGCAGTAGGGTCATCCAACAATAAGACGGTTGGCTTGACGAAAAGAGCCTTAGCTAAGGCAACTCTCATTCTCCATCCACCAGACATATCCTTGGTGTGCTTCTTGATAGTTGTTCCATTGAAACCTAAACCGGTTAAGATAACAGCAGCTCTAGATTCAAAAGTGGCAGGATCCATTTCATCAATCTTTTCGTATAAACCATCCAAGGCTGGATCTTCTGGACCATTCTTAACAATTATATCTTCGACGAGGTCTTCTAATCTCTTCATTTCATGTTCAGCTTCTCTGACAACGTATTCAATGGCTGACCATTCAGTTGGTTCAGCTGGCTCGTTCAACAAGTAAATATCAATGTGTTCAGGGATTGGGAATTCACCGGCAGCGATAGACTTCAACAAGGTTGACTTACCACATCCGTTTTCTCCCAAAAGACCATATCTTCTACCATAATTCAATTCAAGAATGGAATCTTGAATTAAAACCTTACCATGGAACAATAATGATACAGATGATAATTTAACATCTCTGGATGAGACCAATGATTCCAAGACACCGGTGGTGACTCTGTCTGAGAGACCGTCAGCATCAGTTTGTAACTTCAATCTGTCAATTTGCTGTTGAGCAGAATCAACATCCTTTTCTTCAGCATCCTTTTCAGCTTGCTTCTTAGTCTTCTTGGTGGTCTTACCTTCAGCAGTTTTCTTAGCTTCCTTTTCTAAACGCTTAGCTTCTCTCTTGGCTTTTGATGCTGAGACAGACATGGTGCAATTAGTTAGTTACTTCAAAAAATTATTTTAAAAATTTTACCAAATTAACAAAATTGATAAAGAAGAAGCAATAACGAAAATTTTTTTTTGCTGAGAATGCTTTAGCTATATATTATCGAATCAACTTTTTGTGATAGTAACAACTTAGCACTAATGTGTAGGAGGTTATAAGTTGAGAGAGCATCGCGAAATTTTTTTTTCCAGAAATTTTTTATTGCATTTTTTTTTTTTCAAGGTAGCCATGCTACGGTTATGATACCATGACGGATCCAGATAACCTTCGTTCTATGCAGGCCCGAGGTCATTAGTGCACCATCTGGGAGCAGCATCACCACTCCGTGCGACATTTTGGCTAAAGTATGGAGATCACGAAATGGAACAGTAGAGAACAAATTGGACAAAGTTTTGAGATCGGCAGTTTTGATAGCATCAGGTGTTTTATTTCATCTAATTTCTTTCGTCTTTGCTACGCTAATGAAAATCACCAGGAAGAGTAGAATGAATGGTGGACCCCCTCTCACCAAGCTGACTAAGTGAATGGCTGCGCTTCTTCTACGTAGATCGACCTCTTTCTCTACCTTGCGTCATGTCTTGCATATAGCACACCAGTACATATACTCAGCGGCGAAAAGATAGTCCCTTCCACATTTTCGTAGAGCAGCTTCTCTCTCTTCTTCTTTCCCAATTCCTAGTACTATAATTCTAAATTGCCGCAGAAATTATCACTTCTCTACTATGACGAAGGATAAAATATCTGCTCCAATTCCCATTAAGCCATCCATTGATCCTTTGGAGAGATGTAGTTCTGTCTACGAGGGACACACAGTGAATCATGAAGGAGCACAGAACGGAAGCACCGAGAACGGTGGCTCAACTAACACTGAAGGAGATGAAAATAATAAATCCTCTTCTGAGTTTGGCAAACAGTTCAAGTCTTTCACCCCCAATGCTACCAGACAAAGAAATAGGTCTTTCCACTTTCCAAGACGTCCCTCATACTGTACGCTTGAGTCTGCGAGAGAGTCCTTCTATAACTTAGACTACCCCGCGGACGTCAAACTACTATCTAAAGAGCAATTGGACCCAAAGTCGAGATTTTATGCCAGACGAAGAGAAAGGACTCTTAATTTACCTCAATTGCTACCTTATCAGATCGAATCACCCACAGATCAAGCCAAGTTCTTGAGCCACATCGTTTCACATCTTTACATTGCCATTAAAACCTTGGACTTGCAAGGTTCCCTTTCTGTAACAGCCAAAGATTTAGCATCTGTAAAAGCTAATTTGTCTGACGTTGATCTTGCATTGGAGACAAATCTATTCGAAATCGGGGAGTCTGCCCCACAGCAGCATTTTGATGATGATACATCTAGTTATTTTTCCATGGATGAGCTTCATGCATACGACGATTACGGTGTAGATGATGATGATGATGATGACGATGACGACGACGATGATGATGATGATGATGACGACGACGAAGAAGTAGATGACGACGATGATGAAGTATCTAAACATGAACTGGTAGTTCAACATAAAAGATCACCTAAATCGGCAGCAATTGTCGGAGTAAGAATTTGGACCCAAGAACTTTTAGTTTGGTTGAAGATGAAATATGATATGCCAATCAAGTTAAGGGTGCTGCTTGCCAGAGTGTACTATGCTATTTGCCTCTCAAGAGGTCAACATATCAATTTGAAGACATATGTCAGGACATTTGAAATATTGACCAAGGACAACATATTCATGAGACAGCAGGGTTTAAAACTTTCTTGGGAACCTTTATGTATGGAATTAATGAGCCACTTTCCTGGAAACCGTACGAAGTTCAGCCAATGGCAAGAGACGAAAGATCAGAAGCAATTGCTTAAACTTGCTGAAAAGGCGTCTTTCTTTATAGATAAGTCTGCTTTACCTGAAATATATAGTAGAATAGGGAGTCAGTTTGATATTCAGCATTCATCCCAAGTCCTTCTGGCATTCTCGCTTTTGCCCATGTCATTTACTCCCCAGGGAATGGAAAATCCTGAGGATATTAGACATTACGTTGCATCATTGTTCTACATGTGGCAAAAGTTGAGTAAAAAATCTGGCATTGATGTTCATTTAACTTCGAGGTTAGGGACCATAGCTATGTCTTCATTGTTGGAAAAAGCTAATAGTGAAGAGAAAGTTTCGATAACTTTGGGCAGATTTGGTGTATTCAATGCCGATCAGATGAGCTTTATATTCAACTTATTGATAAATAGTCTCTCCATCATGAAAGCCAAATATTCTTCATTGAAAACTAGCTTCTTCCATGGATACTCTTCCTCAATCATTTTTTCCATTATGGGAGAACATGCATTCGATTCGGAAGTAGGTATCGTCGACAAATTACAGATTCTTACCAATGCAATTGAGCTGTATATACATCCTTCTAATAGCGGAGAATGGTCACGTCCAATCTCCAAACTCCTCGTAAGCTTGGTTTATCAATTCCACAAAAGATATAATATGGAAACTCAGCCTTACGGACTATTAAACAGCTTACCAGAATCTATGAAATTGAGTAGTAACCCAGCTGTTGTTGATAAAGTCGTTAGTATTTTCCTTCCAACTGTCAAAATTGGACTTCAAGCCAAAATCCCAGGGGTCAGTAATGATTTTTTAAGAGCAATGCAAATGTTAGCGTTTATTAGACCTGAAATGGTATTGGAAACTATGTTATTAGATATATATGAATCCTTAGAAGGGGTTAATTCAACTCATAGATTAACTGTTGCTTTGCGGACTTTGGATGAGTTATCAAGATATTTTGCATCAACTCCGGTTTACAGAGTTCATGTTGCTAGAATTTTGCTGTTGGTATTACCAGGCGTTGATTCAAATGACTTAGAAAAGAGTTACATGACTTTAAACGTATTCGCTTCGATGGCCAGTTTTATTCCGTTCGTGGATTTAACGGAGGGTAATGAAGATTCTACACTTGCCATTCAATTTACGCTGGAACACCTCGAATTTTTACAAGCTAAGCTTGTTTCTGTAAACAAAGAAGAACTTCTCAATTTCAATATTGACCCGGAATTGGAATTATTGGCATTGAAATCATCAACGTCTGCTTTTAAAATGATTTTCCAAAGACTCTTTGCTAGAATTTTTGCATTTTTAGAAAATTTGCCAGACCCAACAAAGTCAGGCATGGAGAAATATGTTGCTAATTTTCTACCCTCATTCATTTATGTGATCATTGAATCCGTATCTGATGATATATTCCATATGATCAGTGATGAAATGTTTAAATTTGTTAGCGAAAATACATTTCACACTATTGCTGATGTCGTTGCTGAAATATGTGGAGGTATCGTTAAGCGTGATCCAGAACGTTACTTTAAGAAGTTTGCTACTCATCTAATGGATAAGGTGAGGGAAGATATTGAAGAAAATGGAGCTGGTGCTTCAAGAACTGGAGTGGACATAGTATCAAGAGATCAACCATTGTGGTGGAATCTTGTCATTTTGAATGAATGCATAGGGAATGCAAGTTCCCATGTTGTTGAATTACAGAAGGATTTAAAAGAATTCTCATTTTTTTTGATGGATCATGTTAAGGGCCCAGGAGTATATTCGAGCACGTATATGTTAAATCTGATGCTTCAAGCGACAACTAAAATTAGGCTAAATGAAAACAGGTTAATCAGTCCACTTTATGAAAAGAAGCATGGAATTAGTGAGAAATGTTGGGGAGGTTTCCAATTCAGCGAGGAAAGATTCAAAAAAGAGAATTTGGATTTCTCTTGGTTTGTCCCAAGTACTTCAGACATTAAATTTGCAGTAGATATGTTGAATGATCATGTTGCTAAATGTTTGACAAACATTCTGTCTATTATGAAGAAATTTTCGGATCCAAACAATAATGTATCATCCGACCACCAGAAGTTAATTTATTTCAGCGATGAAATTAGAATGAATCTCTTGTATTTGGGATATGGAATCGGTGGTATTTCATTTTTATTTGATCCCTCTTTTGACGAAGACATTCCGAAATTAAATCAGCATCAGAATCAAACTATTCAACAGAGATTTCAATTATTAAATCAAATAAGGCAAATGAAAGGCGGGAAGTCTTTGGGAAGGGACGAACTGAGAATTGAAAATATTCATATGAATCTTCAACGCATTGCCGATGATTTAAGAAATGATGAATTTGATTACAATTTAGACAAAGACAACGAAGAAACTAGAAATGATAAGAGAGCTGGAGAAGGTGGAGAAGGCGAAGGAGACAGAAAAAGACAAAACGGAGATGGAGATATCAGTATGGAGGACTTAAAAGGTAGTAAAGAAGATGTCGCAGCAGCGTTGGCTTCCCATTTTAACATTGGAGATCACTTAAGCCATGTCGCTTCTTCAGACTCAATTAGTTCTATGGACGCTTCTGCAAGACAAAGTCCTGGTATCGATGGTGTCGAGATCTCCACAATGAACCCAGGAATTACATTTAGGGATCAAAAACTTTACACCTCAAATTATCTCTTTGGAGAAGACATAGCTTCCAGACGTTCAAATGAACTTTATATTAAGGTTCATAAGATTCGTCACTTAGTAGGTAAAAGTTTGCACATGATTAGTAAATTTTTGGTCACACACTTCCATGACAACACTCAACTCTTCGTCAACTTTCTTTATGTTTTGGGTGTTTGGTTTTCGGATGTTGGAAGGGAAAGAGTATTCGACAATAGTCATGCAAAGGTAAGCTTTTCTTATCTTAATGCGTTACAGCAAATCAATAGAGTAAGAAAACCTTTTACTAGAGGTGCCATTGCTTCCAGAGTTGAAGCATATCATCAATTTAGAGTTGTACTTCATGCTACATCGAAAACTCAAACTGACTTAGATAAATTATTGTTGGAGGATATCGTAAAGTTATGTTTCTCAACGTATTCTAATGTTTCAAAAGCAGCTCAAACGGCATTATCCGAGACAATGAAAAGATTAAACGGATCCTACAATGTTTTGATAAGATCTTCTTTGAAATATCTTTCCAAAGCTATTGAAGAGAACGATTTGTTAAAAATTGAAAGTGGTTTACACACTTTCAATCTAAAGAGAGTTAAGAACAAGATTCAAAATGATTTTTTCAATATTCAGAAGTATGTAGAATTACTTCAGAAATGTCTAGTGATTGATGAAAATCAAGTAAATGAATTGGCTCAAGAATTAATAGAAGGTGTTTATACTTCGTTAACCCCTCCTTCTTCGGTCTGTATCATAGATGATATGGAAGAGATAAACTGTATCAGACCTCCTGATGAATTCATTGATTTGGAAATAAACGTTGTGAAGTTGGCAAAAGAGAGTAAAAGGAAATTATATTTTGAAAGATTGAAGAAGTATGAAAAAATGATTTTAAATAGTGAGAAGTTGAATACGCACTGGAAATCGACCTCTTTGAACTTATTGCTACTCAACCTGTTGCAGGAAGAATTGGAAGTGTCTGTGAACAAAGATTACTTACAGTTATTGGCAATTGAAGCTGCTAATGATCATCCCACAATTTCTAGAGTTGCAATTAGAGGAGTAAATGAACTCGTTCTTAAGATTCAGTTTTTGGAATCAATCGATTTTGAAATAAAGAATGCTTATGATCTTAAATTTTTGTCTCCTACTGAAATAATCCTTGATACGAGACCATCCAAAAATGGATCTTCATTTTATGAAAATTGGGAGACAGAAATGCATAATATCGAAAATCCAAATTATTTCCTTGACGACAAGTACGCAGCATCAGGCTGGCTATTTTGGGGTGCATCTACAAAATTTATTCGTGCAGATGGAGATTTTGCTGACAAAAAAAGATACCCAGTAGTTGTGGATGCTTTGGAATCATTCGGATCTCGTATTTCTAGAGACTGGTTTCTTGCAATAGCTAAAATGTGGATCACTGAAAATGAAGCAACCAATACTTTCCAAGGAAGTGATGCGGCTTTCAGTTCAACATTATCAACACTCATTACATGCGGATTTGCGAAGAATATGACTTATGGGGATCTATTGTCAGTCGTCGAAGAAGTTTATGATCCTGATGAAAAATCGAGTCATTTTATAGTTTGTGAGATTTTATGTGGATTACTTATATCAACTCCCAAAATTTACCTGAACAAGGAAGTTTTAAAGGAGAGAGATGCGTTCATTATAAATTTTATTGGGAATATCTTTGAGAAGGATTTAAATCCTGACATCAGTGGAGTTTGGAACGTATTTTCTTGGTTGGTGCCTGGTTCCATTGATACAAGAAGAATTCCTCAAATCATTTCTCATTGTTATACAAATTTTCAAATTGATCAAAACTCTGATTCTGCATTCTATATTGCTACAAGAATTGGATATATAAAGGATTTAATCTCCTCTATTACATGGAGATATACCAAAGCAGATGAAACCGCCACGATGTGCGTTAATAATATTGACAATAGATATCAAGCTATAAGAGATAAGGTTGGATCTCTTTTGGCTACATTAACATTTGCCTACTATAAGGAATCGTTGGCATCTAGTGAGGAATTCCTAAATGAGTGTAACTCAGATGGAAGCTCACAGTTACTTAAGATGAACAAGTTCAATAAGCTACAGGAATTAATACCTACCATTTTCGAAAGAATTGAGAGGTCTAGACTAGAAGTAGTTCACTTATCACCTCAAGAAATTTTGCGATCTAGCTACATTTATTCCGTATCTACAGTTTTAACGTGGCTCAAAGATGGGTTGGGTTCTAGGGGTGCCATAGTCTATCAAGACTATGTTGTGAGTCATTTTGTACCATTTTTGCTTAAGATTACAAGCATGAAGGATGTCTGTCAATTGGGAGATTTGGACCCGGTGACAGTATTTAAGAGGATTTCTCAAATTCCTTTCAAAATAGAAAAATTAGACTCAATCATTGTAATGATTGAGGATTTCTTCTCCTCTGACACATTGAACGTAGTTCAATCATTTATCATGGGAGAATTCACAGAAACATTTTATTTCAAGAATTTATATTTATTCACGAGTGCACAGAGAAAGCGTATTATTACGTTGACCAATAATTTGATTTATCATAAGAATGTTGAGGTTAGAGAGTCTGCATCTTCTACATTGTCAGGATTAATTCATATCTCACCACCCAAAGAGGTTGAAAGTATAGTTAACAGTCTTGTGAAGAAATACTCACGGGATCTTGATAAGACAAGAAGGAAATATAGAAAGAAGGGATTTAAAGAAATAACGAACGATGATACCATTACTCTTCATGCGGCTACTTTAGGTTTAGGAGCATTGATCCATGCTTTCCCATTCCAATCTCCCCCACCTGCTTGGGTTCCTGAGCTTCTCACCATTTTAGCTACAAAGAGTTCAGGATTGTCTGGGTTGATTGGTAAAACTGCGAAAGAAATATTAGGGAGGTTCAAGAAAGATAGGCAGGATACTTGGCATCTTGACAGTAAAGTATTCAATGAAGATCAGTTACAGGATCTTGAAGGTGTACTTTGGAAGAGTTATTTTATATAGAGAATGACACTAGATTATTTACATTTTAATGAACAATTTACGATAAGAAGATGAGAATGGTAAGAAAAGGATGGGCGCACATTATGGGCAGGTTCTGTTAGTAGACTCGGCTCCCCACAAGTGTCTCGCGAAATGCTGACGGAATGTGAACGCATCGCCCTTCGAGGGCATTTTTTAGCGGCTTAAAAAAATAGCGTTCAACTTCAGCAAATAATTCAACACTAAGTCCAGTCAATCTAAACAGGACGTAGCTTCCAATGAGACCCATAAGGGAAGTAAAACTAGCAAAAAATACCAAAAAAGAGAAAACATACTCCGCGACGGGGAATTGAACCCCGGTCTACCACGCGACAAGCGGTAATTCTAGCCACTAAACTATCACGGATTTTGTTGATGTGGTAGTTCAGGATTACTCGATGGTATGTGTACATGCAAATATGCACGATTTCAATACATATCTCACGATACTCTCTACACTATCCACGATGAGAGCAATATTATTTACTTTGAATGTTTCATTGTGAAATTTCCGTTTATTTACCTTTCTTGATCCAAGTCTCTTTCTTGCTTTCTCTCCATTTCCATTTGCATTTCAGTATATAAATACAAAATCTTGCTACACTTAAGTAATTATTGTCATATATTGACGTTTGTTATATTATATAATATAGATACTCTAATCTGTTCAAGACAAATTGCTTACTTCAGTTAAGAATTCCAGGAAATTAATAGTAGCAACACCTTTCAAATCCTTATCATATTTCTTAAATACATCAGTCAACTTTCTTAGATATACCAATAGCTCTATAAATGCATCAAATTTCAACTTTGCAATAGCCATATTGCTCGTGCTATCCGTTACTTTCACATTTTTATTGGAAAATTTATGGAAGAATAATAATACTAGGTCTACCTCCAACTTGTAACCAATTTGCTCCAAGATCTTTTGAAATTCTCCAAAGGAAATGTCACCCAGTCTGTCAGCATCAGCAGCAACAAATAATTTCTTGTAAGCAGCCAAATACTTCCATAATGACACAAACTGTTCAAAAGTTAGAGATTTTTTTGGTTGTTCCGGAGAAGTGAACAAGTTGATCATCAAAATGATGGTCGAGTCCTGGAACCTTGTATGATCGAAGTTCAATAAAGCTGAGGACAACTCTCTAGGGCTAATTGAACCAGAACGATTAATATCCACTTTATCAAACATCACTCTTAATTCATTTTCTAGCCTTTGCTTGGAACTAAGTGAAGACGACTCTAACGACTCCTTTGATCTATTTTTCTGTCTGTAAGGATCCCTGTTGGCTGTTTGAGAAGTGATAATACTGGAACCAGAGCCCGACGGATTTTGAGGTCTTTTAGATGGGCCACTGCCGGAATCCCGGAATGAATCATAGCTAGGCGAGTGACTTTGGTTTTGATATAGAGGTTGAGCATGACCGTACTGTTGTTGGGGTGGAAGTTGTTGCTGTGCATAATGATCTTGTGGGGGTGGTGCTTGTGTGTATGAGCTCGTTTGATAGTTTACATTGCTAGGTGGTTGAGTTTGAGATTGATAGTATTGGCCACCAGTAGCTTGAGGATGAGATTGAGGCAGTTGCTGATAGTAGTGACCACTAGCAGCTGACGAATGTGGTTGTACATAAGCATGATTCTGGGGAGGAGGAGGAGGTTGCATTTGCTGTGGTTGTTGATATCCATGAACTGGCTTCTGTGGTGCTGGTTGAGATTGGAAATATTGCTGGGGTGTTGGAGCAGGCGGAGCCTGGCCCTGGATTGGGGCTTGGCTATACACGTTGCCATTCTGGTAACCTTGAGATTGAGGAGGGCGGTAAATAGGTTTCAGATGATTGTTTGCTTGTGAACGATGGCTGACTTTCGTTTTATGTGGATGCTGCAATTCGTGTCTCTCGCCTGGAGTTGGATACACAGGTAGTTCGTTTCTGGACATCGCTGGAGTGGGAATATGAATGATTGAGTCAGTAGTAGGCGGTCCTTTAGTATAATGGTACAATTGAATGGAAAATAAAATAAATAGGGCACTCTCTCTCTTTTTTCCTTTAAAAAAAAAAAATAAAATACAGGTAGTATGATTTGATAGTTAACTAGTTAAAAAGTGAAACAAATCGAAAAAAAAAATGACACTTCAGGAACACAATAATTACGAAAATATAAATAGCTTAATAATTTCTGTAAATGACTGTCATCAGTGAAGGGTTCTTCTAGCAACGGGAAAACCCTTTGCTGTAGACATGTAGCGAGGGAACTTGTGTCACGATCCTGTAGAATTACGAGCGCGCGGACGCGAACAAAGCCTGGATTTTTTTCTTTTCGGTTTTCCCTCCGTGGCATTTTTGGGTGATACACGCATTACTTAGGCCTGAAGACAGGATGGTGGAGAGTGCAAGCTAGTGATAGAAGAGGGCCCATTAGAATTGACTAGACAGGAACGAAAAAGTAAAAGCGTGGTAGGAGATGTGCCAGGTGAGTTGAGGGAGAATGGAGGTACAAAATATTTGGCAAAATTAAACAAATTAAGTGTACGGCATAAAAAATAATGGAGTTTAAACTCTCAAGTGAACTCTGAAGCAGGCCATCCTAAAAATAAACCATAGACTTTCACGATCCATTAACGGTAGGTTTCTATTTCTAAAATGTGGAGGAGTACAAATAGAGATTCACCGACTTACGGCTCTAGTTCATTTCTCTCATCAGACTAATCATATATGCTTTCCAATCTTTTTATGTGACACACACTCTCTCTATCTCTCTCTAGTTCATTACACAGTTTTCTCTAACACAAACGTATTATTATTATTTACTACTAAAATACATCAGCACATTTAATCACGAGGAGCTCTTCTTGGGGCTCTTCTTGGACCTCTACCAAATTGTGGTCTTTCAGCTGGAGCACCCTTCAATCTGGTTAATGGTAAGATACCTTCTGGAATGTTTAATTCGGTTCTTAAGAAGTCAACACCTTCGTCAGTCAAGGTGTAGTAGTAATATTGCCATGAGAATTGAGTCTTGACGAAACCCTTGGAAGTTAAGGATTGTAAAGCCTTGATGACGTATAAGTTTCTGGTGTCAATTTCATCGTGCTTTGGTTGGTTGAAATCCTTCTTAGCAACGACAACACCTTCTATAAAATGAGTTAGTATAAAGAAAAGGGGGATTATTGACATGAGCGTCAATCTAAAGAGATATTCGAAATCAAAAGAACTGGTTGGATGTAAGCAACTTGAAAATAAATGAGTTTCTCATACAAATTGAAGTATAAGAATATATGAAATAGTACAAATAGTACTGATGTGTTTCCATCTGGGCGCTAGGTTCACAGATTTTAAGAGCCAACTCGTCAAAACCTCATGAAATACTACAACTTATCCACGACAGATTTGTGTGTTTTTTCTGTATTACTTCCATCAATCCACTTTCATGTTTTCCCCGACTCTCAAGGTGGGTCTACGAATTTCACAGTGTAGAGTCCACATCTTTCGAATCATTTGGCTCTCTTTCACGTCCACTTCTATGGTATACAGTATCCACAGCTGCATGTTTTCCTTCCCATGGGTTTACACATATATTTTCACACCTTTGATTTGGTATCCTCCTTTTTATCATTTGACTATCATTTTCTCATTAATTTTTTTATGCCTACATCAACTATCAGTTCGGGTTCATTTCGAATACTGGATGGATCAACAGTCTATCCATTTCTATCGTTACATACCTTGGAAGAGGTATTGGTGGATCTTCTTTCTTTCTTCTCTTGGAATAAGCATGTTTGTTCGATGAAGTTACTACTATAGAAAGGTATATTGCTTTTACTATTATCGATTTTTTTTTCAGTATCAGAGTGAAAATTCTGAGAGAACGAAGGACCACTGGTACTATTCCGTAATTGATTATGTAATCGTAAAGATTTTCTCTGGTCGTGCATATATTAGTTTTTTTGCGAAAAGGCAAGAAAGCAGTCCTTGGGGTTGCAGCCCTCGTTAGGAAATTAATCATGTGACATTTGTATAGTGTAAATTTTGGAATTTGAGGTGCTCGAGATATTTTGTGTACAGGAGCAACCCTGAAGCTGAGCAAGTCCAACTTAATCGATTGTGCATTTATACGAGCTACCTGAGCCGCACAGGACATATCTGGCAATCAGAGTCCAGGTAATGTCATTCGAGAGATAGGAAGCAAAGCGATAGCATACTGCACTTGCCTTATTCTGTTCTTACTAAAGTGAAGATTTGTTTATTGTTATCGCATGATGTAGTGAATTCGAGTAGTTCAGGTTGTAATAAAGAAAAAGAAGAAAATTAGATCCCTGTATACCATGTAACCAATTTGTTTGGTTACAGTCCTACACAGTATATGTTCCAAAATGCATGGAAATTGTATATGTCTATTTGGTGTACTTGATAGCCTTAAGGAGCTACTGTTTTAGATCATGCAGCCTTTCATATTCAGCCCATCTGACTTTATAGTACTTTCTTGGTAATCAGCAAGGACATCATCTGTTTTAAAGAAGCGAGAAAGAATACCTTCTTCATGTAAGTATTTGCTCCCATTTTAGCCAAAAGTACGCATGATTTTGTATTTGAGATATAGTGAAAATAAAGAAATAGTAGAATTGATGAGAACTGCTGCTAGCAAGGCGTAATTGTGAAGATATACAATGCAGAAGAAACATGGATGAAAGAACACATATTTTCACCACATGAGGTTACACTATTAGGATAATCAATCAATTGCCCTAGAATGTCAGTATTCATTTCCATGCGTACTTCGTTTCCATGCGTATTTCATTTCCACAGCACAAGATCGCCGAAAATTTGCGTTTTAAGCACTTTTCCATACTATAACGCTTCAAGGAATACACACAAAGATATCTTGGCGCTATTATCTCCAGTTATACAGACACAAGCTTTATACACTCTACTTTATTCTGGTTTGATAAATTGCACTAGCGAGAGTTCATCTTTTTTCATCCTCTTTCTTTGTTCCTTTTTTTTTCTTTTTTTTTTTAGCTATTCCTTGTAATTTTGTGTCAAAAATTGCAACCGTTTCTGCTCAGCACTTTAAAGGTAAGCTGGAGTCAGTAAAACGCAACCACCATTTCCAACCTGAAACCAATTGCTATCTTTCAGATTATGCTCACTGCGACCAGCAATATATCGAACACCACCCACGAGCAAGAACGAAGAACGGCGGCCTCTGCTCTTGTAACACCTTCCCTTCTCTACTCTACTCCTTCCAAGAATAATTTCATTTGTCCGCGATTGGAAGTTCGCTCAGCACATTGCAACCCGCTTCCATGTACATCGAGCCTGAGCTACCTTGCAGAGTGCATATCAAAGTGAAACCTAACACTTCTTACGTTTATTTCACATTTTCTTAGCTTCTTACCAAGCGCATACTTCTGATTGTTTCATCTCCTACCTGGAATATTACGCATTTGCTCGTATATATAAAAATATACATTTACTGACTCCCTATATGATTTTCCTCGAGCAACACTACCATCCTCGAGAATTTCCAATAATAGAAACTCCCTACATTACATTTACTCGCGCTGCCAGTGATCTTATCTGCAAACTGCATAAATTGTAGATCTAATTTAAATAAGAATAGAATCACAAGTAAAGATATCTTTATTAAAGGGCTGAAATACAGAGAATAAGGTGGGGAAGACCATAAGTAACTCTGCTCATAACTGCCATGCGTTCATTTAGGAGGAACCCTAAACGGAATGATAACGATGATTACCACCCGACGTTAGATCAAAAGCGGTCCTTCGAAGCGCTTCCTCATATAAATACCACTTCCCATGCATCTTCAAACACGCCGATTTCCTCGCCAATCATGTATCTGAATACCCAATTTACTCCACCTCAATCCCATAATAATAGTCAGCATGTTTCTTCACCATCATCCTCGACGAACCTCTCGTCTCCCAAGAAGTTGCTTACCCCTATAAGGAACTTATTCCATTCATCAAGCAATTCGAAATCCAACGGGAATATTGCAGCAACGAACGAAAACTTGCACAACGTATTGTTCAATTCTCCAGCGACCACTTTCCTGGCCCTGACTGCTGTAGTCAATACGCCGACTTCAAGGCAGTCAAAGGGCCTTCGTGGACATAAGAAGGGTAACAATTCTATTGGCTCTCTACAGCCTCTAGACCTAGAGCCGGCACCTAAGCCATCTTTCACGCACTCTCAGTCTCAATTGAGTCTTCACGAATACAATAAAAAAGGCTTCAGTCACTCCATTGGTGTCATATACTCACCTTCTACTACTTCCTCCTCTACAGGGATGAAGTTGAATGATAATAATAATGAGACTGCCTTCCTACATCAACTGAAGCTCCTTCCACCACCGATGAAACCTTACATCTCGACGAAGAAACCTATGAATCCAGTAGCAACAGCTTCACAGTCTTCTCTAGTTTCACAGTCAGCATCATTTCACTCTTCTGCATCTGCATCGATATCTTCTCCCATAACGTACACGCAGCCATCATCTGAGACTTCCAACACTCAGACCCATTTAAATACGAATTATCCGAACACGCCCTCTAGCTTGAAACCCCCCATTCACTTGAGCACAAAAGGTGCAAATCATAGTGACGATGATAACCTCGAAGAGCTGCAGAGCAGAGAAAGAAGTTTCAACGATTCAGATATATCGTTGGCTCCGAGTGAATCGCATTTTCAAACTAGCACAACAAGGAAAGTATCATTTAAGAAGAAACCAGAGATATTCAAAAGTAACTCCACCGAATCCGTAGATAGTATATCAGAATCTGAATCAAATTCAGATAGTTCATCTCAATTTTCTTTTGTGAAGGATATGAGAGGAGGAAGGAATACATCTGTGAAATATTATAAGAACACCAGGCCACAGCCCAATCAGAAGTTGGTGCCAACATTCAATCAGAATGATTTAAATTATGAAGTGGATGACTATTCGGATTACGATTTTGAAAATAATGGGATGGATGAGGACTATGGAGATGATGAGGATGACGACGAAGAGGTGGGATACAACAACGCATTCGACGACGATGATGAGGATGAATACTCCTCCTATAATAAATCATACAATGACATTGAAGACCAATCGAAAACGCAAAATAACATTGAGGCTCCTCCTAAAAGTGAATTACTACCAATTGGTCATGATCATGACCAATTATTGGACGTAGGCTTTGAACTTTATAAGAAAGGTAGTGAAAGAGAATCAAATAAGTCAAAAGTTTTCGAATTGGATGATTTTGATATGGAATTTAACCAGAATGAAAGTAATAAAGATTATTTATCTTTGCAAAGGTCCCTTCCAACCGTCCAGATTGAAAATTTGAGCCTAGATCCTTCGAGCAGTAATAAAGATCAATTCAACAATTCATTTCACTTTCATACAGGGTCTCATGAACTGTTTCCAGCTTCTGATGACAATGCAAATGATATACTTGAGAGTTATCTTGATACCAGTAACCTGCCTTATGGAAGCAAAAATGGCTCAGGCTTTAATTCAAATAATTCTAGTCGCTCGCCCGAGGAAAAAGTCCAAGACGGCAAATTTCCGGACGATGTCACCAAGCCAGAAATTGAACCTGAAAGCGATAACAATTTAAAGTTGTTTGAAATTAATTCCCCATTAATAAATGGAGTGACAATTGGGAATAATTTGAGACATAGATCAGGGAGATCGGAAAACTATGAAGGAGATCCAAAGCGTCTGCGCTCACTTAGGGATGATCAAAGCGGAAGTCCTCAAAACTCGTTTATTCACAGAGAAGTAAACAAGTATGTAGACGGGAACGGGCTCTCAGAGAAAGAGATATATCAAAATAGAGTATACAAAAGTTTCCATGGATCCATCAGTGATGAATTTGGTTCTACATTTGATAATAACATACTTAACAAAAAGGACCTTGATAATATAAGTAAGACTGAAGTAAAGGAGGATTTGGATACAAAGCCGGAAAGTCGTGATTTACATGATCAGTTAGGTCTTGGAATTCTCACTCGAGCTGAACCTAATGAGAATGATGTGCCTATAAATTCAGAAAGAAAGGAGAAGGTTAGAAAGTCGGTGAACGACATGATGGATATCTTGCAGCAATTTGGCGATCCTGAAGAGAATCTAACCACTATCAATAAAACCTCGAAGGGAGATTCTCAACAAACAAAGAGAGACTCCATTTTAAACCTTATGTCCATTCTAGAAAAGGTCGAGGAAGAAGCTCCTTCAAAGACTAAAGAAAAGCAAAGAAATTCAATATTAGGTGTGATGAATCTATTGGAAAGTTTGGAAGAAGGGTTATCGCAAGAGAGGGCCCAAACTATATCTACCATTCTGAAACAAATTGAGAATGCTGGAAAAGGAGAGGACCGAAACAATGGCGACAGAAAGGAAATGTCCAAAAAGGATAAGTTTAATAATCCTAATAGAAAGTCAATAAATGACATGATGGCCACCTTAGCAAGCTTCAACATAGAATCTGATGATTTTTCAAGCATGGAGAAAAGGCAGAGAAATAGAATTTCTCAGTTAGGAGAAACACTGAATGCGGCTAAAATAGATTCTCTGATCAGAAAGGTCCCGAATGTTAGTGAGCCTAATCAAATTCCCAAAGGCAAGCGTTACTCTTGGTTTGGTGATGATGAAACTAACAATTTCAGCAACTTGGCTACTACTAAAATTGGGACTAATTCGTCTGGGCTAAGGAATGAATTGACGGAAGATATTAAGGGAATCGATGATTTGCGTAATTTCGTGTTTGACGAATCTGTCATTGATGAAATTAACCAACTCCCAGAGGACTTTGATTTCGAAGAATATCTGAATCAGCATAATTCAGATAAACCCGACCAGAAGAGTTCCTCATTTTACAGATCTAACTCTTACAACAAAAAGCCCGTCAGGGCTGGAGTGGAAAATACCTTTCAGACCAATAAAATAGAAACGTTGAACAAGACAGTAACAATATACAGAAGTGCCAGTCCCCTGAATAGTGACGCGAACAGAAGTCGAAGTATTAGCAGAGCTGCTTCTGCAAGATCTTCTACTTCATTTATATCTATTAATGAAGGTGAAACTGATACAGCTGAAGACTGTGACCAGCGTGAAATTACAGCAGTCGATAGAATGAAAGAATACACTCAAAAGAAACTCTTCTTTGACGATGACTTAAAAAGTCCGACAAAGAAATTTATTTTTGAGAACAAAAGCTGTGATTCAATTCCAAGAAATTCATTTGCATTAGGAACAATCACTGAAGCAGAGAGCCCATCATTGAAATGAAGTGATGAAGAAAGGTACTAAAACTACGAAATAGAAACGTAGACTAAAAATGTCGTATATAGAAGTATATGAATTAATGTATATACATGGAGGGTATATACTTATGTAAATATAGTTTATTATAATCTTAATTATGCTATTTCATTTTCCTCCATGTAGGAATGGAAGCTGTATCCTGATTCATAGTCGAAGTTATTTTGAAGTGAACTCAAAGTACTTGAAGGACTTGGAGGAAGTGACTTTTCTATGTTCTTATCACCCCGATTAACAGCTAGATATTGATTACGCCTTTGAGCGAGTTGTTCCATCCTTTTGATCAGCTTTGCAGGAGGTTTTGGAGCTCTTAGACTATTTTTGGATGCCAGAATTGGAACTTGGATTCTGGCTGACTGATACCTACGAATTGAATTAGTGGATTTTGAACTAGGAATTCCAGCATTCAATAGAACATTTTTTCTAGTTGGGATTGAATTAGTGGAAATACTAGGCTTTACTACCAACCTACCAGAAGCACCACTCTCAAATGACGCTATACTTGAAAAATTTGATGCGCTAGATGTAGTGGAATTAGACCTAGCTACCCAACAATTCCTGTACTTCGAATAAAGACTAGCTAAGTCTCGGTCGTCATCTTCGTCTTCTACAAGAACGACATCAATTGGCTTTCCATCTTTAGTCTTTTCCGTTACTGACTTATATGAAGTGACGGTATCATTTCTTTGCACTGTGAAAACTTCAAATTTGTCTTCAGTGAGATCTATTATAACACTCTCAGTTTCTGAAGCCAGTGTACCTGTAGTTGAATTACTATTGAAACTTCTACTAGATTGATAACTAGATGCGTTTGAAGCAGTTCCATTTGAGATTGGTAAAGATCTTTCGGCGCTGGCTTGGTTGAGTTTGCTTAGGGTACGATTGATCTCAACATAATTATACTTCTTGTGGAAAGCGTCATCATCGGAAGTGCTCTTTATGTTTTGATTATCTTTAAAGTCAACGGCATACGTCACAGGAGTAGGTGGTTCTGCTACAATGATCTCGTCACTTGCGCTTGAACCCGAATGTATCTCTGATTTATTCTCTGCGAGGTATGTACCAGTAAGCTCATTTGTTGCTTCTATCTCATCGTCGTTAGGAATATCAGGCAGCGATTTTGATCTTGTAAGTTTCAGTGTTAATTCTTTTAAATTGAAGTCGAAATTGAACATCGACTTATGTCTGGTATGTCTGCTTTGCCTGACGGGTGGTTGAGACGATCTGACACCAGTTTGATTAATTGTTGGCTGTTTAATTTCTAATGGTACTGATTCAGGTACATTTTTGTTGTTATAGGTAAATTGTTCCAAGTTTAAGTTCATACTTGGAGTAGATTTACTAGACCTGATGCTCTTGATATCATCTATGTCAGTATCTGAGTCTTCTCCAGGGTGTAAAACATTGAATTGACTTTTGGCGAATTCCCTTGCTTCCTTGCTAGGCACCCCTAAAGGCTCTAAAGCACTACAGGTCGCACTTTTTGTCATAGATCGACTACTAGCAGTATACTGACTGCCAAAATCATAGTCAGAATTGAAGTCATAGCTTTTCCTTTTCGGATTGAGTGCTATAGACTCAAGGTCTGGTATTTCAATTTGTCCTTCGTGGTCGACAAAGCTACGCCTAGAATTTGCAATCGAAGATTGATCAGATCTAGCCTTTTCCTTTGCAATGTCACTATTAGTGACATTTAGCATGCTGTTAGGAAAGTTGAACCGTTTACCAGCACCTTCGTTGAAACTTCCATCAGAAACTTTTGAAACATCCAGATCTTGTGGTCCTGAATCAGATTCCATATTTGTCGTATCATTATAGTATCCATCTATGACACTTTCGAGATCATCCATTGCTGAAGCGGCTGGACTAGGTGGTACAAATTCAGTAATACTTGGCGGCTCGAGATTCGATAACTCATCCAAATCAGGAGATGGCGATAATTTTTGAGTTGCAGCTCTACTGACACGAAGTGGAAGTGTTGCATCGATTGGGGGCACACTCCTCGATTTTTCCAGATCAACATCCAGTGAAGATTCATTAGAGTCAGAATACATCAATCGGTGCTCTAAACTTGCCAATGTAGTGTTTGATTTTATGCTTTGGCTCTTTTTCATTCCTAAATAGACTGGAGCATCAAAATCCTGGTCCAATGTATCTGCTTCGACTTGCTTATTTCCATACTCTTCTTCTCTTCGAGTAAGATTGACACTTTCCTGTAGCGAGTTCCAAGAGGATCTACTTGCTGAACTCAAAGTACTTCTTTGACTACTATTGCTTGCATCTCTAAGTGCTTCCTTCCTATGTTGCATGATCACACCTGTTCTTCCTACCAATGGACCTTTATGTTGGCCATTAGAGTATTTTATACTTGAACCCATAGTACCAAGTGATGATATCAGAGAATCACTCACGCTACGACTAGCAATGCTTTTACCATATAAAGGCTGTGAATATTCCATTTCCCTCCATTGATTGTAGGATTCATTTACAGTCTTCTGTGCGTTGTTATTATGATTATTATGATAATTATGATTTGGAAGGTACATTGGATTTTGTTGATATTGAAATTGTGCTTCATGTTGGATGTGCAGTTGGGATTGTTGGCTTGGGTTCACGACAATGGTATCGTTTGGATTATTCGCCATTTCAATTTCAGGTGAACTTTTAATTGTAGCAGGAGATCCCAAACTGTTCTGTATTGTTTTCTGTGAACCAACGGGTGAATGAGGGAATGGTTGAGAATTTTCTCCAACAGCATAACCGTTTCTCTTGAGAGTTGATTGTCTAGAGCTTGTTTCACTGCCTTCGTTGATAACACTCAATTCATCTGCTGCATGGCGTTTAACGAATCCAAGGTTAACTCTGGGAGACATTTTGATTCTCTGCTGCAAGAGACTCTCATTTTCATAGAAAGCATTTTCTTCTTCGTCAGAGGTTTCTAACTTTTCGTATCCATTCCCCGTATACACCAAGCGAACTTGCTTTGGCTTTTGCTTTGGAGAAACAGACCTCGAAGGCGACGAAGCTCTTGAGCCCTTTGGAGTGGCTACCGGTGAGGATAACCTCGAATTATCATTACTTTGGTTCGCAGAACTAAGCTTTGGTGGTAGTTTTAATTGGAATGGAATGGGAATAACGTACTTACTACGCCCAGGTGATGTGGATATATGTAACTTATTGGCTATGGGTGACGATGAAAGCGATTTAACTTGATCATTGAAAGAATTTTCATTCATGGACCAGATGTCATTGTCGTCATCGTAAAAGTCAGTAGGCAAATTCTTTCGATTCTTGACAGGAGAGGAAGATCTTGTCCTTCTTTCGTCCTGAGTCGGCGGTCTTGCCGTTAAACTCAAGTCGTCCTTTGATTTTCTCATAAAACTAATTCAATCCTTCGGTGCAACTAAAAAAATTCAGGGGAGCTTAGACGAATCAAAAAAAAATGGGGATACATATAATTTATGTATAATGATAAGCGAAAAATGATTCCTTAGCATTTTTAAGCCTTCATCCATCGTTCTTTATTACTTTAATGCTTCTCTATAAATTATTGCCAAAACAATTTTGATTATTTATGATTCGTCCCGATGCGGAAATTTCAGTTAGTGCTTCAAAATCCAAATGTGGACATTAATTGAATTTTCTTGGAGCTCAAAATTATTCAAGTAGCCCCACCAAATTATAGATGCAGGCATGCTAAGAAAGCGGGCACGCCCGTCAAGGGTCCTTCATGCGAAGATAGATGGATCAAGTAGGTCTCATTGGTAAAAAAGGCGAGATATTGAGTGCTGTTCTTCCAGTTTTGTTGCTCTAGCGTAGGAAATCTTACACCTGTTTGGCTTTAAAGATAAATGATGAGCTACTGTGACAGGATGCGTGCTCTTCATAAGTGTAGCTGAAATTGGTTCAATGCATGATTAAATGATCTTCCCTGGATCAATGTGGCACGCATGAAAAAATATTCATCCAGTTGGTAATTGTGGGAATTATTTTCAAAAACACTTAAATTGCCTTTGTCAAACATTCCCATCCTTGTGCATTAGGCACCCTGCTATATTCATAAACTTTTTTTTTTGGTAACGAAAAGTGTTGCAAGATCTGGAAAGATAGACCAATGCGTTTTGTGCTAACTTCAAGATTTTTTTTTTTTTTTTTTTTGCGACCACAAATTTTGCAGCAATTGATTGTTCTACTTCTCCATGTAACGTAAACGGAGCTTTACACTTCTTCTAAGTATTCCAAGTAATAAACAATTATACGCTATGAGTAGTGTAGAGGAAATCGGATTCAATATTTCTCCCTTTGAATTTCTTAAGAAAACCATCTCCAGTTCCCCAGAAGTTACCCTGGACAATTCAACTTTACCTGCAAAGACTGAGAATCAAAAATGCCAGGAAGAGACAGGTTCAAATAAAAATGAAAGCGAAAAGAATAAGTATAGCATTGTGAGTAGTAATACTAAAAACATTGGTTCCACTAATTTGTCGAAGATGGGATTGTATCATGTCCCAGACCAAATGATGAAACTCGCCCATAAAAACGGGGCTAAATTTACTTTCATGGTGACAGGATGTTCTGGGACCGGGAAAACTACTTTCATTAATACTCTCTTTAGGGAAACTATTATACCAGTAGAAGATGAAGCTTATCTGAGGAAGCGAGGGATTTCATTAGAGCCAATCAAGATCTATAAAGCGGAATTGACAGAAAAGGAGTTCTGTTTGAAGTTGACCATTATTGAAACACCTGCTTTTGGGGAATCCGTCAACAATCAATTTTCTTGGTCACCAGCTGAAAAATTCATCGATGAACAATTTAGATTATACTTATATCAAGAGGAACAACCAGACCGCAGAAACATATTCGATTCTAGAGTTCATTGCTGCTTTTATTTTATTCCACCTACTGGAAAGGGTTTATCCAAATTGGATATTGCGACGATGAAACTGATTAGCCAAAGAACTAACTTAATCCCCGTCATTTCGAGAAGTGATACATTCACCAAAGTAGGGCTACTTTCATTTAAAGAATTAGTGAAGAAGGATTTGAGAAGGGAGAATATAAAAGTATGTGATTTCATTCTTGATCAGAGCGTTCATGAAAAAATAAATGAAACTATGCCTTTTGCAGTCATTGGGGCTTCCAGCGAACTTCACCAGATGCCAGACGGAGCAAAAGTCAGAGGGAGGAGATACGATTGGGGAGTTGCTGAGACTGATAATCCTAGCCATTGCGATTTCTCCTTGCTTAGCGAAATTGTTATGGGGCAGAACATGTTAGATTTGATATTATCAACTGAATCTCACTATGAGAATTACCGCAAAAATTGTTTGATAGATAGATTCAACGCTATCAAAATTTTGGAATCATCTACGAATGAAGAACACGCCCAATATTCTTCCGGTCACCAATACAATGGATTAGAAGAGTTACAGGTTTTTCACAAGTATAAATTGAAAGACTTGGAGGCAAAAATTCAAGAAACTGATACATTGTATAGGGCCAAAGAAAGGGAAGCAAAATCTAAGTTCAGCCAAATTGTGCAACTACAAGAGAGAAGGTTCAAGGAATGGAAAAGAGGGTTAATTGATAGACAAGAGAAGTACAACAAGGAAATCGAAAATCTTCATTTGAAAATCATTCACATACAAGATGAGATTCAATTGTTAGAATCTGGAAATGAAGCTTTGGAATCAAGTTATAAGTCTCTCTCACTATAGTGAGGAACTGCCACTCTTGTCTGAGTCTGCTACTACACTTTTAGGGCTAAGAGAGAATGGGTTCTACACGCCGGTCGTGTGATGAGCTGAAAAAAAAAAAAAAAGTTCACGCTATAAAAATTGGGAATTAGTAGTAACTTGAAGTAAAAGTTGAACCTTCTTCTTACCACTTCAAGATGATATCTTGCTAAGTATACATAATTGGTATGTTTTAAACTCAAACTTCGGCCTTTCTGCAGTTATAATGATGAATTTTTGTTATTTATATGTTTTTTCTGGCATCTCTAATGTTAGGGCTTTTCAGCTCGATGAGTACAACCCTGACGACTATCTGATGTATAACTGATGATGAAAGAAATGAATTTCTTCTTTTTTGCAATTTGCTAACCAGCTTTAGATATGTATGCTCTATAGAGTTTAATATAAATATGTAATACAATGCAGATGAAGGAAACAATGCAATAATTGTAGAATGGTATGTTCATGGAACATACGTAACTCTGACTATTTTCTTAGCCCAGGAGCCACATTAGGTTCATTCTTTTTTTCTTTCTCTTAGCGCAAGCAGAGTTTATGTTTCTTTTGTTCTTTTTCTTGGTGATTCAGCTTAGCGAAGACTTGTACCCGATTCGTGTTCGAGAAGATCTACACTTAAATTTGATGCATATCAAATAACCGAAATTAGACTAAACTTTTTTTCTTCTTTTCTTTTACCCTTAGGTCCGTTTTATTGACTTCGGGGAGGCGATACCATGTCCGTATACCTGTTTGAATCAGATAGTGATGAGAAAAGCGTAGAGAAACCTCATGAATTTGATGAATTGGTAGCTGAACACGAAGCACTTAATGTAAGTCAACCACCAACAGAGCCTGATACCTTGGATACAGAGTATCGTTATATCAACTTTATATTGGATCATTCAGCATTTGTACGTGGAATTGGAAACATCAAGAGATGGTTTAATGAAGAATACATTAGGGCCAGTTACAAGCATAATTCTGGAGACAAGATCAAATTAGTCATTCACATTCCCACCTACACCTTACATGAATTTGATTTCGTGAAGAAGGGTAATACAATGATTGCTACTAATGCTCGAGAGGCCATAAAATTCATTGACAAATTCGTCAACGACGAAGAAGAGAACACAACGAGAGTAATCGATAGTATGGAATTCAATTGTTCACTCGACATTGAAGTGCCCAATGCACGCAGTGGTCCATCGTGGAATGAATGTTTGAACTATAAGATATACAGACCACTCGTTAGGGAGTTTCCGAATTTCAAGACCAAGTTCGACTCCAATCTTCTTGGGCAAAATTCGGCACATCAGTTGAACAACAATAGAACAACTAACAACCAAAATCAGTTGAACGATATACAATATGAAAACTCCGAGTCGTATCAAAACGCATTGGCGCATTCAGATTCGCCTGCTGAGATGCCCGACAGATTGAAGTATTTGATTAAGTCTTGCATTCTGAAGTTGAAATCCAACAGACTGAATTACAAAACTAATGACCATTGGAGATTGGTAACCGAAGATCCAATTACTAAAATTTGGGCTATTAGTTTTGGAATTGAATGTATGAATATTAACGAAGCTGAACTTTTCATATTCCAGGATTATGATATCAATGCCCAAAAGAAAAGCATTGATCCACATTTCCAGTACAATGACGATAATGAGAAAGGGCCAAAAGGTCCGAATAGCATATTGCAAAACACAATAGACACGACTGTATACGAGTACACCACTACTAATGAAGAGGACAACAACAACACTAAGAATGTGAAAAGTAAGAAGAACGGATCAAAAGAGAAGTCCAAGGAAGCTGAGAAAAAGGATGCCAATAAGAAGGATACCGGAAAGAAAAAGAAGAACCTGCAGAAAGGAAAGGTAAGGGACCAAGTGAGCCAAGGTGAAAGTGCTGAAGGTCTTGTACACGAGGGAACAGGGGTGTACGGAGGAATTGTCAAGAAAGAAAGATTCAATGCGATCAACTACGCACCAAGAGGATCTGGAGAATTATGGAAACCATGATTGCGATGAAGGGCAGTTGAAAGAGAGAAATATAGCGCCTAAATCGTTCTGTCCTAGTGTACTCAAGTAGCGCACTCTAATACTTGTGTATGGCCGCATTAAAAGGAGATTGAACAAAACAAATTAAACGGTTCAAGAGGTTATGCTCCCACTTCTGTGAACGTGGTATACCCACCTTTGCGGCCGATTGACATTTTGGGTTTTCCCATATTTCATATCTACTCTCTGTTTGAGTGGAGCCATATGCCCTCTAGGAGCAATGAAGATTCACCAATCAGACCACGAAAAATACCCACTTCTCGAGTTTTTTCAGCCCATATCGATCTAACAAGCTTTATTTTGACCACCATCTCCAACAGGAATGAAAAATCCATATAACCTGTCTAATTGACCATACTTAGTTTATATACTTATATATCTAATCAGAGCCTATCAAAGTTACGAACTGCATATAAACAATACTGTACTTCTCTTTTTGGAACAACGCAAGCACCGATGAAAATTTTCCTCCACCCTATCACTATCTGACCTGCACAGTACCGTGACACAAACCACGATCCATGAGAAAAATTGAGGAATTCACGTAAATAAGGTAAACTGTTCACAGGGCCTATCATATCTAGGATAGATAGTAGGGAGTGAAGTAAAGTGCATCACGGGTTCAATTACGGCTATCATTGATAAGCAGAGGCTACTCTTTTGACAGGCAAAGATGAATCGACAACTTCTGAGAGAGGAAATACACAAAGTGTTCCAACGCTGGCAACAGCTTAAACAACAGTTTGGAGACCAGGCAGTAAATGTGCCTGAGTTTAACCACTTGAACAAGATTATTAGATATCTTCAACAACAGAATCAGCAACAGCAGCAGCAACAGCAACAGCAACAACAACAACAAAACCAACAATCGCTTAACAATGGCAATGGACAACAACAGCTTCAACAACAACAGCCCCCACCTCAACAACAACAACGCCAACAGCCACAGCACATACAACAACAACAGCCTCATATACCTCCGCAACAACTGCAACAGCTGCACATGTCTCCACCTCTCCATACGCAGAACATGAACCATCTTTCCCAAGGACAGATGCATGCCTTTAACCAGCAGCAAGGGACTGTGGAAGGTAGTAACAATGGCACACCTCAGGCTACAAACATGACTCCTATGGCTCAGCAAAATCAACTTGCTCAAAATTCAATCCACAAACAGGAGTTTCAAGGTGGATCTGTCGGGGCTCTTGTAAATGGTAATAATAACCTTAACTCGACTCCCTCGTCCACTAATAACAGTAATATCAACAACAATGGGAACAGGTCCAATGACTCAGCATTTACCGCGCTGCAATTTCAAATGTTAAAGGCTCAGTTCCAAGCTCTCAAATTTCTTTTAAAGAGTCCGGTTCCAGGGAGTCCTCCTATCCACCAGAATTTGGTTGAATTTGTTACCAATGATCAGTTGGTGTTTCCAAATGACCAATCGTACTTACCTGCAAACTCAGTAAAACCCTCCCCATCTCTTCAGCAACAACCATCTGTTCAACCAGGAGCACAAAACCTCATTCAACAACAGCAAGACCAGCAATTGCAACAACAACTATCTCCGGCCGTTATGAGTAACAATAATTCACCGGCGTTACCTATGCAGAACTCTATGCAACAGCAGAAAGGAAAGGCTAACTTCCCCATGTCGCAACAAGATCTTCAACGTCAATTGCAAGCGAAAGCAGCCCAAGCCCAAGCAGCTCAAGTGGCACAGGCGCAAGCACAAGCACAAGCACAAGCAGCTCAAGTACAAGCAGCACAAGCAGCACAAGCCCAAGCGCATGCTTCTCAGGTGCAAGCTACACAGGCTCAAATGGCAGCTCAACAACAAGCGCATAACCAAGGACAATCGCTTACAGCTAATTCACAAAATCAAGTTGCACCGGGCCGTATTGTACTGCAACCTACTGCTCCCAATTCATCGAAATTTGGAAACAAGCAAATACCCAAATCACTTGCCAATGGAGTGCTGAAGGATCAGAAGTATATTTTCACGGATCCAGCTAAGCCTCCCGTTGAACTAAACGAATTATTTCCAAATGGTAATGACTTAGGAAAATTGACAATCATTCCCATCAATTCACCCACGGTTCAAGCTGACGCATTTGAGATACCCCATCTTGTAGGTGATCATGTTAAAGATGTTTCATATTCAGCGTTTCATAGCTCGCAAAGTAGATTCCAATTTCCTTCCTTATTTCCTGAAGGGTTCAGTATGGATGAAATTTATTCAAATATACAGACCCTCAAGAACCTAAATATAGAATTGGATCTCGACTCATTAAGAGCACAGCTTGATGAATTCAATGAGGGAGATAATTTGGAAGAAAGAGAGCTTTTGGAAAGCGAAATCAGCAAATTGGAATTATTGCCTTACCAAAAGTCATTGAGAGGAAAGGTACTATCACAATTGTGGTTTAGTAAATCATTGCTACCAAATTCCCATCCTAACTTCTTGGCAAAATTTAATACCTTATCAATTGAGAATATCACATCTACTCATGAATTATATAGAAAGCAGGTCTATTCATTGGTTCAAGCTCAAAATAAAAGGCATCAAAAGACAATTAATGAAATATTGCAAAACCAAAGGAAAAGGACTGACAAATTGATGAACAAGAAAGAAAAACTTGCCAGATTCTCGAATAAGGTGGCTTCATTCCATAGTCAAGTTGCCAAGGAAGAGCAAAAGAAAATTGAAAGGATGGCTAAGCAACGTTTACAAGCATTGAAGCTGAATGATGAAGAAGCATATATGAAATTGTTGGATCACACTAAGGATACAAGAATTACTAGGTTATTGAAACAAACCGATCAATTCTTGGATTCTTTAGCCCAAGCAGTTCAATCTCAACAAAGAGAATCTCAGGATAGAAACTCCCATTCTTTAGAAACTCAAGAAGAACAAGCTCAGCCAGATGTACCTTTATCTGACGCGGAAAAACGTGAAAAGATGGATTACTATCATGTTGCACATAGGATCAAAGAAACTGTCACCAAACAGCCTCTGATTCTTGTTGGTGGTCAATTGAAAGAATATCAGTTGAAAGGTCTTCAATGGATGGTCTCCTTATTCAACAATCATTTAAATGGTATCTTAGCTGATGAAATGGGTTTGGGAAAAACCATTCAGACTATTTCATTGATTACGTATTTGGTTGAGGTCAAAAAGATAAGAGGTCCATTTTTAGTCATTGTTCCTTTGTCTACTTTAACGAACTGGAACATTGAATTCGAAAAATGGTCTCCTTCCGTCGTAAAGATTACTTATAAGGGTACTCCAAATCAACGTAAAATCTTACAAGGAGATATAAGAAGTGGAAATTTCCAGATCTTGTTAACTACTTTCGAATACATTATTAAAGATAAGGCTTTGTTGTCCAAGATCAAGTGGGTTCATATGATTATTGATGAAGGTCATAGAATGAAGAATGCCAACTCTAAGTTATCCGAAACTTTGACACATAGTTACCACAGTGATTTTAGATTAATCTTGACTGGTACGCCTTTGCAAAACAATTTACCTGAATTATGGGCATTATTGAATTTCGTTTTACCTAAGATCTTCAACTCTGTTAAATCATTTGATGAATGGTTCAATACGCCATTTGCAAGCACTGGTGGCCAAGATAAGATTGAGTTAAGTGAAGAAGAAACTCTTTTGATCATCAGAAGATTACATAAAGTTTTGAGACCATTCTTATTGAGAAGATTAAAGAAGGATGTTGAAAAGGATTTACCAAATAAAGTCGAAAAAGTTGTCAAATGTAAGATGTCGTCATTACAATCCAAATTATATCAACAAATGCTCAAACATAATGTCATCTATGTTGGAGATCCAAATGATGAGAACAAGATGATCAATATTAAAGGTGCTAATAATCAAATTATGCAATTGAGAAAGATTTGTAACCATCCATTCGTCTACGAAGAAGTTGAAAATTTAATCAACCCAACCTCTGAAACTAACGATCAGATTTGGAGAGTAGCAGGTAAATTTGAGTTGTTAGATAAAATTTTACCTAAATTTAAAAAATCGGGCCATAGAGTATTGATTTTCTTCCAAATGACTCAAATTATGAACATTATGGAAGATTTTTTGAGGTTGCGTAATATGAAATACATGAGATTGGATGGTGGAACAAAAGCCGATGATAGAACTTCTTTATTGAAGTTGTTTAATGCCCCAGATTCAGACTACTTCTGCTTTTTGTTATCCACTAGAGCTGGTGGTTTAGGATTGAATTTGCAGACTGCAGATACAGTTATTATCTTTGATACGGATTGGAATCCACATCAAGATTTACAAGCTCAAGATAGAGCTCACAGAATTGGTCAAAAGAATGAAGTTAGAATCTTGAGATTAATTACTGAGGATTCGATTGAAGAGATGATTCTTGAACGTGCCCACGCAAAGTTGGAAATTGACGGTAAGGTCATTCAAGCCGGTAAGTTTGATAATAAATCTACAGCCGAGGAACAAGAAGCTTTGTTGAGAGCATTGATCGAAAAGGAAGAAGAACGTAAGGTTGGTGGTACAGAGTCTGACGATGAATTGGATGACGATGAGTTGAATGAAGTTATTGCAAGAAACGACGATGAGTTGATTTTATTCAAAAAAATGGACGAAGAAAGAGTAGCAGCTACGAAAATTGCAGATTATCCTAATAGAATCTTCACAGAAGCAGAATTGCCAGAGATCTATAAGAAAAACCCAGATGACTTCTTTAAGAAAGAAGAAGATATCATGGAAATCTATGGTCGTGGTAATAGAGAAAGAAAGAGTATGGCTTATGATGATAACTTAACAGAAGAGCAGTGGTTAAGACAAATTGATGGAGTTGTATCAGATGGTGAAGACGATTTGGACTTACCTCCTGCTCCTAAGCCGAAGGGAAGAAGAGGTAGAAAGCCATTACAGGCAAAGGTTATTGATTCAGAACTCGAAACGAAAGATGGTGGTGATACCCCTGGCGATAGTGATATAAATGCTTCCGACGACTTCAGACCTGGTGGAGCAGCTGGAAGAAAACGTAAATTGTTAATTGATGGCGAAGATGATTCAATAAAAAAGTCAAAATCGTCAACTCCTAAACCCGGCAGACCAAGAGGTAGGGCCAAGGGTTCAGGAAGAGGAGGAAGAGGAGGTAAGAAGGGTTCAACTTTGTCAAGGACTACCCCAACCTCCGACCCATTAACAGAAAGTGAAAGAAAAGAATTACAAGATAACTGTAAGAAGATTGTTGATTTGATTTTAGAATTCACAAATGAAAATGGCAGAAAGCTCAGTGACTTGTTCCTAATTAAACCATCGAAGAAGTTTTACCCTGATTACTATGTTTTAATTAAGAATCCTATTGCATTGGATACTATTAATAAGAGAATTAACAACAACACCTATATTAACATTAGAGAGTTTCTTGAGGATACACATTTAATGTTCAGCAATGCAAGAATTTACAATGAAGAAGGTTCGATCGTTTATCAGGATGCAAAGCAATTGGAAGGTTTAGCAATTGATAAATTTAAAGAATTGTACGGGAACACAATAACCAGCGGTGGCGAAGATGGTGTAGACGTTGAACAGCTTGCTGACTTTACTGATTTTGACGAAACTTATGCTTTAAAACCTTTGGCAGTAAATGCAGCTATAAAGAGACCAATTGAAGAGAAATTACAGAAGATTGATGATGGAATTGATAGTCCGAGTATATTATCCAGTAATGTTTTTACGGAGAGTAATAGTACTGATCAAACTCCAAATGTTGAAGTTTGATAAGTAAAATAGAATGTAACGAATTAAATACATAACATATATATAACCTAATAATACCTGATTGTAAAGTACTAAACCAAAGGAAAGCGATATTTCCGGTTGTTAAAATTTCATGATAGTTTTTTTTTTTCTGCTTCCACTTTGGGATATGATAGCCATCATTAAGCCTCATACCGGGGTAACTCTTCGTCTATTTGAGCATTATTGACCTGGTCATTTAACACTACGTTCAAAATTGGAATGAAATCAAACAATCCCCCATCGTTGAACTTTATGGTTCCCTTGAACCATTTATTGTAGGGAAATCCATCACTGGCCAGCTTCGTACTGTGGAACAAGAATTCCCAGTAATTTGCTCCAAACCAGGGAGAAACTAACTTGTGAGAAAACTGAAGAGAAGGTGTCTGGGTAAATTCAAACAGAAAGTTATTAATATCTCCCTTTGAGACAGTGATATAGATAAGCCTTTTATTTGTGACATAAAGATACCCGTCAGCAGCTGAAATGCTTATTTGGTGTGGCTCTGGATCAGAGGTGTTCTTCTGAGATTCAATGACAAGTGATTGTCTAGGTGAAGGCGTGAAATATCGGATACTTTCGGATTCAAATAAATGGAAAGGAAGCTCTCCTTGTTTGAGAAGACTTTCATGCTTGTCCTTAAGTGTTATATTGTTAATCGACATCTTAACTAGTTCGCTAAAAATATTTACAAATGGAATAGTTCTATAGCCATTGGGGCCCTTGCTCCATCTTTATATGTAATGATCATTGTTGGCGCACGACCACGCATTCTTTATACCTGAACATATGCGATCGAGATGAGACAGCGCCAGATGAGCTGCAACTTTTCAGAGTAAGTTGGCGATATCCGTTTGGCTTCTCATTCAACACAATCGTAAAAAGAACATATGCTTGTAGATACAAGTGATTTTGCATAGTGTTATTTCAACATCCCAAGTTACGTCTTTTTTCCTTGCATTTTTTTTTGATACTGTTCTTCTTGATATAAATTTATGAACTCACTCAAACCTTTAAGATCTTTCAATCCACATTTAGTCGAATACTTTAGAACTTCAAATATACCCAGAACACAATATGGTTTTAGAAATATAGTGAAACCTTCAGCTTGTCAAGATTTACTAGATAAGTTAAAGTTAACTGAAAAGTATCCAAATTCGCTGTCTTCCCTTGATATAATAGATGTATTTCCAGGTTATGGCTTATTTTCTACCATGTTAAATCATGAATTAAAACCCAAGAACCACATAGTACTTGAAAATAATAAGCTCATAGCACAAATGTGGAAAGAGAGAATCAGCCATCTCGAGGAAAAAACAAATAATAAAGAAAACTTCAGATTATATGAGCAAGACGGATACATGTGGGAAACGTATGATAACTTGATTCAGAATGACAAGCTACTTCAGCCCAACTTTCAGACAAGAAAGGATATTAATGATGAGTTACTTATAGTTGCGAATTTGACTATTTTGAAATTTGGAGAACTGTTGTTAGCCCAATGGTTGGCCTGCTGTGGATTTGGGAATTGGTTGCAAAAGTATGGCAGAGTTAGAATGATCTGCTTTACATTGGAATCAACAGGTCAAAAGTTTATGGCACAAGAATCTTTTTCTAAAAGAAACAAGGCCGCAGTTAAAAGAGAAACATTCACAGACTCAAAAATCATTGGAGTAACAGAGCCTCTTGATGTTTCAGATTGTAATGGAGCTGGATATGACCCACGAGTGATGATAAAGGATCAACCGGTATTGATACCAAGAAAATCCGTGTTGCCTCCCAATTCTACTTCAATCACTGTATTGGAAATTGAACCTAGGAATATTGAGATTGATGATATTGATGTTGAAATGTTCGAATTCTTTCTTAAAAATTTCTTTGTGAAAAAGACAACTCCTGTAAAAGAAGGCCTAAAGTTTCTTGGCCCCGGTGCAGATATTGACATTATTCCCAAACTTAGAGAGGAATTGGTGGATAAGACTATAAGAGACCTAACAATGAGTGAGGTTTTAGAAGTTTACGAAGCATTTAACAAGTGGCCATTCAAGCCATCATACGAAGATACATTGGATGTGGTAGATTTTGAAGATAGACGATTTTGAGACTCTTTGAAAATAGATAATAGAATTACCTCATGTATATATTTAAAAATAGGAAATACAACAGCCAATTTAATTAGAATTTGTCTCACATGGTTCAAGCTCAATTGAATTTAAGAAAGTGGGACTTTCAATTGGCTCTTCACTTATTTTTGCTGACTGTAATATCTTTTCTTCTTCAACATGGCTCACTATTGTTGATCCGGTACCAAGGAATTGAAATACTGGTGCACTGAAACTCCTACTTCCAAGTGGAGAGAGAGAATTTTCATGGAAAATACCAGACTTGGAAAATTGTCGAATCCTTGCTGCACCGATCAAGTTCTGATGTTGGTTTTGAATACTTGTCTTTGCACTCTCTGGTGATGCGTACTTTGGGTCAAGGGGTCCCTCGTTGGACAATATTTTATTGTCCATTGCATTCCCAATTGGAGACGAGTCAAGATTAATTGTTTGGGTGAAAGGTGAATTCATATTTGATGAAAGACGACTCTTGGCTACTGGAACTCCACCTGATTTAGCATTTTCAGTAGCAGGTGACGGTGAATATATACTAGATGTATCCTTTGAGGATGGTTCATAGTCCCTACAATCTCTTCGAATCGATCGCTCAGAGATATAGTGAGTAATATCAGCTTTGATGATTTTTGTATAATAGATAAGTATTCCTAGAAAGAACACAAACTGGACAGCGTATAATACGGATACAAAGTGTGACCTGGTGTTAGGTAGCCGATAACCCACCATAATAGAAATGGTTATGTTAAAAAACGCAAGCAGTACCAACATCAATGAACATAGTACTAGAAAAATCAATGAAAAGCACTCTCTCCAAGCACTTGAGTATTCAAGTCCTTCCTTCACGCATATTAAAACAAGTAGAAGAAAACTGAATAAATTTATACAGTAATTACCCACCTGAAGTCTCCTTATTCTTCTTGGAACATCAGTGAAATCTCGTACCTTGGAAGAGTGGAGAAGTGGCATCAAGTATTTTCGGATAAAAGTTCGTCCTTCTGAAAGCATGTTTTCACTCAGCTCCTTTATTGAACTATGCATCTCAATATGTGGATACATAACTGCTTCATTTGTATGTGATTTGATAAAATAGCCTTCTTTTAAAGTTAATGAGATGTAATCTTGATCGATTTGAAGTATAGGCTTGACTATAATTGTAGTGGAATTTATGTTACGCAAGTATGTTTCTTCTCGTCTCGTATAAACATCCTTTAAAACTTCTAGTAATAATTCATCAGGAAAAGAGCTTTGGGAAACTGTATTGGGTAGCTGAAGAAACTCCACTATGTCTACCAATGGAAAGGAAGTGCTAAAGTAATGCAGATATTGGAGATTAGTTACATTGAACAACACAAGTACCAAACCTGCAATCGCAAAGTGAAGTGCACTATTCTTCTTCCGTTTTCTTGGAAGAATCTCTCTCAATGAGCCTTGTCTACTCACACTATCTATTTGAGCATCCTCTTGGCCTTTCCTATACCTTATCTGATTTATTATCCACATTCTGAACAACATTTACTACATGTTGGAATAAGCATTTTTATAATTGTGTGCGCTTTTTGCAGCCATTACCGCACTAGTAGCAAAGAAAAAAGTGTTGCATTTCACAGCACAAATAGAGAATCTACAAAGTGTGAGAGACATTAGAACTGGTAACTTTATTTTTATCTTGTATATTACATTTTATTGAGGTAGAAGCAGCTCTATTAACGTTCGCTTCAGCTTGTTCACTAAGAGTTTGGAACATTTGGTAAATTGGCAAATAGCTCAACTAATTTCTTTGCGTCAAATACATGATCTTTCACAGTTCCGAAGTAATTTGCACTGGGCAAGGCTCTAAGCAAGCCATAGGTAGTGCTACCAACAAATTGTTGGTATTGATCTTGCCCAGGTGACTGAAACTGATTTGTATATCCGTTACCGCCATCTGAGTTGTTAGTATTGTTAGTATTATTTTGATTACTGTTATTATTGGTAGCATCTATGGAACCACCCAAGTTTGTAGGAATTGCCGGGATGTTAGGAATTCCGGAAATAGACGGGGTGGTTGAAGGCTTGGGAGGTATGTTAGGCTCTCCGTTAGTTTCTTGTTGTCGTAATTGTTGCAACTGTGGCTGCTGTTCCAGTTGCTGCAGCTGTTGTGGTTGCTGTTGGTCCACCTTTCTTCTCTTGAGATCTCCACCTAAATCAAACCTTCTAATAACATCAATTGAACCCTCCTCGTAATATCTGTCACAAAATAATTCCATAGTATCGTCTTCAGGGAAATACTGTTCATAACGATTTTCCAAACTTTTCACTGCATTCAAATCTCCATACTTGGTTTCGAACTTGGAGAACTTCTTAAACATTTCTCTTATACTTTCTTTCTTCTCCTTTATGTCTTCATCCTTCAATCTTTTTTGTAGCAAGTGGGCTGGAGATTTGGCTAAACTTGAGCCTACTGAAGTTTCCACACCTTCATTTTCAGATGTAATCTCTTTCAATAATGTGGTCAACCCTTGTTCAAATAAAACTCTCATATTCTCCACGTCGTTGGTCATAATTAAGTAATCCAAGTAACTCAAGAGAAATCCACCACATTTATTAAATACTTTCATACCCAATTCAAATATTCTATTTGGAGTCTTCTTGTTATCAGAGTAGTACTCTAATAAGGCATTGCTCACATAGAATTCATAGCCAATTGGTTTGTAGCTTGTTCTGGCATTCTTAAAAACAGATCTAGCTTCTTTAATCCCACCAGAACGCTTAACAGCATTCATTAACTTAATATAGACAAATGTAATTGACTTATTCAAGTTGCTTTGACGCTCCTGCAAAATAGCTAGCTGATCAACTTCTGACTGCGAAAGTCTGCTCAACGGAGATTCCATTGGGACATAATTGATATCGTCGTCATCATCATCATCGTCATCATCATTTTTTTTATTATTTTTTTCATTTTCATTACTTGATACATCTCTTTTACTACTTTCTTCAACCTTTTCTGTTTCATTGACTTTTGTGATATTCTCGATCTTTTCAGTTACACTATTGTAGTCCTTAATCAAAATTTCAATCAAATTATTGAATGTTTCAGTAGACTTATTGCTACTATTATCCTTCTCATATAATTCACTTAATTGAAACGATAACAAGAAGCTTCTTGGATTCAAAACCAATCCTTCACTCAATAAGTTAATACACTTGTTAAGATTAGCTTCTTCATTGCTATTAAGCCAAAACTTGTTATATTTGAACCATAATTCTGGAACGAAAGGTAACGTCGCCAAGGATTGTTTATAAACATATTCAATTCTCTGCTGGAGAAGATCGTCCTTCAACTCCAATTTATTTTCTTTTTCCAACTCTAACCATTTATACCATAATGATTTTTGCTTCTGAACCAAATGGCGGTTTTGCTCTAAGCTGAAGGGGATCACCGGAGATCTTTGCAACAGTCTTTCTGTCACATTTGTCCACTCTATATACCATGATCTAGCCAACATATAATTTGCAGATTTCTCACCAATAAACTTCTTGGCAGTGATGGGGTTAACTTCATTTTCCCAATTTGTATATACTGGCCAAATTTTCTCTAGTTTCTCATTTGGGATTAATAGTAACTGCTTATAAACCTTTCTAATGAAGTCATTCTTCTGTTGTTGTTCCCAAGTGGCAGTAGGGGTCCAAGACTTTAAGAATTCCAAGTAATCTTCCCATAATTCACTACTTGACATATCGAAACCCACATTTTTCAATGCAAACTCGAAGGCATCAATTACAGTTCTTCTTGCCTTTTCACCTCCCGTGATAACATCATTAACACGACGAACATAAGAGACGTAAAGACGATATAATCCTACATGGGTGGTAACTGCAAGACACTTTTTGAATAGTTCCTGAGCATTTTGAAATTCACTTCTATCTATTTCATAATTGATATAACTACACCATTGTTCACCATCGAATTTAAATATATTTAAATATCTATCCATCACAGATCTAACTTGTTCTTCTTTGTCCTTTGCAAAGACCTGTTTAATGAGTTTCATCCAATTATCGTAGTTTAATGGATCGGTTTCAAGATCATCTTCAAGTTGCCCTATGACATCTAATGAAAGATATTTCTTCTTCTCAGAAGGAATAAAGACTGACATGATGCTTAGTTGAAGGAAGAAGACCTGAACAAAGACTCCGTTGTGACTGAAGAATTTCTTTAGCATTTGGTGTGTTTGTGAATTGAAAGGGTACACGACTTAAGTATGTGCAGTTTTGCTGGATGGATGAAAAATCTACTGTGCAAGGAAGGGCCTCACTGAGCTCTTAGTGCATGCAGGGAATGGTAGCCTGGGAGATCAATTGCATTCATAGAGAGAAAGTTGAAAAAAAACGAATAGAATTGTACTAACCACAAAGTTCAAAGCATAGCATACAATTGGTACAGCCTGAAAAATGGAATTACACGTGTGGGGTTATGACAATGAAATATCCGTGATAGAGCCTGAGTGCTTAGCAAGCGCATGGTTATTACAATCATTGGATATTTCTTTCAAGATAGTGACATCGAACAATACCAATATATCACCAACGCATTCTCTTCCACTTTTAATCGATGAAGAGCAAAAAATAGCTGGGTACTCTAGCATTTTCAAATTCGTGTCGAAGAAACAAGAGAAGAAGAAGAATAACTTAATAGAATTTGCATTGATTTCTTACATAACTGAAAACTTTAAACCATTGAATCAATATAACTTGTACATAAAATCTGATAACTACGAAAAATACACCAGAAAGTTGTTCAAAAATTATTTTCCGTTTCCCATGATGTACAACCAACCGTTGAAATTTTATTATGGTGCGCAAGAACTTGTGAGTACGGTTGGGTTGAAGTCTGAAGGGCAGGGATTTTTCAATTTTAACGGTTCTGGGGCGAATGTTGCGGAAACGGAAATGGTGAACGAAAGTACTACAGACGACGTTGCCATTTCTTCGTTACATGAGAAGCAATTGATATCAAAGTCGAAGCAGAGGAAGAACCTTACTGAGGCAAGGTATACTTTGAAGTGTTTGACATTGATGGAAGAACACATGAATCACATATTGAAAGTATATAGTAGTGAAAGTGGTGGTACTAGGAAAGAAGAGCCAGAGGTGCAAGAAGAGCAAGAAGAGCAAGAAGAAAATGCAAAAAATGAAGAAAAAGACGAAAGCAAAGAAAATACAAACATAAGTGTGAATCTAAGTGACAACTTTGGTATTGGGAAGTTTATCGCCAGTGATATGCTCCTCTTTGCCTATATCTATTCATTGACATTTAAAGAATTACCCAGTACTTTCATACTAAACTTTATGAGAACAAAATTTTCAAGTTTCACCAGTGAAGCGCTCAAGCATATTACCCAATTGAATGAGAACCTTGGCGATACCTTGTACAAAAAGCCAGAGAGTTCGGAAATACCCAATCTATGGAATGAATTAGTATATGTTACCAAACAGTTCGTTTAGATTGCAACCATTTTTAACGCATCTATAGGTTCAAATATATGTTACCCGGAAAGCAAAACACTCTATCACACTCTCAAATATTTAAGAGAGATTTTTTTTGTTTTTTTTCCCGTATCGATAATTTACCTTTTCCCTTTTCTCTATAGTTAAGCTTCTTTAATGAAGCATTGGCAATCTTAGCATAGTTTCATTTTATACTTTCATCATGTATTCAATGATGGAATTTCCTTGCCAAAGAGAAATTTTTTCATACTTCTGAGTATCAACGGACGAACCCATGTCTTGAGAGTTTATTACTCATTATTAGAAACTACATATTTTGTAAGCCTTTAGTATTTTTTTTTCAACCTGTAAGAGCTTCCCTTGATTACTTACCCGAGAGAACTGAAAGAACACCCCATTTTTTTATGTGGCCCTCCCAGTCGTGCTTTTTATTCATTCATTCCAACATTTTTTCGTTTCGTCCGCTCTACACTTCCCCTGCACTATCCGTCATCCCATTTCCTACTCATACGTAGTCGGTAGATTCGGACATCTGCTAAAATCTGCAGGACCTGAATGAAAAATTATGCCCAAAGTTTCGCAGATCAAACTTTTGTTTATTTCTTTTGTTCACTCTGTAAACAAATAAGCGCTAACTCAATCCTGATTACGTTCTTTTTGGTAACCTCGATTGACTTCCTAACATTCATTTGCTGGAAATGAAATTATCGTTTATAGTTTTATTGGCGGCTATTGCCAGCGAAGCTGTGAGTTCACCAGCTACAATTTCTCCCTCTTCCACTGCAATTCCGGAGATCAGTTCCTCTACCATTACGCAAGGACCTATCTTGGAGAAGAGAGCTAGGAAGGTCATTATAAATAAGGAACAACAGAAACTTGAAGAACAGAAGGAAGCCTTGGCCAATGGTGAGGACATATCCACAACAGATCAACCTAAACCATGGCGTAGAACGATCTATGGATCCATCGTTGAGATCGTCAAGCCCACAGTCATCGCTGGTGTGACTTTCTCTGCGAAGCCACCAGCAACGACGGATGGATTGGAGAAGTGGGTTTCTTTGAAAAAGGATGGTTCCCCAAAGACGATTCAACCAAAGAATAAGGGCGGTGTAATCAAGGACAAGAAGCCCGACTATGGCACCTGGTTTGCTACAGCTACCACCATTCACCATAACAAGGAGGACTTGAAGGCTCACAATATGCAAGACGATGAAATCTTCTCGGAAGAAACCCATATTGAAGAAGATGATACTTATCAGAAGCTTAACCCATTAATAAGATGTACTCCAGAGAGATATTTCAAGAAGGGTGCTGCCAGGAATCAAAAGAGTGAACCATTCTGTACTCCTCAAGATAACCAGAGTTTGAAGATGGACAGCACTTATTTCGTTACTTGGTTTTCTAAATTTTTCGGTGATGAAGTTGAGAACGTGAGAATCCACCTCTCCTCTATTAAGGTTGCAGCTAATGATCACGGTTTCAAGAAGAGACTGGAGATTATTGACAACGGAGGAAAGATTCAAAAGAAATCATTCTATGTTTCCGACTGGGTTAGTAAAGATAAAGGATTCGAGCCAATTACCATTTTGGACGAATGGCTCGGAAAAGACATCTTCTTCAAGAAGATTCTGATCTCAATCCAACCTGATAATATCCCAGACGATGAGTACGACTTATTGGACAAGTATGTAGTGGTTGAAATTAAGAGAGGAACCACCGTTGCCAAAGGTACACATCTTGATTTAAAGAAGTTAGAAGAAAAGCAAAGATTGAAGCAGTTGGGTATTGAAGTGGAAGATGACGATTATCTCGATAAGTACTACATCATTTTGGGGATGCCCACTTGCGTTATGATTGTTGCTTTAGCTATGTACATATTCGTCTGGATTAACAAAAAGGACACAGATTTAAGTTGGTTGAAGAGAAAGAAGGCTGCTGGAAAGAATACAAAGCATAGGAGATTAATATGGAAGGGAAGCAAAAAGTCCGGCTACAGTGAGTTGCCTCTGCATAGTAAAGACATTGAAATGGAGAACGTCGGAAAGATGGATTAAGCGGTACAGTATGCAGTGATGGGTCCCTTCTAATATATACCCAGGGACGAGCATTGGAAGGAGCAGCCAGGAGCCATATAGACGTCAAAGAGAACGCAATAAATGAAATTCGAAAGCAAACAAACGAATGCAAAGCAAAAGAAAAAGAAAAAAAAAAAAAGTGAAGAAAGATAGCCTGGATAAAGATGAAGTTTATAAAATGTATGATACATGATATGTTCAATGAAATGTTGCATCTCTTAGTTTTGGCAAGCTCCATCGAAGTTTCTGTAGAATACTCTATAATTTCTTTTCTGGAACGTATCCTGCATCTCCGGATGTCGCTGTATCTAGTCTCAGCACGGAAGTACACATCGTGCATGTCTGTGTTAGTAGTAGCTTCCAATGCACTCCAAACTATCGTATCTGTAGCGATACTTTAGCACTCAGCTTCAAATCTGCAACCTTTCTAAGTGCCTGATTTTCTTTTCTTTTTTTTTTATTTTTTTTTTTTTATTTTATTTTATTTTTTTATTTTATTTTATTTTTTTTATTTTTTGCAGAATTTCCATTTGTTTCTGTGCAGTTCCTTCACACCCCACCGATAACTACAGCGGTGTGTAACTAGTGGGATGGATCTCCCAGTGGGTAAGTATTAAAGGGCCAATTTATTCAGTAATTAGATTAGGATCGTGTTAGAATTAAGAGCTTTTCTTGAGTTTTCTACTTGACTTGATTTTGTTTCGATTTTATTGGATTCCTTGAACATGTTTTCGGGTGTAGTGGATAAATTGAACGAAGGCTGGATCTTCACACTCTTATCAACCTGCCTTTGCGTTCTTGGGTGCTTTATCATCTACATAGATGATTTATACTCACTATTACTTCCTAAATACATAACGAAGAGGTACAAGTTTGAATTACGTGAGAACTATGCCTTTATGAATGCTTCGCTCCTGTTTAGTTCGGGTTGCTTGATCTTCACTGCCCTTTACAGATTGCTTCCTGAAGGGAAGTCGTACATGAATAAGGCATGCAGCGATGGTGATGAAACTAAGAAGTGTTCTAATGCCCAGAGCTTGTTAACTTACTTATTTGTCTCTTATACGGGAGGCATGATTGTTTGCTTGTCGTTGAACGCTGTGTTGCATTTGATCACCAGTAAATCGGTCGTTCACTGTAAGCATAGTGGAGATGAGGAGAATCATGGGTATGAAGTTGAAACATCAAATCATCATTCGCACAGCCACCGGGGCACCCGTGGTGATCACGATTCGACGGCAGCAAACGGACAGGCGCATATCCATGCACACACTCACAGCAATGAGAACCATGCTGAAGGTGAAGACTCCCCATTAATACCAAAGATCAGAAGAACTAAGTCGCTCCTTCACTACATTACAAACTCAGATGACGTTGGGGAATGCAAGGGCTATGCATCGGCCGATGTGTATCTTTTCCATAGTGGAACCCATGATGAAGAGAACAACGCCACAGCACTAATCCAATGCCCTATAGACCTTGAACATTCTACCATGAAGTCTATTTCCGATAGACACATTCTCTCAGAACATCATAACCGCCACCATGGTGCTGCTGCTGATACTGCTGATGCTGCTGACTCCGATGAAACAATATTGGACCATACTGAGCATTCAAACGCCCATCATCATCACGTTTCTACGCCATTGTCACATCTTTTACTTATTGGTATACAGACTACATTGGCGATAACGTTGCATAAATTACCCGAGGGGTTCATTACGTATGTTACATCAGAAACAAATAAGAAATTGGGGTTTCTGATATTCATAAGTTTAATGTTGCACAATTTCACTGAAGGGTTCCTGATGTGCTTACCGCTATACTATCTGATGTCTGCCTCACCTTCTCCCAAATATGCGAAGCTTAAGGCATTTTCCATCAGTGCAATTTTGGGTGGCATTTCGCAGCCGTTAGGTGCTTTATGTGGGGTAGGGTTCTTGAAATATAATAGGAAGGAAGATATTGACCTCGACCAGCTTAATTTTGTATTTGGCGTAACTATGGCTATTACAAGTGGATTTTTGACGGTGGTAGGATTACAAATGTTCAGTTCCGCCATTCTGTTTAATAGAGGGTCGCTGAATTTTGTCTTGCTCTGGTGCTTGACTGGGATAAGCTTAATTGGATTTTCCAGCGTATTAACTGCGAAAATAAACTAGACAAGGTGATGACCAGGACAGTTGAAGGTTTGAAACTAGAAAGAAAAGAAAAAGAAAGACGAAAAAAAGACGAAAAATGATCTGGGTCAAGTATAATTGAAATGACACTAGTAGATATCACTAGAGATTATATAGAAATGAATACAAACAGGTCCTTAGCAGCGTGTTGTTGCACCGTTATGTCTTCCTTGTCCCAGTAATTTAGTGCATTTGGGTGCAAATTGAGTTCCCAAGACAACTGAGAAGGGAAAAAAAAAGTTGAAAAAATAAAAAGAAATCTGAACGCCAAATCGTTGCCTGCAGTATGCTCTCTGCTGGTGGTACTAGAATGCGGCAGAGCAGAAATAGAAGGAGAAGGGAGCGAGCAATAAAATCATCCCAAGAGAAATAGCCAAGATGCCAAATAAGGAGACAGAGTAGTCAGTCATAGACTCAACTGTTCCTAGTTCGTGTAAAACTAAGAATCTGCCCATACATACACATCTCTTAATGTGTGTAGACGTATAATTTGCCTCTTTCGTCTTGCCTACCCGAACGGTGCGTTGCTACCAAATATGGCTGACCAGCCTGGGCCATGAGCAATTCTTGGGTAACTTTGGTGAGAAAGCATGCCTGAAAATACGCACACGCACGCGTAATTCGCATCCGACATTACGTATCATTGAAAAGTAGAACGAATCCTCCTAATCTTAAATCCCATTTTCATACTGGTCTTTTCTTACACATTTAAAACCACACTGATTTGAACATATTTTTATCAAGATAAGATATTCTAATTTTTCGATATACATACTACAGTTTTCATTTAGTATCATTCCATTGTATGTTATCCGTAATATAACAAGAAATTTTTAAACCTAAGAATATAGAACACAAAAAGAAATATCTTCAAATATGATGGCGCATGAACTACCGCTATCTATTCATAGCAAGCCAAGCTATGACGCTGCTCCAAAGCAGCCTCAACATCAACCACCTCCGACTTCTAAGAAGAATAAGGCAAATAAGGGCGTGGAAAGAACTTTGCCAAGTGGAGAACCAGTGGATTTTGGAGGCAAGAAGTCAAACTCGAAACCCAAGTTGATGGCTGCTCCATCGTTACCAGATGGATCTGCTCCCAAGTTCCATCCAGATGCCCCTGCTCCTTCAGGCGCTACCGGTAAGTCCAAAAAGAGCAAGAATAAGAAGCATAAAGATGCTTCTATTCCAGAACCTTCGCTTCCAAACGGCGCTAAACCAAATTTTTACAATAATGATCAAGGCAAACCTTCTCGTCCTATTAAGAAGAATGAACAAACATTACCAAACGGATCCAAACCAAACTTTAATCCTTCGTCTACTTCAAGTTCTAACAAGAAGAACTCCAATAACAAAAACAAGAAGGCGGATACAGTTCCTGCAGTTGAAGAAACTTATGCTGGCTCTTCGTTTCATTCATCTCCAGCAGCTTTGAATCTTCCAAAACCATCATTTAAAACCTCACCAAAGTCAAGCAACTTATCAACCAAGTCAAGCTCGCCTCAACCGGCTCAACAAGAAAGGTCTCCTATTCAGTCAATGCAGCAGCAGGGACCTCAGGGACCTCATGCTCCACAAGCTCCTCAGGCCCCTCATGCTCCGCATGTAATTCAGCATCTCCCGCAGCAAGGGCCCCATCTTGGAGCACACCATTTTCCATACCCAAATGGACCTATGTTCCCTGTTGCTCCTTATCCCCACACCTCGTTGCCTCCAGCATTTCCTTCTCCAAATCAAAATCCAATGATCTACAGAGGAAATCAATTTGTACAGCCTGGTTTTTCTTATCAACACTCCCCACAAGGATATATCACCTACCAAGGAAATCCACAACAGATCAACCCACAAGGAGCCCCTCAAGGAGCTTTCAATGGAGCTCCATTCCCCTTTACCCCACAACAACAATCTGCTCCTTATCCACAAGCTAACTCTAGCCAGCAGGGACAAAAGATCAGCTTCGTTGAGTTGTTAGACTCGGGTTCAAAATAAGGATTACGAATATATCCTTAATTGATTTGATTTGCTTTACTTTCCTTGTTTTTTTTTTTCAATTGTTTGATTTTGTTATTAATTGTTTTTACGTTGAATTGCAATCTTCAACAGAAACCTTCTTACTCTGCAGTAAGGAAGACTAAGAAGATTGACTGTTCGATTGGCTTTCATTTGGGAGGTCCATGTGTCACATGAACCAATGTATGGTTTGCTTTCTTTAACGAATTATGCTTATATATTACTACGTAGGGAATGCTATTCCCTTGTTTTGACTTTGGTGCTGGAGCTGCTAGTACTAAGGCAAGGTTTTTATGTTTATCTGCATTGCATTAATTTTTCAATGCAGTATTTTTTTTCATATTTTACCTTTTTTCTTTTTTTTTTTTGTCTTTTTTTTTACTTTTTCTTTTTTTTTTAGTTACATTTATTTAGCTAGATAGTACCTCGTTACATCACAGAATAAACGGTTATATTAAAGGGGGACTGTAGAGCGCCTGCTTCAAGGATACTGCAAGAGACTACTATTCTCAAGACTGCATGCTTATGTCAAAACTCTGATGACCATATGCAGTTCGCGCAAAATTAGCAGTTGACGGAAATAGCGAGGCTTCACATTGATTACGATTTTAAAAGACCTTGGGTTATGTTTCATTCAGCTGATAGTGAAGATTCTATTGACGCTATCAAATGAACCCACGTTAAGGTCACTTTAGTTGACTCGACATGAAGCTTACTAGTATCGTAGTGAAATTTAGATACTTCGCGGCTTTACTTGCCTTGCATAATGTATGTGATGTCACTAAATCGTGATTTCTAATCTGACTAAGAATTAGATGGCAAATAAAACCACTAGAGTCCATTAAGGTTTCTGGCATAAGACGACTTAATTGGTTAACCTTTAATACCGTCCCTATACCGGCGAATAATGTAGCCCTATTGCCAGTCATTATTTTGTACTGTGGCGGTTATGTTGCTTCTATATGCAATTTCATCATCTTTGTGTAATGTATGTGCATTTATTGTCTAATTTTTATCTTTCTAATCGTTAATATTTTTTTGTTTTTCGGTTTTTGCATTCGTTCTGTTCAAATTCCGATCTGTGAACAGTAGTCTTTTCTCTTGACATATCTGGTAAGCAGCTAGTATTTTCGGAGATATTCCACCTAGCATTCCAAGTAGAGATGCCAACTAATAAGGAGATCCGCATTATTGCGCTTTTGGTGCTTGACATCTTTTTCTTCTTGTTAGAAGCAATCGTGGGATATGCTGTGCACTCTTTGGCATTAGTCGCAGATTCATTCCATATGTTAAATGATATTATTTCACTTTTCATTGCGTTATGGGCTGTAAGAGTCAAAAACACTAAACCGGCTGACGGTAAGTATACCTATGGATGGCAAAGAGCCGAAATTTTGGGTGCCTTGATTAACGCTGTGTTTTTATTGGCATTATGCTTCACTATCGTCATCGAAGCCATTCAAAGATTTTTCCAACCTCAAGAAATTGGATCTCCAAAATTGGTCTTGATTGTGGGTATTGCTGGGTTGATAAGTAATGGACTCGGTTTGGTTTTATTCCATGAACATGGACATAGTCATTCTCATGGAGGGTCTTCTTCTAGTAACTCTTCAGCCAAGCACAGCCATGAACACGGTCATAGCCACTCGCATGCTGGTTCTGCTGATGAAGAATCTAGAATTGACTCGGACTCAGATATTAGAGACTTCCTTCCAGACGCTGTGGTTGGAAGAATCACAAGTGAACACACTCCATTGGTGAGTGAAACTCACCCTGCTGACGGTGGCAGCAATGACAATGGTGTAGCTGCTACAACTAAAAAGAAATCAATGAATATGGAAGGTGTATTCTTACACGTTCTTGGCGATGCATTGGGAAATGTTGGTGTTATTGCCACTGCCCTTTTCATTTGGAAGACCGATTACTCATGGAGATTTTACACCGATCCCCTTGTTTCCCTTGTCATTACAGTGATCATTTTCTCATCGGCTTTACCATTGTGCAGAAAGGCTTCCAAAATCTTATTACAGGCGACTCCACCAGATATCGACTCCAATTTGATTTTAAGTGAAATTATTCAGTTACCAGATGTCAAGTCAGTTCATGATTTCCATATTTGGAATTTAAATGAAGATATCTTGATCGCGTCGTTACACTTGGAATTGAAACCAAAATCAAGTACCGGCTCTTCGTCATCCACTGATTCCCAGGTCGATTTTGATAAGGAAGTCTTTAACGGTTGTGTAACTCAAGTTCGTGAGATTTTACATCGCTACGGTATTCATAGTGCCACCATCCAACCTGAATTCCACTCCCTTCGTACCGACGCTACTCAAATCAACTCTAAAGCTGCGTTAAATAGAAAGGCTAGTGCCTACGGTTCCACTAACCAAACAAACTGCATAGTTGATGGAGTATTAGGGTGTGACAACGAGCAATGCTTGTCTTAAATGAACAAACAATCTCAATTTGTGTTTTGATTATTAATAAATATTTGTATACGGAAATTTGTGAGTATACTATCAAGTATGTTATATAGAATGAGAGTTAATACAACAGAAAAATATGATGAAAAGTCAAAATGTATTAAAAAAAAAACCTAAATAAAAAAATTATATGTATCATTATGTATGGGAAGAGGACCTGTTTAGAATTGTTTAAGCTATAACACATTCCTTATTGGGCTGGGATTTCGATATTATGGATCCTTGGTCTTCGCTTATCATAGACTGTGTGCTAGGAATGCGTCTGAGGTCAATCGATTGTCTCATTAAATTCATTGACAATCTTCTCCTACCAGTTTTGGCGGTAGTTGAAATTGAAGGTAATTCCTTGCTAGAAACTGACAAAGGCTGCATTGATTGTGTCGATGAATAATGACGCAAAGTTCTAGTTTCCAGTCTATTGTCTCCTATGAATGAATTCATTTTCATTAACGAGCGGCGAGTATCGGTTTTCACCAATTGATTAGTTTGTGATCGTTTCACCAGTAAGTCAGTTAAATTATTATTATTTGCCTTCTTGGATTCCTTTTGGCTCTTCTTCTTATTCTTTTTGGACTTAGTTACATCTTCTGCAAAGGAATTCAAATAATCAAAAGAGTCGTCTTCTTCCTCTTCATCCTGTTGCAGCTCGTCAATGACATTACTGAAGATAGATTGCGTTTCATCTATACTGTTATTGAAATTGTCAGTGCCATCATCGTATGCATCTGTCATATTTGTATTGGTTCTTCTAATACTAAGATTAGAATTTACTGGATATTCACTATGCTGATCAAAATCTTTACCAATTATGTCTGGTACAAATTCTTCACTGAATTCATGAAGTGTGGAGCAACTTTCTCCACTCAATATTAACTCCTTTGTTGTTGTATCCAGCGTAACGCTTCCTTCAGAAGAGTTATCATCACCAGCTATTAATGAAAGTCTTGACAATTCTGTAACGTTCGAGATGTTGCTATTACTTCTTAGATATGCTCGTGAATTAACATCCAAGCTGGACCGCTTGGACGGCATGCTTATCCTTATAAAGTCTATCCTTGGCTCAAGCGAATGATTTATCATTAATTGTGCAAGATTTGAATAGAACCTATTCCATATACATTCCGACTCTGTGGAATAGTTTTCTCTGTTTAGTTGTTCTAGTATAGCGAAAGTCAAAGATTCACCAAGTTTAGAATACTCAGATGTTCCAATCTTAAATATTCTTGAATTGATTTTACAGATTTGTACCATCATTTGGTTATGCAAAGTATGGACCTTCGGTCTATGAAGGTCTTGTAATAACTGTACTGTGAATTCCAAGAAGTGAATCATTTCAAGGACTTGATAATCTTCCCGTATCACCTGCCTCTGCCATGGCGATATTTCGGATATATTTAACGACTTCAATAAATTGTTGACAATATCTCGACCCAAAGTTTTTATATTAACTTGGGACCATATGTGCTTTAATATCTGGATATGCTCCATATCCACCACTAGAGGTGATGGACTCTGTGGGTACGAAATGGCCATATTATCGGATTGTTCCAAAATTTTACTATAAAAAGAATGCATCATTAATTTACTTTTCTTTTTAACACTCATAAAACCCTTGGGTCCACTTTTTCTTAGTTACAAGTTACTTTAAATCAATTCAAGAATAAAGAAAAAGCCTTGCCTCTACTATCGTGTTTAAACTTTCACTGCCACCAAAATGCAAATAATGTTCGTCGGTTATTTAATACAGAACTTAAATGACCAATCGTGAACCTTAATCGATTACAGCCGCCTTCTTGTATTCTATTAACAGTAAGGTATGCTATCAAGAAAATATAGGCGCAAAAGAAATCACAAGCGTTTCCTTTTACCCTATTTGCTTGAGAAAAGCTTCTTTTGTGAAAATTCTTTAGAATATTCCTTTCTTTTTAGTTTAAGAAGATTCCTTTGTTATTTATTCACTTTAAATAACCTAATTTAAAATCCTAAGACATGTTAGTAATAAGTTATTAGGCTCGTTTATTTGTTTCACCCACTGCTTGTTCATTAATCAAAACAAAAGATGCTGCTTACCTTGAGGCTTCAAGAATATTTTGTAAAAACATGAACTTTTTAGGGCGATCGCTTACATACTGTCGAATTTTTTTTTTTTTTTTCAAATAGAAACAGAATGTTTGAAAAGTTTTCTCATTAAAGAAACACTGGGTATATATACCAAATGTAGATGATTTTGGGGAATTAATTCTCAGGCAAATATTTTACTCCTCCTTTCAACCCCTCGACGATTAAGTGGCCAAATTATCGTACGCGTGTAACAGCAAAAAATAACGTCCTTTTTATTGTTCCTTTCGACATATTTTTTGTATTGTAGTCCTAATATAGGAAAAATGGTAGTAGCTTATTACTGGCATTACGCATGTCGTACCTACTTGCAATCGAGTATTGCATTGAGCCTCACAGAGGTGAAGAGAGAAATGTTTGCGTGTAGTGCATATAATCTAGTATCATGCAAGCAAACGCACATTCATTGGTGAAATAGTAGCGAAAATAAAGTTTGGTGGGCCATTTGTACGAGAATGTGTGAATCTATCAATTTCCGTACCATACATGTAGAATCTCATGTATCAGATAAAAATTTATGGCCAACTAGACGCTGTCACTGATATTCAAAACCTTTAAAGTTTTAAATTGAAGTGATATTACAATGAAACGTTATTGGAGAAGGAGCGGAGTTGCAATTATCCTCAGAATAGACCGAATATGGCCAAATTTAGTCCAATCCAAGAAATTTTCCAAGACATCACTTCATGCTTAAACCGGGTTGATGCGCTTTCGAAATTTTATTTTACGCAATGCGGAATTAATGGTTGTGAGGCTCTCTACTTCATTTTGTTTGGTTGCATTTACTTAGTACGCATGATAAAGGGAGTCCGGGGTGAGTTACGGTACCAGCTTGCCCAACTGTTTAGCAAGCGAGTCGTTTCCATACATTATAGATAAGTAATAGTACATTGAAGAAGCCAAATGATGTATTTTTGTGGAGCTATATTAAGAAATGTTTGACTGTGCATAAGAGATCTGTAGCTAATTCTGATCAAACATTTATAGTGTTAGTCACCATCACCTCCCGACGACGCATGGATTGCTTTGTTAATTATTTTGCTGATCAAAATACTTACCTAGGTAGTGGGAGCTAGAATATTTAGAGTCAAGGTCACTAAATTAATATACAGTCATTGGTCTGTAACCTTTCACACTCTTAATACTAAAATTTCGCTTTCGTTCAAATTAACCGAGTGGGCTATACCTTGTCGGCTAAAGTTGATTTGGCTTAAGCGAAAGAGAGCCCACATTAAATTCATAGTGCAAAGAGATTGAATGTACATGTACTCACGATTCAGAGCAGAATATTTGTTGTGAGTGAAAATGATACATGTTCCAGAAGGTCAAGATAATAAAATATATTCGGCCATTGTCTGTAATTAAAATTCCTTTGCAGTAGAATACTTTTATTGTTTTATTGTTTTATTGTTTGGTACGCATGGAAAATAATGTGCTTTGGTGATTGTTTTGTAAGAACCCCCCAGCTTAGTTTATTGGTGCTATTGAAATACCATTATTTCTCTTTTGACTTCTGTCTTGCTTGACTACTATCTGTTATACTTCTACAATTGAACTCGAATCTTCGCAATTATGTTTTATTTTTATTATTATTAAATAATCGATCAAAAAGAACTATGTTTCCTATAAATTTAGACACCCCTAATATACATTTTAGATTGCAGCTCCAAACATTTGGAACTTTCCAGCCTTGATCTTGTTATACTTTGCTGCTCCTGGTATTTTTGGAACTCTAACATCAATCAGTCTTCTCCTAGTGTCCATCAGTGCGCGTCTATTACGGTTCCCATCACTTGGTTGACTACTAAAGAATGAGAAACCCGAAAATGTAGATTCAGCAGAATCATTTGATGCGACGGAAACCAAGTCCGAAGTCAGCATAGTGTTATGACTCATGGTGAAGCTGGCACTGGTAAATGAATTTGCTCTAGAACTTGGCTTAGAACCAGATCTGGAGAATCCAAGTCTTTCTCTGAGTGATCTCTTTTCACCTTTATCACATGCGAGAACGATTGGAGAATTAGTGTTGACACTCTTTACAGGAGCTTGTTGCAACTGTGGACTAGACTTTGTTCTAGATTTTTGAAGTTGTGGGTGAGATCTTGGTTGAGTTACATATGGCTTTGTTGCTTTCGTTTGCTTCTTAGTTGGAACTGGAACAAACAGGTTAATTAAATCAAGACAATCATCATCTGAGTCAGAGTCAGATTCCACTCTAGATTGAATACCAGTATCCTTCTCTTGAGTGGTTTCTTCCTCAATTTCTTCTTCAATTGAAGCAGGTATTGGTATCGATGGTACTCTGCTTGATGGAGCCCTTGGTGCGGAGACTTGCTTTGGAGCTGCGACAACTACTGGTGCTGGTGCTGCTCTTTGTACTGGAGCTTGAGTAGAATTTGACTGCTTTTGAGCCATGTTTTGTAAAACAAAACTACTTCTCATAAAACCTGCAGAAACTCTGTAAGAAGTTTGGTTCTTAACGTAAGTGGTTCTTGGTTCTGGGATATCAAGTGGCTTCATGTAACTTATTTCGCTGGATTGTGAAAGCTGTCTTGCTCTATGTGTGTGTTGTTGTTGTTGTTGCTGGAATGATTTGGAATTTTCAATTGGTGAAAAGTTTGGTGAAGAGTTACCTGAAGAAATGGAGGACCTGTAATCGGAATTATGTAAAGATAAGGTAGAGACACCAGAAGAGACTTCATCTTGACTTCCAGATCTTTCATAAGTGGATGAAGAATGGTCGCTATTCTCGTTATCACTGTCATACTTAGAAGAAGTGTCATCGTCAAAATCAGCCTCTCTGATAGGAGCCAATCCCTTTGCATATGGATTTTCTCTGCTAACGCTACGAGAAGGAGCTTGACCGTTGTTTTGAGATTGGGTTGTGATTTGTAACAATTCATTCATGAGTGACAGATCATCATCGTCCTCTTCTTCAGTAAAGACTTGTCTCCTTAAAGGATAACTAACAACCATTGGAGCAGTCGAAGAAACGACTCTTGGAGCTTGTTTCCTTCCAACTGTAGTGCTTGAGGCTGACTTCGAAGAGAACAATGGAGCAGTACCCGAATATACAGATTCAGCATCTTGCTGTTGCTCTTGTTCAGCTTCACTTTCTTCTGGTGTAAAAGCTGGCGACTGAGATGTTGGTCTTCTACGAAGTCTTCTTGGGTCGAAAGGCTTCTCAGGTGCCTTGAGCTCTTCATCAGATTCAGAATCTCCAAGATTAGCAGGGATTTCTCTTTTGAATTGAAGTCTTCTTGGATCCTTTGGTAAACTATTGATAACTGGAGCAAGAATGACTGGTTCCTCTTCTGATTCAACCTCTTCAGAAGATGAAGAGAAGTCTTCAACAGCTGAAGACAACATATCAATTGTTTCCAGAGGAGGCGTTGGAAGTTCTTTACGGTCGAACAGCATTCTTCTTGGTGGTTGGTCGCTAATACTAGAAGCTGTAGAATTCATTCTTCTAGGATTCTTAGCAGGTAAAGTCTCATAATCGTCTCTCAGTGGTTGCTTTGAGTTTCTTCTTATTTTTCTTGGGTCAAAGTTAGCCGAGTTCACAGAAGGTGGAGGACTAGACGAGGAGACTGGTGTAAGAGGCGCTTTAGAAAACGTAGGCTGTGGAGCAATGATATTAGAAACCAGATACTTGTTCTTTGGAACTGCATTTGCTGGAATAGAAGCTTCCAATTCAGTATCTGGGGCCTCATTAACACTTCTTCTGAATCCCTTGTACTTCTCATTACTAGAAAGCTGAAATTTAACTTTGACTGGTCCGAAATTCAAATTGTTTTTGCTTCCAGAGTCTTTATTCACCTTGCCATAACTCATATTTTCGGTATTGAAATTGTCGTAAGGGTTCCTATCGTCCTCTGAAGTAACTACTTCCTCTTCCAGTTCCACACTAATCAATGATTGTGAATCACTATCATTTGAACTCTGTAACAAAGAATTAGCCAAATATAAGTATACCTTCACCCATAAACCTTCTAATTGTGGTGAGAATTTTCCCTTACCCAAGGTTTGATGGAAAGTTTGAATCAAAGATATTCCCAAAGGTTCAATGTAGTTGATACCTAAGTTAATTATACTTGGATTTTCTTTCACAAACTGTGACATACAATCGTGTAATACTGGAGTATCATCAAGATAGGCCATTGTAAACGACACCATTTCACCAAATAATTTAGCTTGTTCACGAACAACTTCTTCTGTATTGAACAAAGAATGAAGCTTTGGGTTCGCAATTATCATATTAGCGAAAAGTTTGTTCATAAACCTATTCTGTCCATCTTTATTCTTGAGCTGTAAGTTTGACCAAGAGTAACGAACCATAAAAAGGTCATCATCCTGAAGAGTAAGAGTAGACATTATTGAAGTAATTGATTTGTTCAAATTAACTTCTTATTTTAATAGCTATTTCTGTAGGAAAATTTTCAAAACTGAATTTCTTTACTTCTTAATATCTCTAGCTTTCAAGAAAAGAGATTACTTTCCTTACAGTGTGAAAATTGGGGACCATTTGTTTATATATAAAGTCGATTAGGTGACTGTCTAACAATCCATTTTGAATTTCCTTTCATAGTAATCTGATAATCATTTCCTTCCTAAAATCGGAATTACCTTAAAAAAAATACAGGTCTAAAGTAACTAGGTCGCAGAATAACTTCTCAAAGAGGAAGTTACTCAATTCCTGCACTTTACCGAATGAGGAAATGTGTTTGCAGCCCTGTGAGTAATTATGTAAGCAAGTGTGATAACAGAAGCAAATGTACAGTAAGGAGTCAGTTTGGAAGAGGAGAACAGAGACTAGGAAAGGCAAAAGGTTTGGCAATTTGCAATATAGGGAATAAAGGTGAGTTCATTTTTGCTCAAGGAAGTTGGAATAGTGCTAACTTCATTTTTCACAAGGAACAAATGGATAATTGCAGAAGTCAGCTTGATGTTAAGCTTTTGATATCTATGGTTTGGAATGTACCTTCCTAGGAACCTTCGTCCTTTACTTACGTAAAAATGCAGGTAACCTGTTTTAGCATCATATTATAAAAGCTACAATAATTCTGTTTGATGGAATATTTTGACACCATAAGCTGAAAGCAGCAAGGAATAAAAATGATCCAAAATTTTGAGCTTTAGAAAAAATAAATATGGAGAAGGAAAAGTTTAATGTCGCATTTCTGGGGAACAAGGCTAGTATGGATACTATTGGTACTATACTCAATGCTTTGGTTTTGGACTTAACTCTCCAATTTCAACAAATCGTGGCGCTTTCAGGTGAAACTTTCAATTCCCATTGTTATTTTAGAGTATTTCGTTTGACATTTCCTACAGTTAAAAGATGTACCTCTATAGGAATATTATTCAGTCTCGTGATCAAATGTGCTTGAATTATGAATCTCCTCCGTTTTTTTTTCTTGATGTATTCTACACTTCAAAATTATTACCTAATTGGGAATGATAATTTAAATTAAGGTGGGGAATCTTACAGTGACACGATATGACATACCTTTAAAGCAACTCTGGTAAAATTAACTAGAGCTATTAACTGTGAGATTCTGGTTACCCCATTTACTTTCTCTTAGCAACTTGTAGAAAATTCTTGGGTGATTCACCTATTAAATTTCTCAAGTTGCCAGTTCCTATTACGTACAACGTCCATCCAAATGCAGACATTGCGCTTAAAGCATTCTACTCAACTTTTATCTTTGACTTTCTACCCACTACCCCCCTTGAATATGACGAAGCTATGACTTGTACTACCCATACATCTAATATTATTTCTTATCGACATATTTTCATTCTGTAATCCTATATTTCTACGATTTTAGATATTTTCTCTGGAAATTATAATATTACTTCTACATACTATCTACATCCAAATCCAGATAATGTGTTCTCACCATCTGTCGTAGACTCTGACGTACTTCCACTATCAAGCTCCTCTCCTAACACTTTTTCAGTAAGAATCGATCTTTTCTCAATTTGTTGATTCTCTTGTTCCTGTTGTTCTCCTGCAACCCATGCCTCTGCCTTTTCAAGTTGATTATTAAACACCACCGTCAACCTGGAGATCATATCTAAAGACTCCTTTGCAAAGACTAATACCCTATCGTTTGTTTGGGTGTTCCCGCTTGATGATTGCTGAATAGTAGCAGGAAGCGCCAATATTATATCTCTGATAGTTCCCTTTAGTTGATCGTCATCTGTGGAATTTTTTCTGGAACTAACTGAATTAGCGTGGCTATTAACAGGCGTAAGTCCGTTTTTCTCGTCAATCGCTGATTCATTCTGTTCGTCCTTCGTAGCCAATGACGAAGGTTTGAAGTTCGAAATCAATCGTATAATATTCTTAACGGTAGTAACTATTTCAGTATTGGTTCTTTGAGCTTCATCTTGCTTGACGTCAGCAGCAGAGGCAGCCTCTCTTTTTTCCTTTGCCTCGATTTCTTTGGTAACGACTCTCTGTTGTAGTACCAGCACCAGGTTATTAATCTTTTCGTTAGCAAGCTTCAATATATGTAAGCAAAACTGTAACCTTTTCTTTGTTTCAATAGATACGTTAGTATCACTATAAGTTAAACTATTTCTTCCGCTTGAACTAAATGGTGCACTGGATGCAAATGATGGTGCGGGAGCTGGGGGAAGAGAAGGTGAAAGTGAAGGGGAAGAGGTGGCAGAAGTGGCATAATGTTGATTCACTTTTCTTCTCTTTTTCGATGTACCTTTTCTAGCTTCTTGCTTAGCTTTTTTTGCCTGATATCGGTTGTTTAAGTTCACTTCGATTTTATTCACAACTGGTAATGCTGCTTTTTCAACAAACTCTGCTGCATAGTTGAATGAAGCGTAATTTCGCTTGGAGTAGTCATAATACTTAACTGCATTAGTAACAAGAGGATGCCTGGACACCTTATTCACTCTTTCCACCAATGGGTGCTGTTGTTGAATAGGTGGAAGAACATTTTGCTTCTCTATCAGAAAGTTTGATACTACCGGAGAAGATACACTAGAGCCTCCATTGTGTACCCCATTTCCTATCGAGATGATTGGAGGAGTTGATAGTCTACTGTTTAATGAGGTAGATGAGCTATTGACATTGGAGTTTAGCTGAGTTAGTTGCGTTAATGCTTCCGCTGCAGAGACGAGGTCTTTATCGTCCCCAGTGTGCTTCTCATTGGTACCTATCAAGGGTGTTTTTTCATTCTCAGTGCCTGTTGCATGCTCGTAAGATGGCGGCTGTATCTCAGAAGCAGCGCTTACAGTGGAGAGTTTTCTCTTTCCTCCACGCTTCATACTGCAAGTTATGAAAGAATACAGTGATGACCTTAGATCTCTTGTTTAGATACTTTTTTTCTTGAGTTTTTTTCTATATTTTGGTTTTTTCCCTTTTTTCGCTTTTGACTTGAATACCGAAGACCTTCAGAATAGGGCAAGCAAAAAAATTTAAATGGATTCTGTAGAAAATAGACGACTGCCAGATAAAAGAATTCTTCTATGTTTCTATTAGTATGTGAGCAACTATCAGTCACTATATATGGATGTGAAAACTGACACTTTAAATTATTACTGCAATGGAAGAGGGAGAAAACCGTTTGCATTAGTTGGGTGGGTCCCCAATATCATAAGATGCTGCTCCTCACAACAATACACAAAATTATGCATGTGAGTTTGACTATCTATCATGAAATAGAGAAATTACCTTCCCATGGGAAAAATAATTGTCTAAAAGGGTAAAGAAAACCCGCGCTAATCTTAATTGTAAGATGCGTAGAATGCCCTATGGGCAACGCCGTATAGTATGAGATTATTAGCAGGGAACTTCTGATGTCAAGTTAGAAATTAGGGAACTAGGTATCCTGATTTGGTTCATTGAATGTAGTCAACTTGAAGCTATAATTGATATTTCATGCATAGTATGTTAAATCAAAAAAAAGTCATGTTTATCAGTTTCTTTTTCAACCTTAATTCAGACCTGTGCGCTTAGTTACCGAGAATCTCTTCACTTTTTGTGGGTCTTTTACTTGTGAACATTTCTTTTTTTTTCGCAGCCACTTCTCCTCAATCTTGCATTCGAATTATAGGCACCGATTCAATTGGTGAATTTGATAGATTCCTATGAACCTTTGTCTTTTGGTGGAACAGCTCTAATCAATACAGAGGGAGCAGCTCCAGCCATGTAACGAATTTTTGATCTTGTATATCTTCGTTGGACTTATTCTCTCTATTTCAATTCCAAGACAAATGCCTCGCTTCCGAGTTTACTCTCTTCACCTTCTATGATTTTAGTTGCAACCCATCCTCTGCCGGGAATAAATACTCGTTTGTACTTATCCCCACTTGAACTGAACCTTACTACATCTCTATATCTCAAGTTAGGGTTTGATATAGATATTTTAGCCTCCTCTCTCACCTCACTTGGCTTACTCGATGAATAGTTGTTAATCTTTTTATCTTTGATTACTTCTAGAATTGAATTCTTGAACTTATTTTTGATATCTTCATTAGCAAAATTCCCACCACCTCCTCCATCTTTTGCACTTGAATATCCCTCGTTTGTCAGAATGATCTTCGAACTGTCCAAGATAAGAGGAGACTTGGGTTTTGTAGATCTTGGCTCCCACCCATTCTGGTTAGGTGTACTGCCAATAGTCGATGGGCTCACAAGCTCAATGTCACTATCGAAGCTCGACTTCATTACTCCAGTATTTGCCTTCTTAACTTGCAATTTGGAGCTACTTCTTCTTTTAAACTTATCTTGCGGAGATGTATAAGCAGCAGTCAACGCATATCCTCCAAAGAGACATTGATTCACTTTATTCACCGACATTTTGAGCTGATAAGTCAGTCTTTTTAAACTCTCAACGTCACCGAATATTTCTCCAACTTTACTTGGGTCTAACTTAGCGTACTGATTCTTCTTTAGGTCAGCTACAGATTCAAGTAATTTGGAATTGGTAATTTCCAATTTTTCAACCTTTGCTGAAAGGTTGTTGTAGATCGAAGCCCAAGCCTCTTCAGTTGTGGACTTATAATCACTGCTTAGAAAAGGTCTCCCAAGCAAGATGTACCCGATAAATAACAATGACGCAAAGGTGAAAATCTTCCACTTAAGAAACATTATAGCACTTGTATTTACTTTGAAATTTTCGTAGTCTGCCTGGTGTAAACATGTTTGAATGTTCAATAAAAGTGCCAAATCATTTGATTTCCGTGCAGCTAGGTTTAAACAGCTAAAGATTTTAAGTTAGTACGTTCGTGTTGACGCATAATTTCTTATTTAGTTTAATTTTATGCTTACCTTCTTGCTGCTTGAGATATACAGGGACTGAACTCTTGCTCAAGTTCTTTTTCAAGGCCAGCTCTATAAGTCTTGAAGCATTCTAACCCATCTCCAGTTTCACTGCATTCTACTATCCTTTTAAAATGCCTTGACATAAATTGAAACTTAGACAGTGCAGGACTGAACCGATTTGGTCTTGCAATAAAATACCACACTAATGCGATGGTAATGACGAAATACTTGATGATTCGGAAAGAGACCGTTTTAAAAAAGTTATTAATTGACATTTTTACTTTAGACATAAATCCTTCTATGGAACTCTTTCTCCTATATTTAACTGATTTAATTCAGATTAACCCAGTATGTTCTTTTTATTCTCTTCATGTATTATATGGCTGCAAAATAGTTTAACATTATTATTCTTGCTACCACAAAGCCATTCGCAACCATATCGTATGCAAGACAGGCTTTTTATTTTTGATAATGTAATGTACTCGGAAATAAATTACTGTAGAGTGATATATTGCAAATTAGCAATGAAGCAAAGTCTGGATGATGTTGGTTAATTTCATGCTGCTTAAGTGTATTATGCTAATTGACTCGTTTTGATATGGGTTCACCTATTTTGCAGATGACTGAGTTCCTCGTAATTTATTCCGTTTATATAATATTCTGAGTATTTTGCATTTAAGGTGCAAAAGTATCAGATATGAAAACGCTACAAACTATGAACTATTTTTTACCTAACTATCTCTATTAAACAGGAATACTATGAACAATATAAATTATAATAATAAAATGAAAACTATGAGTGACAAATGCTATTTTTTTTTTTTTACTTGTTATACAACTACTCATCTTTAGAATGGGATTGAACGTACTCGGCAGCCTTTGCCTTTACACGAGCACACTCTTGTTCAGTTCCCTTTTCCTCTTCGAATTGAAGCCATTTACTGAAGAAGAATTTAGCTTGCTTACGGGAAATCTTGTTGGTGATGACTCTTTCAAATAAGTCTTCAACCTTCTTCTTTTCGTCTTGTTTGATTTCCTGATCAATGTAAACATTCCATAAATCAATTCTCTTTGGAGCATCTGAAACCAAACCTTCGAAGAGTGATCTACCTTGTTCTGGATCACCCTTGGCAAATTCTAATTGAGCAAACTTACGAACAACCTCAATATGCGATTTTTTTGGTAACACCTGTAATCCCTTAGCCAAAACTTCATGAGCCTCAGCGTTCAATCCACGGTCCAACAATGACGAGCCGTATTGAACCCAGGTAGAAATATGTTGACCAAACTTTTTAGACATAACCCTATATAATTCGTCAGCCCTGTCGAATTTTTCTGACATTATATATATTCCGACTAATTTTTGATGCATGATGATTGATTCCATGTATTGACATGAACGTTTGAAAACTTCATCTAAAGATTCTTCAGTTCCAAAAGTATTCTCCAAATTGAGTAAGGCAATCCAAATATTCATCTTTTCTTGTTCTTCTCGGTAAGCAATGGTTTTCAAGGCACGTTCACCAATTTCTCTGGCCTTTTCAACTTCACTTAATTGAAGTTGGAATGACATGTAATTCATCCATAATATGGAAGAATTTGGATTACCAATCAATAAACGTTCGAAATCAGATACAGATTGTGGAGCTCTAGTATTTATGTCAGCAGTAAGATCTTCAGTTTGAGCCTTTGACTTTCTCTTCTTCTTCTTTTCTTGAGTGAAGTCTTCATCTTCAGATTCAGACAAGTCTTCGGCTTGGTCCAAAATGGATGCAGTCCAATCGAAACCATTGGTTGATAAACCATCAGAGACTGATACAGAATGTTTAGACTTATCTTCAGCCTCAGAGTCAGAATCAGAATCATCAGAATCATTGTTTTCAACATCAATCATGATATCATCGCCTTCTTCAGAATCGACATCTTCAGAATCGGCATCTTCTTCCATGTCGACATCCTCATCGTCCTCATCGTCTTCGACGTCTTCATCTTCATCTTCATCCTCATCTTCATCTTCATCTTCTTCCATATCTTGATCTTGGGTTTCATTAAAGTAAGAAGCCTTCATACCTAAAGATAATTGTTTCTTTTCATTATCAATGGCCAACACCTTTACTTTGACTCTGTCTCCTTCTTCAAATAACGAGGTGACATTATCAACCTTTTTATCAGCAATTTCAGAATGATGACATAAACCACTAACATTGACGGTACCGTCTAACTTGACGAAAACACCAAAATCAGTTGCCTTTCTGACAGAACCTTCAAAGGTTTCACCGACCTCTAAGTCATCGAACTTCTTTAAAACATTCAATTCTCCACTAACTTCACTTTCTTTCAAGGTCATCAAAATTCTTCCTTCTTCTTTACAAGAAGAAATTTTACCTAAGACAGATTGATTCACTTTAAAGTATTTTTTCCAATCTTTTAAGTAAGAGTCGGTTAAGTCAGCGACTCTAACCAAAGCATGTACTGATCTTCCCAATGCAACGTAAACACCATTATTTGCAATATTTTTAACAAAGCCACGAACCACATCCCCTTTAGTTAAATCATCAATGGAGTTAATGACCTTGTCTTTCACTTCACCTTCAATACTGTCTGAGCTTCTCAACGAAATAGCAATCTTTTTGGATTCAGAATCAACGGCAATAACAGTAGCTGTTGCAAATTCGTTAGTATGGAAAACATTTTCAAGCTTTTCAGTATAATCATTCAAAGCGTCAGTGATGTAAGCAGATGCAACAACATTCTGACCTAATTCGGCAAGGACAAAAGTCTCCTTAACTTTAAGGATTCTTGCAGGGTACTTTGCACCTACTTTAATATCCTTGATAGACTTTACAACTGTCTTGATTCTACCGTTCAAAGTAAGCGAGTTATGTTCAGTGTCAATTTCTTTGACAATAACCTGAACAGCACTACCGATTGGTAAGTTGTTCTCCAAGTCATCAAATACTGCAACATCATCGGTCAATTCCATAAATGAAATACGTCCCTTAACTGAGGGTGAGATGGATGCCCAAGCGAATCCTTCAGCAATGTTATTAATGTATGCAATCCAATTAGAACCGATCGAGACATTGGACAAGTTTAATAATTCTGTTCCAGTATTCTTTTTCTTGATTAAAGATAACTCCAAAATAACATTCTTGTTATTCTTCTTATGAGTTATTGGTAAGAATTTATGATTCTTAGCATCATGGTACCCAATGACCGTTACTTCTAGTTCTTGGCCACGATGGAATTGTGAAAGAGGTTGACTCTTATCTTTAATATCATCCCAGGAATGGAAACATTGAGTGATATCAATTCTACCTTGAAGATTGTCAGCCAATTGAACATTCAATTGAGTTCCACGAACAGATTTGACACTAACCTTGGTAGAAACACCAGGTACAAATTCATTAGCGAATTTTTTTGTGGAATCGACTGGGTTAACCAATTCAATTGAGTTCGAATCATCACTGTCACCGTTACCTTTCTGATTAGAATCTTGATTTAAGGACAATAAGAATCTTTTGTTCTCGTGATCAATACGGACAACACGACAAGCGACTGATTGATACTTATAAAATTTTTTATCAAGAGAGGCTGCATCTCCTTTACTGTTTCCGTTGGCATACTTGGCTAGAACCAATCCAGTTAATCTACCAGCAAAAGTGACGAATAATCCCATACTAGTCACAGACTTGACAAAACCATGTAAAACTTTGTTATCGAGTTGGATATCCCTGAAATTGGAAGGAATCTTACCTTCACGGGTTTCGACTTCCTCTAATAATGATTCTTTAGCAGATAAAATCACTGTTCTAGCTTTCACATCTCTTTCCAACACGAGTGCTTTTAACTTAGAGCCAACAACCAATTGCTTAAATATAACTCTGTTTTGCTCATAATTTCCATCTGAGAGATGTCCGGTAAAGATGACACCTCTTAAATTACTTTCATCGTTTACTTCAACAATAATCGATTCGTTAGTCTTCTCAACAATGGAAACTTCAACTATCGACTTACCAGGAATCAAATCAGTAATTGCTGACTTTTGAGCACTACTCAATTCAGTGGATTGTCTCAAAGTAACTAAGATTCTTTTTAAATCCTCATCAATTCTCAATACCTTAACATTAACAGTTTGACCAATTTTTAAGTGATCTTTGGCATCGTTAACGAAAGTTTCAGAAATTTCATTCTTTGGTAAGTAAGCACTTAAGTTACCGAAAAATGATACAATCACACCATTGTGAACGAATTTTTCCACAGTGGCAGGTGTTTTCAAGCCAAGTTTAGCATCTTCAAATTTGGTTAAGATTTCATCTTCTTCAACATTAACAAGGGATTTTCTCAATGTGACCAAAATCTTCTTTGCTCCAAGCTTCTTGTAAACTCTACCTCTCACTTTAGCACCCACCTTGAATTTTCTTTCCGGATACACCAATTTGACATCTGACATTTGGTTTCCTGGAACGAAGGCTTCGATGTTTCCACCAAAGATCTTGATTATAATTCCACCAGCTTCTGGCAAGACTTTGACAATTTCACAGCCAGGAGCTAACTCACCGACAGGGACGTCTTGAGCAGTTAAATATCTAGTTTCAATTTGCTTAGGGTCTAAAGTTAATGTGAGCAAATTTTCCACTGGGTTGTATCCAGTGACCCTTGCCTTATGCTTTGAACCAATATTGTAGAAGGATTCTAATGGCATTTCCTTATCGATCTTAGAATTATGCACTTGACCGTAAATGGATGATGAACCGAAGGAAACATATAAATAATTAGGGTCTGAACCCTTAACTTCCACTTCTTGGAAAATGTGACCTACTGGGAAAGCTTCCAAAGCTTCAGTACGATTAGTTATAGCAGCATTTGGATCCAAAGATATTATGTTAGGTAATTGTGATAAGATTAATCTCTTAGTTCCTGCTTTAAGTAATACAGCCACAACTCTGGCCTTGACGTTATTACCAATAGTGTACTTATGCTTTATGGTATTAAAATCATACAAGTTATTTGACAAATGAGCCAAATTGATTGTAGCATCAACCAAACCAAAAACTTTGGCAACAATACCATTTTTGGTTACATCTGAAACTAAAGCATCAACAATCACACCAGGCTGAATTGAATCAACAGATGAAATGGTGGTGACAGTGGCCTTTTTGGATGTAGAAGACGCAGGTCTTAAAGTAATTGTTCTTGTAGATGTGGAAGCTGGTTTGGATACGATACTAGCAAGTATAACAGAACCAACATTAAGCTTACTTCTGTCTTCATTTACTAACTCTTTGTTAGAAATAAAACCAGACAAATTGGCTCTACCAGTATTTAAAATTATACCATGATCTTCAATAGACTTGATAGAACATTGTAAGTAATTCCCAACAATCAAATCTTCAAATTCAAGAGCAGAGTTTATGGATTCTGGTTCTATGGTGAATTGAATTCTCTTCTTATTGCTATCATTCTTGTCTTCTCCTGCGGGCTTCACTACTTTAGCTTTTAACCATTGCCCTATAGAGAAAAGCTTTTGCAAGCTTGGCAATTCAGCTTCAGGTTTAGATTTCAAGTTAGCTGTGGTTGTGGTAGTTTCGTCATCTTCATCCTCATCATCTTCTTCATCTTCACTATCTGATTCTTGAGATTTTTCGAACCTTTCAATCAATGCAATGAGCTCTTCACTAATTGAAGACATTGAGACATAACCAACTAAGTTATCACCAACTGCTAATGTTAAATCCACTTTGTTGATCGACACAATTTGAGCCAATACTAAAGTATCAGGAATTAAGTTCTTGTAACTAAAATTTTCGATTTGAACTGACGATTTTTCATCGTCTTGTTCGGCATTGGCAGCAGACTTCTTCTTTCCTGTAGACTTTTTCACTTTCTTTGAAGGTTGATCAGACTTAGAGCCAATCGATCTTTTGTTGCTTGACTCTTGTTCAAAAAGAACATCACTGGTAACTTCATTAGAAATTTCCTTCACCTCAAGAGGAGTCAAAGCAGTGGCTCCACCTCTTGGGAAGGCGACTTCACTACTACTTATGACCGATGAGCGGTTAGTAGGAGCTCCTCCAGATTCCATATTCAAAAGTCCGTTTAGAGCGAGTAATTCCCAGTGTATTAAAAAATTATCTATATATATAAATTAATATATATATGTATATATGGAAATTATATCGTCTAATATATAGTTAGATATATATATATATATCTAATAGTGAAACTACGTAAAGAAAACTTTCACAAACAACTTCTGTCTTTAGTTAGCTTTTTTTTTTTTTCCACTCATCACATCGAAAAAATATGAAGCGATGATGTAGATGAGGCCTGCATATAAACCGAATCAATTTTTTTTGAATGGTTACACAAAGCTTATGCATATTTATGCACGTTTGCACAAGCTACAGAATGCTGCGATCATTTTTTGCACCCAGTTCCTTCCTTTCATACATAATCTCAACGGCGGTATTTTTACCAAACTTCTTGAACAACTTGGAATAAAAAAGTCCACAAGCGTTGCACAATGTTCTCTTTCCATCTGGTCCTCGTCTCCACTCTGGGGACGAAGTACAAGAACAGTGGTTGCACTCTAGTGGCTTCGGAGTTATGCTTAGTTCTGGATTTAGACCTCCGGACGATGAGATGGATGGATCTTGGATACCTTCGACTGCTTCAGCGCTAGCTATTACTCTTTCAGGATTGATATCAACGTCCAATATGTAAACGTCTTCACCAAAATGCTTTTGCTCGAATGAAATACTCGACAGAGTCTTATGTTTGCGAATCTTGTGAATCTTGGCCTTGTGAGAAGTTCCAGATTCATTATTTTGAATATTCGCGGGACTAGAATGAGTTCTTCGATGTCCTTTATGGTTAACATCCACCTTCAGTAGTATAGTGCTCCTTTTACTCCACTTCAATTTCAAATCTTGGAGTGTTTTCATCATATCCAGTATTCTATCAAAATTATCTTTCAAGCAGTCCATCAGCAAACCGCAAATGAAAGATTTGACGTCCTCTGCAGAGGTGGTGCTAGACTCATGCTTCTTTATCATTTTTAAATAGTTTTCTTCTTCAATGCCAAACTTCGAAGTGATAGCCTTCCACTCTCTCAAAGCAAACTCACACATTTCTCGTGCAGCAGAAGCATCACCCACCAGATTTGCAAGATAAGGAGAAAGACTAGGAGATACACTGCTTTGCGATTTCAAGTCTGGTCCACAAGATTCCTTTAACAACTCTAACTGATGGTTCTCCATAGCAGGAAATTCATACACTCGTGGCTGAGAGCTGCAATAATCATAGTTTTCATGGGTTTTCAAGTTACCGCAACTATAGCGGTTGTGATTAAAGCTTGCCATAGACGGCGATCTGAGATAACCATACCCTTGATGAACAACTGATCCTTCATCCAACTCTTTAGTCAATTCACTGAATGAGGGTAGCATAATTTTAATATCATGTATCGTTCTCGTTCGTAGAGAGGGATATGATTCTAAGCTCCGAATCTGATAGAATACCCTTCGTCTAGAGTGTTACTTAAAGGTTCAAGATGGAAATTTCTGACGTATCTATATATAGGTACGTATATTTATGGTATCAGTAATTTTGATAAGCTTTGAATCGGGTTCTATCTTAGATTTATATTTCATTTCCTATGGCTTCGTAGTTAGGAAGGGGGAGCCACCTAAATGCAAGTTAATGTAGAAGGTTTTGTACCATTTTCATACAATCCCGACAGGCAGAGCAAAAAAACTTTATTAAGCGAGATAAGATTCCATTCACCAAGGATACTAGAGCATATCAGGATATTCTTACCACATTTAGTTTTTCTATAGAACTATAGTTGCCTTTTTCTCTTACTTCTGGATCACTTTTCTTTTTTTTTCAACACATTCACTTATTTCTTTTTGCGCCTAGATTTGGAGCTACTTGAGGGTTTATGCATAATCACTTGACCTTCCTTTTCTTCATCGGGTTTATCTTTAAACTTTTCTTGAGTTTCCAAAAAGAACATCAAATCTTTGACCTGTTCAGTGAGATCTTCGTTTTCGGTCTTTAAAGTTTGGCTTGACTCAGTTAAAAAGTCAACTTTAGCAGAAAGACCCTCATTGAGTGATTTTGAATCAATGACCTCTCTCGAAAGTTTGGCAATTTTTTCGTCTTTAAGCTTAACTTTAGCTTCGAGCTTTGGTATTACTGTTGTTGTAAGTGTATTGAATTTGTCACTAAGTTCTTCAAATTTTGTCTCCAAAAGTGGTATCTTCAGGTAAGTTGGAGCACCATTTTTCAATAGATCTTCGTAGTATTCTCTTTGACTAGCAAGTTGACTGATAAGTAGTTGAGAATATTCAAAGCCAACCTCATCCACTTTGTCAAAATTTCCGTCTCCACTGTGGTTTTCTTTATTATCATTATAGTGAGATATTTTCGGATTCAATATATTCAGAGGACCATTCGTACTGCTGCCAAATCCCTCAAATATACCACCTAAGCTATTATTATTAGTACCACTACTCGAAGAATAGTTCGTATTTGTCTTCTCAGGTAATTCCACCAATTTTCCATCAGATTCATTTGCAATAAGTCTATGGACGTAATTGTCACCCACGTAATCCCATACTCTGGAAGTTTCTAGCTCCATAGCGAAACAATGCCCCGTAGCAATAAAATGCTTAAGGGAATGTTGTTCAGGGGCGTATCTATCACACCCCAAATTACCACAAACTAAACAAATCCATAGGTTTTCAGTCACCAGACATTGAGAACAATGTTCGTCGCCAGAGCTAGGGACTCCGCTGCCACTCCCAGTGGCAGGTGCATTACTACCCGAGGGGACAACAGTGAAAGCTGGTTGACTACTAATGGAAGAGGATCTTCTAAATTCCAGTAATCTTCTCACACTACGCCGTATTTTTTGATTTGAAACGTTTATGGAGTAACGACAAATTGGACATGAGTCATCTTTCCATTTTGAAAGACACTGGCAATGGAACGTATGTTGGCATGGAATAGTCAATAACCCTGTAACAGAAGAGTCCATACGCTCAAGACACACGGGACAGGTTGGCAATTCAACTATTTTTTCCGACTCAATATCGTCTTGTATCTTCTGCTTTTCTCTTGCCGTAGAAGTAAAGGGATCATTCAACAAAAACGGAATCAATGCTGAAGATTTATCTTCCTTCAAACCATATAGGTCATCATCATCATCATCATCCTCATCCTCTTCTTCCTCAGAGTAATTCCCGTTATCTACGCTGATAGTTCGTACAAACAAGGCATGGCATGTTTCTGGTTCCATTGAGTTGAACGCTTTCCCATTGAACGAGTGCTGGAATTCGGCAGCCTTAAGAACATCTGCAAACTTTATCAATACAAGAAATCTATTAGGCTTTTCGCTCTTCATAATCCTGATATGAGTAATACTCTCAATATTCAGCTTACCAATGAATCCAAGTAAATCAGTGGCAGTGAAGTAAGTCGGAACTGCTACTATGCAAACCATTGAATCATCTCCGGATATCAATTGCAGGTGAGAGTTCAACTCTGGCGATTCCTCTACCAATTCGAATTCCCTATACAATCTTATGATACCTTCGCCAATGTAACTGGCCTTTAATGGCTCCAGATCCTGAACCATTTTATTAATCTTGGATGGGTCTACTAAATCAGTTACCTTTATCTGCGAAGTTCTATAATCGTTTGAACCGTCTGTGCTATTTTCTATACCCGAATTGTTATTCTTTAGTTCGATTACAATGTGATAAGTATCAGTTCCAAGCATTAGAGACAAGATAGAAGTCAGGCAGTTCAGAATATCAATCCATTCAAACGATTTTAAGAACAATAACTAGTAGAAAGGGAAGAAGATGGCAAAAGCCATATTGAAAGATGAACTCTAATGATCTATGTCCTGCAGGTACCACAATCTACTGCACTTGTATATGCAGTACACTAGTACATTAAATTAATAGGCTACACTACAACAACTCTGGAGTTTCCAGGTATCAATTGATACATATACACATATACACATTATAATAGAATGTTAGAGTAGGTAGCATCATTCTATGATGAACTTCCACTTCCACTTCCACTTCCAGGGTTGCTAGGGTTGTTTCCTCCCATGAATTGATTGGCCATGTTTCTTAACATTGGGTTGTTCATCAATTCAGATAAGTCTGGAGCACCAGCGCCGTCTTCTCCACCGCCCATTCCCATGTTTTGGGCCATGTTCTTTAACATAGGGTTATTCATCAACCCTTGTAAAGCTGCTGGGTTAGACATAAGATCTTGAGCAGCTTGCATAACTTGAGGGTTCTTCATCATATCAGCAAAGTTTGGCATTCCACCAGCACCGCCAGCCCCACCAAACATACTGCCGAAGTCTGGTAATCCCCCAGCACCAGCACCAGCACCAGCACCAGCACCGGCTCCAGAGTCTTCAGATGGTCCACTACGTTCTACTGAACTGGAAGGCATAGTAGTCTCAAGGTCTTCTTCGAATCTACGCTTAGCTGTTTCGTAACCTTTGGTCATAGCGTCAGACTTAGAATCACCTTCGATGTCCAAACCTTGCTTATAGGCTTCCATGGCGCCCTTGGCATCACCCAAGGCATATTTAGCTAACCCCAATCTAGAGTAAGCCTTGGAGAACTTTGGATCTAACTTGATGGCAGCTTGGGAGTCTTCAACGGCCTTCGCGTGTTGAGAGGATTGAGAATAAGCTGCAGCTCTATTGGATAAGTACACTACGTTACTAGGGTTTAACTTGATAGCTTCGGTATATTTGGCAATGGCTTCTTTGAAATCTTTGTTGGCCATGGCTCTATTACCTTCAAGCTTTAACTTATCGGCTTTTTCTTGATCTTCAGCAGTTGGTTGCACAGCGGCGGTATTTACGGAAGATGATGAGGCAGAGTCTGCAGCTGATGATTCAGTGGATGGAGTAGCAGCGCCAGAGGCAGCCTTACCACTTAATCCAGCCTTGACCAATTCTGATAATGGGAGTCCCTTGAATTTGGAAGCGACAATTTTGGAGTCATCATCCTTTTCAACCTCAAATGCATCAGCAATACAGTCGATGGCTACATCCATGGATTCAGCATAGTCTTCTGGAATTTCCTTAGTAGCAACGGAATTTTTTAAAAAATGGATGATTGACAATGCAATATCCTTGTTATTTACAGACATTTTGATTTTGAACTGTGTTTGGTGTTAAGATGGGACCTAAATATGGGGACGTATCTTCTTTTCTTCTCACTGTTCAACGCCCTCCATTAAATACAAACTCACGGTGTGCGAAAATTGATCTAGAAGATTCTATGCAGTCCCAAAAGTTAGCAGTACCTTGCCTCTGGCAAGAGAAAAAGAAAAAAATGCTGGAAAGAAAGAATGCCATAGAAAAATCAAAGAGAGAGGAGTAAGATAGGGCATCAAAGATAAGGCAGATAAGAAAGACGAAAATAGGAAATATGCATTTATTCGCTTCAGAATTCTAGTTATTGCGCACTATTTGAGAACAGGTTTCTTTAGTTTGATATATTTTTCTTGTACCATTCTAATTCTCTCTTTCTCTCTTTGGTTAGCTTTGCACTTGTCCTTGCGAAGAATTTGAAACTGAAAATTAAATATTCCGCTTTAAATTTCAAGAACGAACTAATTTCCGCAGCCAAAGCCTCGTGCTCTAGCTTCAAGTCTATGTTCAAGGCCAATATCTTTTTAATCATCTCTGCCTTTGAATATAATAGCTTCTTATATTTGGTTTGCTTACTTTCAATTATACTTGAAAAATTGAAAAACGATGATAATGTATCAGAGTTTTGTTGGTGTAGTTGATGGTATTCTTCGTTGCTTACACCTTCGTTTGTTGCAATAGTATTGGTCACCTGCGTATTCTCGTATTTTCTGATTTCACCATTAATTTCAATTATACTAGAATGTAACAGTTTCCAATTGTCAATACGATCTAGCGTTTTGGTTACATTCTGTGTTAGCTCTGTAACGTAAAGCAACAAAAGAGTGGTGTAACGTAGAAGATCTCCATATCCTGTAGGTTCATGCAATTGTGAAGATAGTGGGTTCCGATTATTATTGCTACTGTATACATGGTGCAGTAGTTTCCTGTGACTGGAATTTGCACCCACACCCAAAATCCAATTCTCGAGGAATCCATCTAACACAAATCTTAAATCGTTTACCTTCCAATCCAATAAACTCAACACTTTGTTAAATTTCAATGAAACGGACTTGAATGTTAACAAGTCATTCATTGAAAAATTCAAAAAAAATTCAATTTCTTGTATTTTGGAAGTGTCTAGTTTAACGTCTCCAAGTTGGGCCCTATTGATTTCTGTACTGTGCTTAATCTCTTTGATTAATTCCAAGGTCAGTTTCTTACGTGCAAAGGCAGGATTTTGATATCTTTCCCAGATGCTTGATGATTCACGGTATTTTGGATGATAATTTAATGAAAGTAGAAAGATATTAATATCCTCAATGAATCGGTTAATTTTGAATTTGTTAAATGAAGGATATACAGCTGTAGTGCTTAAGGGAGGAAAATTTTGGAAAAACAAATCTTTCAGTGGTAGCATGGAAGTTGGAAATTGGAGTTTCATCAAATAAATGTTTTGTGATATTTCTTCAACTGACTCCACTGATGATCTCCATCTAACGCCAGGATCAGTTTCAAAATCCTTACCCTCAAATTTCTCATTTTCTTCGATTTTGAAGTTAACAACCCAGTCCTTCTTATTTTGATCAAATTTGGCATTGAAGGCCAAAATTTTATGCTCAACGTAAGGTTCAATCGAATTCTTGAAATGGTACTCAGTCAACATATTTTCAACCTCTATACTTTCCTCGTTATTATTAGTATTACTAGAACTAAAATTACTAATGGCATGATCCAATGCGTTGAGATATTGATTTTGATCTTCCTTCTTAAAGTCCAACCGGTCATCTTCCAAAATCTCTCGAAGATTATCAATTCTATTGAATTTGACATACAGTACAAGTGGAGTATTGGCCTTATTGTTAAATTCATTGATATTAATAGCAGGCGCAGACAATAATTTTGAATCGGATAGATTCCTTTGTATGACATGTAGTAAAGTATTACCATTTTTATCGTTATGCACATCTGAATTGAAAGACAGCGAGGTTACATGAACTTGATTAAATGACTTAATAATCAATTCCTCATATTTTGGGTGATCATAACACCTGCAAAGACAGAACAATGGGGTTTGCGATTGCAAATCTTTCAATTCCCAATCAAGAAATGGTCCCAATAAATCAATTAGTTCAATATTATGATGGAGGTAATGGCCCACTGTTCTCTTTATAGAATCTTGGCAATTAAAATATGCAATTTGCTCACTTATGGTGCAATTTTCTTGGATGACTTCTATTAAATGGTTAGTGATTTCTTCACATTCTTCTATTATGGAACACATTAATAAGGTTTGATCATTTTGCGTATTCTTATCAAATAATATGTCATCAATTGAGAACCAGTTAGGATTATATTCCATCAACAACTTATAAACCTCGAAATTTCTACATTTGATTGCCCTCATTAAAAAACTTTCCCCAACAATATTTTTACTTCTCAAAAAATGATTCGAATGTAACTCATCTTCGGAGATCTTGTCGAATATTTCTCTTATTTTGTCTACTTCTCCATTTTCAATGTAATTCAAAAATTCATGATTTTCCTGAGACAGTTGCCTCAAGTGCTTCTCATCCTTTTCAGAAGAGAAATGTAGTAGAACGGCATCAAAATTACTTAGAATATAATTCAAATAGCCGTCATTAGATATAGATGTCGAATTGAAGTTTTTAATGTAGTAAAGGTGTGCTTCAAGGTATTCGACGTTCGAATAAATTATTACCATCATAAATAACCCAATTAAAGTGTCAGCATCAATCAACAAGTTGTCAGAAGAATTTTTAATAGTAGATGTAGTCAAAAGTTCTATAGTTTTCACCAATATCTTTGTTTTACTTTGCAGATTAACAATGGAAGAATCATTTAATTTTCGAAACTCTTCAATTGACAAGTATATTCTCTTACTCAATTCATTCAATTGCCAGGGCTTCGCAATAGATATATCTAGCTGATTCAAAGAAAGATATGATAATCTATCCAAAGACTGCGTAGAATTGCTGAATTGGTATAAGAGTTGCGACCAAACCTTATCATATAAATTCAACTCTACATACTCATGGATTAATTTATTGAGATCAAGCCCAGGGTACGACTTTAAGATACTATTCATGAGCTCAAATGTGGCTTCTCCGTTTGGAGACTCTGCAACATCAACACTACTTTGTACAATTTGAAATGCTTTTTCCAAAATTTCATGGAACTCTTGGTCTATGCTCTCTAGATCTTTGACTCGGTTCGGTCTCAATATCTGGAATTCGTAGTTATTGTGATGGAAAAGCCTATAGAATTTATCAGAAACACTTTTCGACAATAATGGGAAGGAGCGGAGGAGCTTTTCAAATGTAATTGAGTCAATATTGGTCTTCAGGGTAGATCTCAGTGTCATTATCAGGGTTTTCGACTTGAATTCATTTTTGCTTGATGGAGGCAAATCAGAGTTCGGAAATATAATCTTAGTAAAAGGTGCAACTTCTAGAAACCCACCACTGGCATTTGGCGTGGGTAAGTAACTGCCCATAATTGAGTCTTCAATATAAATGATCATAAACTTAGAACCCTGGGGAAAGTAATTGGCTACAGAATAAAAGTAGTCGATCTTGAGGATCTTTATCGTCAAAGACTTACCAAAACCCTTCCCAGGAAACAATACGCCATTTTTGGCAAGTATTTGCTTGCCATTTATTGTATTGTATATGATCAGCAGTATTTTGGAAGAAGGATTGGACATTTTCGATGAAATTGGCTGACTTGTTCGTATTATGTGAGATTTAATAAAATCTTCGTTGTGGTAACACAATTCTCTTAGTCTAGTCTTGGTGGAACTTGACTCTGCAGCTGGTTCATAGCAAGACTGAAGTACTTGGGTAGTCGGCACTAGGATCGTGTAGTCATTGTGACTTTTGGATAGTGTGTCTATTATGCCTTTAATTGGAGACTTGTATGGAGTTTGATTATTGAATATTGAATCTAGTAATGGATTGAGTAAATGTGGGGGAGGAACTCTCAGCGGAGCAGGGTGGTTAGGGTCTTTCGTTTCATTGCCATTTTCTGTTCGTATAGGGCCAGTTACCTGATTGTGATGAGAATCCATATAATATTAATGCTAAATGACTTCGAACCTTACTTTTCCCTAGGTCCTAGTCTAATTCCGTCGAAAGAGTAGCGAAACAATAAGTAATACTCTGGGTCAAGGTAATCCTAAAAAAAGACTAACACTAAATCGAAAATGCGTCTCTGTATGCACAGAGAAAAAAAAATTGCACATAGAGAAATTACATGAAGTCGTTTGGCGAGCGGCGCGTAAAACAGAGAGAAATAAGGGCGTGTGGCGTAGTTGGTAGCGCGTTTGCCTTGCAAGCAAAAGGTCACCGGTTCGATTCCGGTCTCGTCCATTTATTTTTTTTTTCATCTTTCATCATTCCACCTCGAGAAGTTCTCTGTTACGTGTGAGTGCAAGGTGAGTAAATGTTACAGTATTCTCAGAAGTTAGCCTTTTCACGTGTATATTCTTTGTTTCATTTGGTGCCCCAGCTCAAACCTTAAAAGAAGATTTTTATTTACATTTAATCTTGTAGGAGATTGCATTCAGTGAACCCTCTTTGTTCGAGGTGTAACTTTAACTTGAATTAAGGTACAATAAGATTATTATTGCGCAATATTTTCCACAAGGCTGTGCTCTATGAGTCCCAACTATTTTTAACGTGAATCGATACGTAGGAGCCTGAGCTGATGTCAACTAGCGAAGTACCCCAAACAAAAGAAAAACAGTTTTCAATTCCCGAAATCTTTTTTCATGTCGTCATTTTACATTCGCAAATAAAAAATAATCCCCAATTGATAATCGCGATACATGGTAAAATCAAGGCTGTGGTTTGATTTTCATAAGGCCCTTCACAGCAATAGAATTGTGTCAATTCAAGACGGGGCTACAAATAAGGCTCGATGAAACTAGAATTAGAGACCGTTGCTGTCTCAGAGTAAGGCTCAAAATGTCTACACTGCCCTTTGTACACTTGAAGGGGTTAGTGGTGCCTTGAGAGAACGAACTCACACTCACATTCCATGTACATATATAAATATATCTACAGATGCATCCCTACTCTAAAAGTTCCGAGTGTTCCCTCCTCCCCCATTTGTCAAAAAATTATAGTTTTGAAGTAAAAAATAAAGAAGGCTTAAAAAATATTTAGTTTACCTACTTATCTTGAGCGAGTTTCGAAGCAAGTCTAAAGCCAATAAAGGAAGAATACAAAAAAGAGGTACATCACTATCGAACAAACTTGATTATTTTATTGTTTTCCCAGTGACTAGCAACCCACCAGAGGAGATCCCAATTTCCCCCCAATTTATCCCACACTAATTTAGCAAGGTACCCTTTACCAAAATTAAGCTTTAGCTTGTATCAGAATTGGAATTTCTTTTCTCGTTTAGATTAGAAAAGTTCTTACATTGCCGCAATTTCTAGAAGTGAACAGAGCTGAGAAAAAAATAATCTGAAAGAGGGCCCCAAGAACGACATTATTGGCAGATTTGCATTTTTCTTAAATTTTTCTTAACCCATTCGACTTGGCTTCATACTTAATCTGCAAAGTTATAAGATAGCAATTGGAATTCGAAAATTCCAACTAAATTAGAGTAAAGTCTTGACCAAGCAATAATTCTCATATTTCTTGAGTTTCTCCAAGTAATTATTCGCTATTACTTATATTTAGCCCACCGCCCGTCTATTTATTTGCAAAGGAAGTATATTTTCTCAAGAGCTCCTATTTGGTTACTAATTATACCACAGAGTGAAGAACAGAAAAAATTTAAAAATAAAATTAAGGGACACAAGAAAAAAAGGAACTTAAATATTTCTTAAGCTTTTTTATATCCACATTAGCCGTTTTAGTCAACACGAATTATTATTCATCATTGCTCAACAACCGGCCGTTCCTGAACTCCAGCTCCTTTCCTAGTAAATTAGATAAAATCATCTTTCAAGTCATTCATAGCAATACTGTCCGATTCTTGCGATCATCCACGAAGACTTGACAACCTAATTTTCCGTACCTTCATTTCTTTTTTCTGGAAGAAAGATAACGTCACTGAAGCCGGACCCGGAAGCCACTGAAAAAGAGAGCAAAAAAAAAAAAGGAATAAAACCTGCAGTTTTTCCAGTGAAGAAAAAGCTTAGTTTGTTTCTGAAACGATCTTAACAAAAAGAATATCTACAGTATCATATATATATATAATCTGATATATATATCCAACTGTACTGATTTCCAGTACTCAGGTTAGAAAAAAAGAGAAAAAGAGGTGACGATAGTATCGTATCCACACTTCTGTCACACCCCCTTCCCTACCTGATCAGAGCTTGCTCGCTTATATTATCGGGATGCCCTTCACAATTCCTACACCATCTTTCCTTAGGAGAAGTGGTTCTTCAAGCTCCCTCAGCTCACCCAAAAAAAACAAGAGCCATAAGATTAAGATTAACGTCGAAACTGCCACCCAGCAGCAACAGCCATCTCCTTCCCCATCGCCAACAAATTCAGAGTTATCATCTTCTACTTCGTTGTTCACAAAGGGAGCAGTGAAATCCAACCAGTCCAATAGCTCCAACTCCAACTTAAATGTCTTTCCCAAACAAAGGGAGGCCATTACCCCTCCCCCACTTTCGATCCCAAAGTTGAATACCAGTAACCTTAGTGGCAGTGGAAGCAGCAATACCACCAAGTTCCCACTGTCTCCTCGAAGCCGACAATTAAGTGACAGGGTAAGGGCTGCGCCTTCTTCCCTTGTCCGTCAACTGAGAAGTTACTCCAATTCCATTAATTCATTCTCCTATATGAACGATAACTCAGACCCCAACCTTAGCTCGCCCAAGAAGTTCAAGCTGCACCAGCTGCACTCACAGTCTCCCAGAAAGGTATCTGGCCACGAATTGATAAAATCCAACAAGCAAATGATGGATACCTTACCTCCTGAATTACAACCAGTGGTGACCCTTATCAATGCTCAGAAGCTTCGTACATACGCTGTGGGGACATTCCAAGTCCCTGGCATTGATGAACATGGCCAAAGAGTTTGGATCGAAGTTGAAGGTAAATTAACGGGTAACGAGTTGGCAATATGGAGACCTTCTGAAGAAGAATTTCTAGTAGATATGGCCGATGAGTTCAAGCCAAGGTATATTAACTTAACAGACGTTAAATTAGAATGGGGTGCCAAGGATTATGAATACGACTTGAAGATTTCTCAGACTTTCGATGAAGCATTCTTGATCAAATTTAATGAGCCAGAAGACCTAAATGTATGGTCTGCAGCCATATGTTTGTCGAACTTGGAGTACACCTCTTTAAACGAGGCATTCACTGCGGTAATTTTGTCCTTAAAGGGGAGTAAATTATCAGATATTCACATTTTACTTTCGCAAAAGAAAAGATTTGCAAAGAATGAATGGTGTAACTTAAGAATTCCTCAGATTTCATCCAAGTGGCTCAAATTGTACGTTTCTATTATCCCACAGGAAGGAAAGAAAAAGAATGGTAGAATTGAAATCTACTTGAATGAGAAGATGTCTAAGAAAAACTTGATCTTGTACGTGAGCAAGTTGCACGATGTCTACAATGTGTATCCAGAACAACCAAATATGATTGACTTCAATACAATTATGAAATTGGATGGGGAAATCCATATAAATAAGAATTTCCAATATTTATTTGAAAAGAACTCAGCTGCGAACATTGATGCACTTAGCCCACCATCGAGAGTTTCATCTTTTGCTTTTAAATCACACTCGAGAACCGGGTCAGGTAGCTCTTTTAGTTCTGTAGGTGGATTCCCCAGATCTACGACAACTTCGTCATTCTTCAGCAATGCTCCATCTCCAACTAAGGAGCTGTTTGCACCTTCTTCTCCAAGCTCAGGACTTTTCAAAAAGGCCGATTTGAGCAGCAAGTATGCAGTTACCAACTGCCTTTACTTGATGCCTGTCACTCATCCAGGTGTCTCTGGTATGGAAACGATGATCAGAAATTTCATCGATATAATAGATGCATTTAAATTGTTTGGGAGACCAAGTCATTTATATTCAGACAAGACTGACAAGAGAAGTATGTTATTTGCCCTCCCATCATTACCCCATTATAAGTATTTGTCGATGGAGGAGGCAGTACAGATTGTAAAGAAGTCATTTAAAGTAGCATCTCAAGAGAATTGGGAAGGTCACGAGTGGAGAAACGCATTCAAATCATTTATCAACGATTTGCAGTTGACGAATGGTTTCAAGGGCCATGGTGATCTCTACAGGTTATACGAATCCTTTGACAATTTACAGATTGATGATGTAGATTATGGCATTTCTAGCGTTATGGGATCTCCACAAATTAAGTTACCGAACTCACTGGTAATGCCTGAATTCGAAACGGGCTCAGATGAAAATGTCACTTCACCTCATCCTTTAGCAAATCAACAAGATAGAGACCTGATCATTGATACATATCTTAGTGAACCTACATACTCTCTTCAGAATTCCGGAGGCAGTGGAACTAATTTGTATGACGAGCCTAGTTCTGGTTCTGGACTCGGATCTCCCCTTGAATTTTCTGAAAAGTTGAAGGCTGCCGCTCATAAGGCTTCTTCAACAAACATTGCAGCTCAAGCCCAAGCTGGCTCTGAACATCCATACTACTATATGGTTAACCAATCAGCAGAGCTCAACAAGGTGTAGCCTACGGAGAAAAAGATCGCTTTCCTGACATTTTCTTGAGGCTACTTTTACTTTTCATTCATCACCACCTTTTTCCTCCAGGATAAAAGATTATTTAGACACGGAACAACAGTTACATTTCTCACTGTTTGCTTTTATTATATATATTTACATATATATACATCTGCATTTTTTTGGTTTATAGATATTTCTCACATTTAGAAATTTAGAATAAGCAACATATGACTTAAGGAGAAGTGTAGATTGAAGTAGGGGAAAGAAATGAAAAGAAATTAGAACAAATTCTGATATGAATGCGTTTCAGATGATTCATGGCAATTTTTATTATGAGCTCAGAAATCTAATATCACTGGCATTCAAGTGATGTAATTGTGAAACTTTGAACGCTGTTTATTTGCTAAACCGATTCGGGGAGAGAGCCAATTTCAAGCACGGACCCCTCCACATAGTTCAAAGTAAACAAAATATGAGTTTCTACATTCTTTCCAATCCCGTGGCCGGGCCAAAAGCCACTTTTCAGAAAAGGAAGAAATTCTAAGGTTTCCGTTACATTATCTAAACGAACAATCACACAGTGAGCTATTTAGGAAGGAAGAGATATGCAGCAATGGCCCATCGAATTATGCACGTTATCACTCGAAGAATACGAAGAAGGAAAATAAATATCTACAAGTGACAGAGCTAAACCAAAAGAAAAAAAAAAAAAAAAAAAAAAAAATGAATATCAGCTGCGGGACTGCAGCACTGCTAACTGAACTAGGGCTCAGTTATATCGTTCAAGTGGAACACCAACAAGGCGTCATTCCTGTCCATACTCCAGTTAACAAGTGCATTCAAGTTTCTACATCTCGTAAGGTTCTGAACTCTCATTTTACAACATCCCTGTTGCCCTCCTTTAGGTAATTTATTATCATTCTCCCTCATCTGGTAATTCAGAAATAAGCTTTTTAAGAGAATATTCAAGAATAACAACATGCATTGTTCAGATGTTTCTATATTTACTAATTATTATTCAGCATGAGCCAGATGTACATCTGATGCTTGCTTTTCACCGTACACGTCTTAGCAGCAGAGTATCACATTTATGAACGTGAATGTAAACAAACCAAATGAAGAAATGCTTTGTATTTTTTTTTTTAATTCTTTGCCCTAGACGCGGACGCATCAGTTTCCTAGGTGAGCGGGTCTCAATTGAGAAAACAAAAATAAGAAAAAGGAGGGCCCAATATCAGAAAGAAAAGAGAGCAAGAGAGTGTGTGAGTGAAAGCTTTCTTAGAGACTGTGGTGAGACCACTCGATCTGGTGAGCAGTATGGGGTAAAAATCCTAAACCTTAACTGTATAACTCTGCTGGTCTGCTGCTCCGAGCTCTCGTTTCTTTTAATTTTGCCATCATCTCAATGTTTTGATTTCTTGCACCAGCACTTTACGGCCGTAATAATTAGAACCCGCTAAACGCGTCGCGCCAACTTGCGATACAATTTTCAAAACAAATATAAAACGTTAACCTAATGAGGTACATCACACTACGAACCTCAACGCCGTATCGGAGCAGGCTCTTTCTATATATATATCTACATCTCTTCCTCTTTTCTGACTAGATTCAATTTACTTCTTTTTGTTTTTACTATCTATCATTGATTCACGTTTATCGAATCATCCATCTTCTTTCCTTTCTTTCAATTGAACCAGTTTGCTGCACGACCTTCCATCCCAAGCAAATTATTTAGTTGAGACCTTCAAAAAAAAAAAGCAAAGAACTCACAACCACACTCCAAAGTTTAATTTACAACTATGTCTACAGAAACTCCAACCAAAGGTTTAACCGGCCAAATCTCGTCTCTTGACATGTCAATCAGCAAGGGTAAGTCACTCACCGACCAATTAGCTGCTGAAGCTCAGGCAAAGGACCAATCTCAAACTGATCTTTTAGCCACAAAGGCAAACATCCAAGCTCCAACCATCTCCGCTGAAGAAACCAACAAAGAATTAGTGAAAGCTGAAAAGTTACACCAGGAATTCTTAGGTAAACACAGAGCACACCGTCATGAATTAAAGGGCCTTGAAAAGGAAGAACCACTCCTCAAGGAAAACCACAAGAGATTCGTCTTATTCCCAATTAAGTACCATGAAGTTTGGCAAATGTATAAGAAGGCAGAGGCATCTTTCTGGACCGCTGAAGAAATCGATCTCGGAAAGGATGTTACTGACTGGGAAAACAAGTTGAACGACAACGAAAGATACTTCATCTCTAGAATCTTGGCCTTTTTCGCTGCTTCTGACGGTATCGTTAACGAGAACTTGGTTGAAAACTTCTCAGCTGAAGTCCAAATTCCAGAAGCCAAGTGTTTCTACGGTTTCCAAATCATGATGGAAAACATTCACTCTGAAACATACTCATTATTGATTGATACTTACATCAAGGATCCAAAGGAAGCTGATTTCTTGTTCAATGCCATCGACAACATTCCATGTATCAAGAAGAAGGCTGACTGGGCTTTAAGATGGATCTCCGACGATGAAGCTCTTTTTGCTGAAAGATTAGTGGCCTTCGCTGCTGTTGAAGGTATCTTCTTCTCAGGTTCATTTGCTTCTATTTTCTGGTTGAAGAAGAGAGGTTTAATGCCAGGTTTAACATTCTCCAACGAATTAATCTCGAGAGATGAAGGTTTACACACTGACTTCGCTTGTCTTTTATTCTCTCACTTACAAAATAGACCAGATAACGCTATTGTGCAAAAAATTATTACTGAAGCAGTTGCCATTGAGAAGGAATTCTTTACCGATGCATTACCAATCTCCTTGTTAGGTATGAACTGTGCCTTGATGTGTCAATACATTGAATTTTGTGCTGACAGATTATTAATATCCTTGGGATCTCCAAAGGTATACAATGTCACCAACCCATTCGATTTCATGGAAAATATTTCTCTTGCTGGTAAGACAAATTTCTTTGAAAAGAGAGTTTCTGACTACCAAAAGGCAGGTGTTATGGCTAAGACCAACGATGCTAAGGCTGGTGAATCCAACTTCTCCTTCGATGAAGAGTTTTAAGCTAATAGATTTAAACACACGGATAGACTTTCAACTATTAAAAAAAAAAAAAATGAAAAGCAGGTTTGAATCCTTTCAAGGAAAGGATCCAGTGGGACTCCTGTATAATATAATCCTTGTTCCCTATGTTATTGTTTACGATTAAGATTGCATTTTTCTTCTCTCATCCACTTGCTCCTTTGTACATTATAAATCTTATATAAAAAAATACACATAATTATGAGTTAAATATTGTGAATTAATGTAATCTAAGTCTTGGTCTACTTGAATTCTATTTTGAGATTATCAAATTGCCTAGAGTATCGTATAATTCTTCTTCCTCATCATCGTCGATCTCTTCAGTATTTTCTTCATCGTCATCTTCATCCACTTGATCTTGATCATTATCTATTAAGTTGCCCAATGCATCATATCGTTTCTTCGGTATTATGTTTCCAAGATTATCATATTCTACGTCTTCTTCATCATCGTCTTCATCTTCATTTTCGTGACCTTCGTCGTCTTCACTTCCTTCGTACACTTCTTCAGTTTCTCTGTTGACATTCCCCATCATCCATACATCTTCAGTCTGGCCCTGCAATTTACGTTCTTTAGCTTCTTTCTGAATCTTCTCCAACCACTCATCTTGAGCTTTATTCACAGAATCTGAGTCAGTACACTTCTGGTACACCTCTATTAATTCACTATTAATCTTTAAGAAAGCTGGGCCCCATGAGAAATTGTCTAACAACTCTGCTGCCCAATCCAAATGACCCACAATCGCAAAACAAGCAGCTAACGCTTCGACACAGTTAAGTTTCCAAGGTCTACCGTAGTTAACAGGGTTTGCAGCAACCAAATATGGCAAAAGTCTTTCGTGCTTCCCACCAATCTTATTGAACGGAACTTCATCCAATCTTGCCCAGGAACATTCTACAACAGCACTACCATTTCCCTCAACAATTTCTCTGTCATCCGGACAAACCACACCTTTACCGTTTGGTGATACAACCACTCCGCTGAATTTTTGACCTACCCTTAAGTTTTTTATCAAACCGAGTCTTTCCAACTTCTTCCCTGAGCATCTTTTAGGGTCACAATGCTCGAAGTCCCACATGGCCAACTTTACCGGGAATGTACGCTTTTCAGTTTCACCATCTCCATTTGATATTCCCATATTTGCACCCGTTTCTTGCCTACCTTTCCTTACATTATGGTGCTTTGATTTATGTCCATTGGAGGTACGACTCGTACGTACACGATCTTCAGAGACCTTATTCTTTCCTTTACCCATGATTCCTGCTCGATAACTTGGAAGCAAGACTAGTTAAAAATTGTAGAAAGTGTTCTAAATTTTTCATGTACATGATTTGAGAAGAGATCCTGCATAGGGCAACAACTCACCCCATACTTCAAGACTTCAGCTTATCAAATTTAGGCTCGACTTTCAAGTAACCAACTTCCAACAGCAGTAGATTATAATGATACACTCTTTGAAATTCCCTGATGATGAAAATTCAAAACTTCCAAATCTTTATCTCTCCAAATGTCAGCACTATTCTCAAACAAACCCGCTATTCTCGTACTTCTGTGGAATGTATAGCATCCAAACGGCTTTAATGCTCCTAGGCAGTACAGATTTGGCTGAAGAACAGTCCATTGAGATTACCATCACCAAGCTATTAGAGTACCTCGAAGATATTAAAAGGACTAAAATTCCTAAGAATATCGACTCTTCCCTTAAATTGAGATTAGAATACTCAAAACTATTGGACAAGAAATATCAAAAATTAACCTCTCTTATCAACATGTCCAGTGGAAACTCAGAGCACCTTAATTTCGGACAAGTTGTTGACCTATTTCTTGAACTTGCATTTTTATACGATGTCTTGAGGGGAGTGTATCCAATTAAGAATTTTTCAGAAGATGAAGCTGCCGTGAAAACGTTGCTAAGGGACTGCTCGGACGAAGCAATTGAGTATAGAATACACTATTGCAGAACCCAGGCTTCCAGTATTTTATCCCTTGTAAAGCTGGGTCAAGACCCAAACCAGTATATGGAGCAGTTACGAATTGTACCAACTGACTTGGATCAGATTAACAATGAAGACGATGGGATAACGAAGATTCAAATAGATGACATGATAAAGCAAGTCATGGATTTACCTGATGACGCTTTTGAAGAGAATGAATCTGAAGTAAGCGCTAAATCTGATAAAAGTGACGAGGAAAGTGGAAACGAAAGCGAAAATGACAGCATCTCAAGTGATTCGAAACCCCGAAAGAGACCGGACGTTAACGATTTACCCTCTGTTCCAAAGTCTGGAAGGAATGTTGAGGAAAGTACTGAGGATAGTCATCCAACTGTAAGCAAGCCGCAACACCAAACTACTGAATCCCACGAACACCCCATAGGCTCTGATAATAATGATAAGACATCAACCAAACGAGAGAGGAATGGTGATAAGGAGCCTCTATCAGATAAAAGCTCAAGCTTTAAGTCATCACCGTCTCCCCCTCCCAGCTCAATTCCAGTATTCACCCATAAGAAGCAAATACACTACAGTCAAGAGGAAATGAAAGCTATAATGGAGAACGATAACTTATTGGACTTAGCAATGAAAGATGCAAAACATGCAGTCTCTGCATTGAATTATGAGGACTGTGATACCGCCTTATCTAAGCTTGAAGAAGCAATCAGCTTGATAAAGGAGTATAAACTCAAGAACAGCTAGACTAACATCTGAGATTCTTAAAGTTTGAAGAAGCAATCAGACTTATTAAGAGTATAAGATCAGTTGTCTCTAATATCAGAAATTCTCGGAGCTTAATGATGAACTCACATGGATAAAGAGTACAAGCTTAAGAACAGCTACACTAAGATTTGAGATGCTCATTGTATGGCTGCAAAATTTGAAAATAATCCTGCATATACAGCGATACATACACCAAGAAACATGGGGTTAAGATGAACCTTAATTTATAGAGTATGTTAATTTATAGATATATCAATACATTTGAAGCCTTTCATTGTAAGGAAGTGCTCAATGATATCCAACACTCACACGAGAAATTCCACCAGCTCGTTCTTATTCTACCTACCATAATGTCATTGGAAGATTTGAAAGAACCTCCTAATTTCAACCCGAAGCCGCATTTTAGCTTTCTCGTAACAGAACTCTTCACGAAACTTGACTTAGTTAATAAGGATAATCTACGAAATTTTACTTCAATAACTGCAAAGAAACAATTCATTATAGATGAGTTCATTAAAAACTGGAAACATTACGTTGGCCTAAACATATACCCTGCTGCGAGATTGATATTCCCAGCAAGGGATGGTCGTTTGTATTTTATAAGAGATGTAGGATTATCAAGACTAATCACGAAAATGTATAAGATTCCAAAGAATTCTATTGATTTTAGACGAGTGAACGATTGGAAAAGAAATTATCACGACTATAAGAAGCTTAATACAGATAAAAAGAGACTTCGTACGCTTTCATATATCTTAGCACAACAGATTTCTGAAAGAAGAGATGTCCAACCAAAGGGAGACGAAGTCACCATACAGGAAGTTAACGATGTCCTCGATAAGCTAGCAAGCGATGAAGTGGAATCAGGAAGTCAACAAATTGAATTACTCGAGCCATTTATGCGTAAGTTGAATACTGAGGAACTAAGATGGTTTTTACAAATTATCTTGAAAGATGCAACGATATCTCCTATGGAGTCATACTTTTACAGAAGCTGGCATCCAGATGCTCCTCAGTTTTCCAACGTGGTTAACAATCTTAGAGCTGTTTTCTGGAGATTAACCGATATTACGGAAAGACTTTCTGAAAGTGATTTGAGAGTTCATCTCATGTACCCCTTTCTACCACAGTTGGCTGCCAAACCAAAGCTATCATATGAAGAAATCGCTTCAAGGATGGGAAATAACTTTTATATCGAAGAAAAGATCGATGGAGATAGGATGATAATGCATATGAAACGGAATTCTGAAGACAAAAATGATATGCACTTCAAGTACTACACCAGGAGGTGCAGAGATTACAGCTTATTATACGGAGAAGATTTAAAGAACGGTGCTATGAGTAAGTACCTAAGGTATGCCTTTCATGAGGGTGTTAGTAGCTGCGTTTTAGACGGTGAAATGGTAGCTTGGGATTATAGACGAAATGTTATACTTCCTTTCGGCACATTAAAGGCATCTGCTGTACAAGAAGCAGTGAGACATTTCACCACTGAAGATGCTTTCTCAGATCAATCCGCATGGCCCTTATTCATAATATATGACATTTTATATTTAAATGGGGTGCATTTGGTTGGTACTAAGTTGATCGAACGTCGGAATGCTTTAAAGAGAATAATCATTGAAATTCCACATAGATTTGAGTTATTAGAGACACCGATTGCTCATACCGCTCAAGATATTGAGGATGCAATGAAAAAAACCGTTTTGGAACGAAGTGAAGGAGTTATGCTTAAAAATGTCAACCTGAAGTATAAGATTGCCCAAAGAGATAATTCATGGGTTAAGGTAAAACCGGAATATCTTGAGCAATTTGGAGAAAACTTAGATTTGGTAGTCATAGGGGTAATCAAGGGTGTTAAGAATGCATACATGTGTGCATTGAAAGATACAAGCGATGGTGATATCTACAAATCATTTTGCACGGTGGGTAATGGGTTTTCTAATTCTGAATATGATGAAATAAGAAGAATCACTGAAGGTAAGTGGCATGATTATAAAACTGAACCTCCTCCACCAGATAAGGTGCTTTTCGGGTCAAGGAAGCCTGATCAATGGATATATCCAGAGGATTCACTTGTAATAGAAATTAAAGCAAGATCTATTGACAGTGAGTTATTGGGCACCTATGCAGTTGGGAACACATTGCATAATTTGTACTGCAGAAGGTTGAGACTAGATAAATCATACGAAGAGTGTGTGACATTACAAGAATATAAAGAGATGAAAGAATTGAATTCAATGGATGCTGCTAAAGCCCAAGAGGTTATAAAGGGAAACAAACAGCTAGGTGTTAAACCAAGTAAGGAAAATAGACTTCTTGGTGATGCTATAGCTATTAAGAATGTAAAGGTGGTTTCTACTTTATTCAAGGGCCTCAAATTTATTATTTTATCAGGTAAAGTAGATCTGAAAACAGGAGATAGAATCTCAGATACTGATATTATCAAAGTTGTTAAGAAGCATGGTGGCATAATTTGTACCAACGTTGAACCTCAGAGCGTTGTAGATAGAAAAATTATCTGTGTGAGTGAAGTATTGACAGTTAAATCGAAGCAAATGCTCAAAATCGGAATAGATTTAATACTGCCTGAATGGATTTTCCAATGCATAAGGTATAATTCAATTCTTCCAATTGAACCTTCATTGATTTTTAGGAGTAGTTCAGATAAATTAGTTGAAACTAGTAAACGCAGGCTAGATGAATATGGTGATAGTTACATTCTTCATGTGGATGAGCCTATCCAGAAATATGCTAAAAGGTTACATATAGTTAAAGAAGAAGGGGGAGCAGCAAATAGGCAAGGTCTTGTCACACTTCAAACTAATGCAAGTGCTGATTTCAAATCAGCTGGAGTAGATGATTCCCCTATTGCTTACCTTTTCAAAGATGTCAAATTTTATATCGTGTCTCTTCAATCAACGCCAAGCTGGCAAACAGAAGGACTCGAGAGGAAGATTAAAAGGTATTTCGGGGAAGTAACACTAGCCTTAGAAGATGCTTCCTTTGTAGTGTTCACTGCATTCGATAAGTATGATTTCGCTGCCGACCAAGAGGGAAGACGTAAGGCTAAGGAAATTTCTAGCCGTATTTCGAATGAGTGGTCAAGGTCGAAAAAGATTCCGTACATCGTTGATGAATCCTTTGTTGACGAAAGTATTAGAAATAAAGTATTAGTCGATCCACAAGATTATAAGGTATAGAAAAAAAAAAAGGAGGAAAGGAAATGAACTGAGAGCGACAATAGCAGTATTGCACTGTACTTAACAACTTGTTGTATACTTTTACAATATCAAAGTACCATGTAATGGTTCCAACAGACCATAAGTGAAGTACAACTTCAGAAATTAGATGTTATTCAAAACATGAAAATAGTAGAAATAACGCATCAACTTTCCAAAAGGAATAAGATACTATGATAAAAGAAATGGAAAATGTCGGGGGCCGACAATGAACTGATATACCACGCTAATAGAAACTGGGCATGCGATATCTTCACTTATAGTTAGCTAAACTATGGCCCATTTTTTATGCAACCTTTCACGGTCCGCCGCAGAAAAAATTTTACCGGCGCGCCGGTCTTGGATCATGAAAATAATGCACGATTCGCATCTCCGACACCCTTCACTTTCCGTTGACCTACTCACCTAAAAAATATATGCATGGAAAGTCCTACTTCTACGGAATACTGATGATTAGTATGGGTAGGTAGCAACTATAGTTGAGAGGTAGCAATCCAGTGGAAGTTTTTTTAGGTTTGTAATATCAATTTAAACTTCTCGGGGTTGTCCTTAAAAGATTGATAATGCGTAGCCAATTGCGCATATGAAAACTTCGAATACATTTAAAGTGAGTGATAGTATCAAAAAGCTTCATCTATTATTTTCTCCAGATTCTTTTTACCACATTTATTATTTACCTATTGTTTGGATTTCTTCCATTGATTAACTTTGATTCGAATCATTAGCAAAATTTGTTTATCGATCCGCGGAATCTCTTATCTCAAAATAATATCAGCGTGGTAGTACTGTGTGATAACTTGAATTTTTCAGTATAGCAGGCACTTACTAGGCACCCCAGAATAACGATTTTACGTTGTTAGCACAAGTATCGGGGCATTATTTATTTTAATCAAAAAAGTATATTTTATACATAGTTTCTACACAACCATACAAAGTGTACTATATTTCAAGTATAAAAAATTTTTCACTTAAAAATATTCATATAACTTCATATGACACTTACTACTCCCCACAACGTGACTGGGAGTTTGGCTTGGGCTACGTTTATAGCTTGTCTAAGCACATTACAATTCGGATTTCATCTTGCTGAATTAAATGCACCAGAAGCAATTTTACTGTGCCAGTTCCACAAAAGAGGTCCATATGAGTCCTATGAAGAGACAATATGGTCCTCGTTTGGTCGAGATCAATGTCTAAAGATGAGCAGTGGTGGAATCGCAACCATAACTACAATGTTCACTGTCGGAGGATTTGTATCCTCAATAATACTTGGATCATCCAAAATCTCAACTGCATTTGGTAGAAAGAAGGTCAGCATCATTAATTCGTTGTTATTTTGTCTTGGTTCATTTTCAATGGCTATGTCGAATAAACTCTGGATGTTCAATTTGGGTAGGTTCGTTACTGGTTTAGCTGGTGGATCTTCGTTAGTGGTGTCACCAATCTTAATTAATGAGTTGACTCCCATCAACCATAGAGGATTTTTAGGGTCTATATTGCAATTGGCGGTAGCCATTGGGATCCTTATGGCTCAAATTGTTGGATACTTCTGGTCAAACGATCAAGAGTGGCGTAGCATATTCCTCTTTGCATCTGGTATTGGTTTGTTTCAATTTGTTATTTTATTCACCACTGTCGAATCTCCTAAATGGCTTATTATCAATAAGGGAGAGGTCAAGAAGGCTAAATCCATATTGAGAAACTTACGTACTGATCACGATGCCGCAAACCATGAAATTAATCACTGGAGAAGACTTTCTATTCATGCCGATGTTTCAGAGTGCAAAGCAGGAGAAACCTCAGCTTTATTAGATGGACCAGTAAGCGAATCATCTTCATCGTCTACCAGTGGATTCATCCCACTAACAAGAACTGTGTCACGTAGAGGTTCTATTGATCCTTCTCATATTACTATTGGAGATTTTCTTTCCATAAAGAAGTATGCACCAGAGCGTTGGGCTATCTTTGGATTAATGTCTGGTCAGCAACTATGTGGAATTAACGCTATTACTTTCTACGGTGTACGAGTCTTACGTGACATTGTCCCAGAGGGAACAAACGTACTTGCCATTACATGTTCACTCTCAATTTGTAACGCACTTTCTGCGCTTTGTATTTCACCATTTGTTGATACGTTAGGTAGAAAGAAACTTTTGATGTATTCGGTGTCCATTATGGGTCTTTCAGCAGTGGGGATTTCCATCGGGTTGACTCATAATATCGACTACCTTGCAGCTGGTGGGTGCTTTGTCTTTAATATCGGGTATTCCATTGGGTTAGCACCAATACCATTCTTGATGATTTCAGAGCTTGCAAGTCACGAAGCATTAAGTGCTGCACAATCATGTGGAACGGCCCTTAATTGGGCTTCTAACATCACTATTGCATTTTTCTTCCCAATTCTTCTGGATCTGATAGGAGGGTACATCTTTTATGTATTTTTCTTCATTTGCGCATTCTATGTTACATTTTATGCCAAGTTCTTACCAGAGACATTAGGGTACAGTAGTTCAGAGGAAGTTTGGAGAGATTTCAGAAAGGAATAAGGATACCGATTCAATTCTCTTTAGAGTGTTTTTTTAATAGCATATTTTCTTCTTTTCATTTGTTTTCTTTTCACAATTCGTATAGATAAATAATATATTTAAATACCTTAAGAAATCAAATATGTCATTAGCATTACCGCCGTTTGCGTTTAGACTTTTTTTTTTTTTTATTTTTTTTTTGAAATTTTTCAAGGCCCACTTTTCAATTTTTCTGGGGTTATCTCAGGCCTGCGCACTTGAGCCCCAAGTTTAAAACAGTGAGTGAAACGACTGTACAGCCTAATTGATGAAGGGGTAGATCAATTAGTTGCTGTACAGATATGCAGAAGAATTTCAGATGTGGTACCAAGACTGGCCTTTTAACTTCTGAAGTTTCCTCCTTCGGTAGAATTCCCAAGCTTTATCCGAGTCTCAACGTGTGTCTAAAAAAAAAGCTTCTATCATCTATTTTGTATTCCGGTGGATGCACTACGCATGAAGTCATAATACAGTTAAAGCATTGCACTGGGGTGTACTCACGCAGGAACATCGACCCCTAATTTTGGGATTATTTTTCACTTATATGTAGCTTTGTTGAAGGTGTTTTGGTAGTAGACAAATTTTCTTTTTCTTCCTTTTTCCTTTTTCCTCAATTCTATTATTTTTGGTATTTACATTTAGTTCACACATCTGTATAATATCACTTAACATAGATAATAAAAATGGTCAATTACTCTGAATGGATGCGTGAGGTCAATGACGACACTCGTATCTCTAAGCTCTCAATCCCAGGAACTCACAATGCTGCAGCTTCTCACACTGCATTGCCATCAGTTCAATGCCAAGGTGAGTCCATCACTGAGCAATTGAAGCATGGTGTTCGTTTCCTTGATGTTAGACTCGCTAAGAAGTTTTTAAGTGAAGGAGATGAAGCATTGGATCTTCAAGTCATTCACGGGAACTTCCCGGTCAAGATCCCATTCCCATTGAAATTCAGTTCTGTTTTGGAAGAAATTTATGACTTTTTGGATGAACACAAATCTGAAACTGTAATCTTATCTCTTAAACAGGAAGGTCCTGCCAATTGGAATAACGATCAAGATGAATTCGGTAATTGTATTTGGGACAAGTACGTCAACAAGAAGAAGGATAAGTGGTACTTGAAAACTGATGTTCCCAAGATTGGTGATGCCAGAGGTAAGATAACTCTTTTCAGAAGATTTGGTGTGAAAAACGAGGACCGTGCGAAGGAATTTGGATTCAATGCTTCTTCATGGAAATACAACTGTGAAGAAGATGACCGTGGGACTTTCTGTGTTCAGGATTTCTGTGAACTCAACACTGAAGAGGACGTGGAAAAGAAATTAGGTTACGTTAAGAATTTAGCCAAAAAGGCCAACCAGTTCAATTCCAGTCAGTCTGATAATAAGTTGTTCGTCAACTTTTGTTCTGGTTCCAATTTCTTTAACACTGACTGTTGGCCAGAAAAGGTCGCAGAAGCTGTTGCTAAGGGAGAAGTTGACTCCTCCTTTGCCAAGGGTGTTGGGATCATTGTTATGGACTACGTAGAAGCTGATGATTGGAAATTGGTCAAGCTTTTAGTTGACAAGAACTTCTAGGCTTAAATAGAGTATATTTTTACTAAGAAACGAATTGCTGCAAATACTAGGAACACCATACTTAAGAATTTTTCACTTCGAATCTCCCGGTTATATTTTCTTTTTTTTTTTTTTTGTTTGGCGCTTTTATTCTGCTAAATCCGACTTCGCGATATGGGAGGGCTCGAAGTCGAAGAAGAGTAGGTAGTTTGTAGACAGTGCTTGTAATACTCTCACAACCAAAGTGTCGTCGGCATGACCTCTGTACTAGCAAGACGACTTCTGTCAAGAGGTGTAAGTTATAGTTTTAGTATATTTGTAAGATACAATTCATCAAAACTATTCAAAGAGGATAGCTTGGTAAAGAATAAGAATAATTTTAATGATAAGTTGATGGCTACTGTAGATGGTAGGCTGCCGTATGGACAATTGGGATTGGATTATGAAGATGACAAGCTAAGAAAAATAATAGAAACTTCCAACTTTGGAGCAGCAAAGGAGGAGCAAAGTAGAAAGGAATATAGTGTTGGAGCAAGTACCGTAGAGCAAAAGGACAATGATTCTGTGAATGATTTGAAGAACGCGAACTCATATTCCGGTGATAGTGAAGACTTTCTGATCAAGATGAATGGTAACGATGACATTGGGAATTCTATTCATAATCAAATTCCCAATTTGCCGTCTGATAAGGAGAACAAACGTAGTGATTTAGCTAAAAGATTGGAGAAGTATTTGGATTCTTTGCAAGATACGATATTCACAGCTACCAGGGCATTGAACGATGTGACTGGGTATTCTTCGATTGAAAAATTGAAAAAGTCTATAGATGACCTTGAGAACGAGCTAAAAAGAGCTAGAGATCAGGTCAAATCAAGTAAAGAACTATACTCTGAGGCGATAAGTCGTAGATCTAAGCTGCAGAAAGAAGTGAACGAATTACTTACCAGGAAGCATAACTGGTCTGGGGAAGATTTGGAAAGATTTACCAATTTGTATAGAAACGATCATGCAAATGAACAAGCAGAAGTAAATGCGCAAGTAAAGTTGGAAGAATCGGAAAGAAAGGTTGATTCCATTCAATTGAAGTTGACCCAGCTGATTTTGACTAGATATCATGAGGAACAGATTTGGTCCGATAAAATTCGTAGAGCGTCCACATGGGGTACTTGGATAATAATGGGGTTGAATATGGTATTGTTCATAGTTGCTACCTTCTTAATTGAACCATGGAAGAGGAAGAGATTGGTTGGGTCCTTTGAAGATAAAGTGAAGCTAGCTCTATTTGAGACTAGTGAACAACAGAATTGGAAGATTGACGAAATAATGAAAGAAAATCTGGAAAGGAGTAAGGCAGCGAGTAAGACCGACGCTGTTAATAGAGGAAGTGATAGTACTAGTGCCAAGTCGTGGTTTTTCAATCTAGGAGGTGAAAATGTACAGTTTGATGAAAAACCCAATCTGACAAGTAAATTACCAGTAGAAGGTCTTCTAGACTGTACATTGACCACATCAGATTATGAAGATAGTACGTTTTCAGTTGTCAAGGACAAATTGCTGCAATATTTATCCAAAGATGTCAAATACGTGCAGATGGACAAATCCAACCTCAATTTCTTGTTTACATCATCCGTTGGTTTTGGAGTATTGTTAGGATATGCATTGACCTACTTGGTAAGGTAAAATCATTGTGCTAGTAAAATTAAGATGAACAGTGTGCAATAGTATGGAGTGGAAAGGAAAAAGCAAAAAAGTAAATCAACACTCTCCCTTGGCACCTTTGTTGATGTGAGCTCTACAACTTAAACAACTCCACGAGCCCTAACACCTACCCCAACCAGTATTGTAAATATATAGTAATGTACATAGTGTAGAATTGCAGCAATTATCATAATACCGATCCTGTATACTACTCCGTCAACCTACGTGTGGTGATCAAAACCCAAATCGCCACTCTACGCAGAACAAGCCAAATTGGGAGTGTGCGAAAATTGATAATCAACTTTGAACGAAAGTAGCACTGCAATTACGGAGAGGGATCAGTTGAGTAATAGCAGTAGTAGTAGTATATTGTGGGTTTGAAGAATTAATAATTTAATTTTGATTCCAGTTTAATTTCCATTTCATTTCAAACGAACAACTAAACTAATTGGAATTATCTAGAAGTGTCAAAGATGGATGAACTTGGCATTGCAGTTGAATCTGCCACTAAAGTGAACAACATACACCACAAGGCAATTTCGTTGCCTTCAAATCAATCATTATCAGATGAAAACTCCGATGTGTACCTTCGATTAAAGAAGTTAGAGAAGGAGTTGGAATTGCTTTTGCTTCAAGAAGATTACATCAAGGATGAACAACGTTACTTGAAAAGGGAGTTGATTAGAGCTCAAGAAGAAGTCAAGAGAATCAAGTCTGTACCACTTGTAATTGGACAGTTCTTAGAGCCAATTGACGAAAACACCGGTATAGTCTCGTCTACCACAGGTTCTAACTATGTGGTTAGAATATTATCTACTTTGGATAGAGAATTGTTGAAACCATCTTCATCTGTCGCATTACATCGCCATTCCAATGCATTAGTTGATATCTTACCACCTGAAGCAGATCTGTCCATTTCCATCGTCGGTGATAACGAGAAGCCCGACGTTACCTACGCGGATGTGGGTGGTCTTGATATGCAAAAGCAAGAAATAAGAGAAGCCGTAGAATTACCACTCTTGCAGGGAGATTTATACAAGCAAATTGGTATTGATCCACCAAGAGGTGTCTTGCTCTATGGTCCACCTGGTACGGGTAAGACCATGTTGGTTAAGGCCGTCGCAAATTCATCGACTGCATCATTCATTAGAATCAACGGTTCTGAGTTTGTTCAAAAGTATTTGGGTGAAGGTCCAAGAATGGTCAGAGATGTTTTCAGATTAGCCAGAGAAAATTCCCCTGCAATTATATTTATAGATGAAATTGATGCCATTGCAACTAAGAGATTTGATGCGCAAACTGGTGCAGATAGAGAAGTTCAGAGAATTTTGTTGGAATTATTAAATCAAATGGATGGGTTTGACCAAACTTCCACCGTTAAGGTCATAATGGCAACCAACAGAGCTGACACCTTAGATCCTGCCTTATTAAGACCTGGTAGATTAGATAGAAAGATTGAATTTCCTTCTTTGAAGGACAGAAGAGAGAGAAGGTTGATTTTTTCAACTATTGCATCGAAAATGGCTTTGGCTCCTGAAGCTGATTTGGATTCTTTGATTATCAGAAATGATCCATTATCTGGAGCTGTGATTGCGGCTATTATGCAAGAAGCTGGTTTAAGAGCCGTCAGAAAGAATAGATATATGATACTCCAAAGCGACTTGGAAGAGGCATACACCTCACAAGTAAAGACTGGAAGTGAACACGACAAGTTTGATTTCTACAAGTAATGAAGCATGATGAAATTGAAGTAGATAAAAGAATTTAAAACTCAAAATAAATATAAATACTTAGGAAGCACTATGTAGCATGCAAATTATAATCACTTTCTCTATAAAATTTCGTATACTCCAATACCTGGGGTCAATGACTTCAAGTTGCCAAAGTCCAAGTGGTCTAAGTCTAAGTGAAGAGTGTAATTCCATACATTTCTGTATTTCTCTGGCTCTGATACTGTGGTGAGGTACGAAGCGACAGGAGTGATTAGGTAAATTTTAGATACTCCTAATACTTGTAAGTCTTTCGCCAATCCTTGGACGTAGTCAAAGTCACTACCCATTGTATCAATTAATAACTGTGATCTCTTGCCATCTAAGTCCACAGGTATAGGCGCTTCTGAAGTAGATATAACGATGCTCAATGTATTATCCTTGTTTCCTAATATCCAATTTGGTGGAGAGTACGTTCTCCACCAGATTTGGGCAGAAGTGCCATCGTTTGTGAGAAGACTAGGAGAAGTATGGAAATGGTCAAGTACCGGAATGACACCTCCCTGGTGTAATACACCCATCAAAATGCTAAGAATGATATTGAAAACATACCAAAGAAACATCAACGCAGAAACAAGCATCGAAGAGGTTTTCTTGGATGTGCCATTCTTCTCGACTATGACAGGTTGAAACTTTTCCAAGTCGAAACAACAACACGCCAAGGGTACAAGGGGAATTAAGAATCTCAATTCCTGATGCGGGACTGTCGAAAGAAATATAAGACCACTAACCAAGCTCAAAAATGGAGTCGCCCTTAAGTACTTGTTTCCCTTGTAAAACAAGAACATAAGCCCTGTAGGTCCTACCATTTGTGGGAAGTTAACAAGAAGATGAGTGTAATACGGGTGAATTCCATGCTTAGCCAAATTCTGTGTACTGGAATTGTACTTCAAGCTGTTCCACGGAGTTATAATATACTTAGAAAAGTCACCGAATGGGTCCTGGAGAATCAGCATGCCAGTATTTTCATGTCCAAAGTAAATAGAGTCAAGTACAATGAAGGAAATACTTGGGATTAAGAAACCTAAGCATCCCATCAGTATGGCCTTCAATTTATGGTTGCTGTACCTCAAGTGATTAAACACAAATACCAGAGGCAAGATCAAGAAAGCTGGGAAGGTTATTCTATTAAATATTCCCAATGCAACAACTGATCCGAGTACAAAATAACTACTAACGAGAGTTCTCCTATGTTCATTTGTGAAGAACCTCATCTCGTCTACCAAATATACAGCAAGAAGCACAAGTATAGTTTCTATGCTATTACTGAAACAATGCTGTTGGTATGTTAACGTTACGTACGATGTCAGAATGAAAAAGATTCCCTTTATGCGTTCAGGACGAGTAGGTAACATTCTGTAGACAAGGAAGTCAGTGAAGATCCACGTCAAAACGAGAAATTGCAATCTCATTATGTACCAGATCTGAAGCGGCGTGAATGTTGAGCCTGTAATACGAATTAAGTATAAAATGGGCCCGTAGATCAAATAAAGAGGTCCCATGCTTCTGGCTGGGTTTTCAGATGTGAACTCCCATGGTATACTAGTGGTGTAATTTAGAATGGAGCTTGTTAGCACTTCAAAGTTCTGAAAATGTTCATCTGGATGAATGTAAGAATTTGTCAAAGCTAAAAAGAATCTCACAGCGATTGAGAATAGATACGTATTTCTCCAATTAAACATCCTTTCTTGCTAAACTACAAGAGAAGAAGTGCTCTCACTGTGAAGTGAAAATTGCAACATTGAAAAATCTCGATTTTCCATAGTGCGCCTAAAAGTGCACTAACTATTCATTTGAAGATTTATTGAGTATGGTCTACTGGTGCTACTGGTGCTACGTTCACGTATTCAATTGCAATATATGTTTTATTTTGTCTATTTATTTCTATCTTACTTCTTTTGGAGTTGCTTCTTTGCATTTTTCAAATTCTTAATATGTTTCTTCACCCTCAAATCGGATTCTTTAGCCTCTTCATCGTCCTCATCATTCATTAAGTCATTCCTCACCCCTATCTCTACATCACTATATCCTTCTTCATCTTCTGGTGTTTCTAAAGTCATTACGTCTGCCACAATATCATCTTCTTCTCCATCTTCGTCGTCTGACTCTTCATCTATATCTTCATCATCCATATCGAAGTCATCTTCACCGTCCATATCAAAATCATCTCCTGAAATATCACCATTAAATTCAGCATCGTCAAGCTCTTCGACGTATTCGACATCACTTTCTTCATCCTTACCTTCAATTAAGTCATCTTCTTCAACAATCTCACGTTTAAGGTCCATCTGTTGATAAAGTAAGTTTAATCTACCCTGTAATTCCAATAATCTGGGTAAGACATCTGCCTTCTTCAGCAAAATAGCATGCAAGTTGGATAACTTTGAGTTCAAATTTGGTAAGCTGGTTAAGATACCACCATGGATAATAATAATCCACTTCAACCAGAAGTTTAATTGGTCAAATCTGGAAGTTTGACGAGCTATACGTTCAGCCAAACGGTCCAACAAAGTAACTGCAAGACTAGAGTCAAGCTTAGCAATAGTGTTCTGAATAACTTGAGGGTCACGATTTGCTAACACAGTTTCTAATAACGAGTGGTCATTATTTCTCAATGCTTGTGACAATATAATGGTTAAAGTAGTTCCGCCTAACTTTTTCTTATCATTAACCTTTTTCTTAATTTGGTCGTTCTTACTAGATTTGGATCCATTAGTAGCAAGCTTGTCCAATTTTTCTGCCAATGTTTCACCATCTTCATCTTCATCATCTTCGTCATCACTAACGTTAGCTACATCCTTTAAATTGGTACCATCAGAGACGATAGCATTCCCTTCATTATAATGTTTGTTTGCTGCTATGTCGTGGCCATAAGTAGAATGAAGAGTAGTTGCAAAAGTGTTTGGTTTGGATTTTTCAATTACCTTGTCAGTAACAAGAGCAAGTTCTCCAGTGGATTCATCCAACCAGCTGATGGTTTCAAAATATGGAATTGATGCATTTTCTAACCATGACACGATCAAGTTGTCACTAGAAACTGAAACTGTGGTGATCGTGAGTGTGGAATCGGTTGCTTCCTTTCTTTCAGCAATTGGACGAGTCAATTTGATTGTGCAGTTGTTAGACTTTGATTGGATTTGTCTTCTCTTCTTTCTGTTTGGCGTTCCATCAACGCTACCATTGGTGCCGCTGAAGGCGTTGTTGAATACCTCAACTACTCCCTCTTCGGTAATTGCAGTCAAGATTGAGTGATTCTTGTTGTATTCACCAAGCAGGACTGATAAAACTGGTGACTGGGTGACAAAGATCAGAACTGCAGAAACTTTGCTTATAGAATACAAGTTGATAAATCTATCATTCGACGCACTGGTCAAAAATAAATCAGGATTGGAAGGGATTGGAAGTAATGTATTTACTGGTTGGATGTGCGCTGGAAATGCCTTGACCAATTTCTTATTAGCAATATCATAAAGATAGACTGAGTGAGTAGCAATGAGTAAGTGGTTTGCATTGGCATACTTGATGGTAGAAATTTTGGAAATTTGCTCGGTGGACAAGTTCTCAGTCAAAAAATCATTGATACTAATGGTATGAATTATTGAAAAGGTAGATAAGTCCCATTCAAGGATTTGACCTGAATAGTCGCAAGTCCATAAGGTGTTTGTGATTGTTGAGTAATGGATATCGGAGATCGATAAGTTGGTTGGGTTGATCAACTCGGATATGATCTCATTGGAAGATGGGGCGTAGATCTGGATGACTCCCGAGGCAGTTCCAATAGCAATGAATTCATTTTCAATTGAATTTGATAATGATGAAGATGAAGATGCATTGAAGAACCCCCACTCCATAGATGTAAGCTTGGAGTTAAGTTTAAATGCAGTGTTAAGAGATGACTGGGCTGAGTTGATCGACTGAACTCTTAATTTGTGCGAATCAAGCTCTACGATGGCCGATGCCAAGTATGTATTTGTAGGGTCATAAGCTGATTGTAACAAAGGAGATGATGATGACATTATGCAAAAGGGAAATTAAGTGAAAATTGTGTAAGTTACCTATGAATGAAATATGATAATAAGGAAAGTATGTGAACTATCGAATCTGCTGTAAGCGCTAAGTATATTGTCTCTGCCTGTAGGCTATTAATACGAAACTGTCTATGTAATGCTGCTTTTTATGATGAGCGGAGTGAGTCTAGGATTTCCTCTGTTTTAGTTTCCTCTACTATTACAATTATACAAGCAATACAGGATCTATCTGCAAATAAATACAACCTTGGTCTTCTCTGGACTATGACTTTTCAATGCTCACTTTGTTTTGTGAATTTGCAGTGATGAGATGTGCAACAAATTTTCTTTTTTTTTTTTGGTTTTATTTTTGGTTGATTTTTTCATGCACGAGCCAGTTTTGTGTAATTGAAGTGGGACTTTCCGTAGTGGAAGAGTTGGGGAACTCCAGTGTACTTAGTTCAAGTTTTACGTGGGAAAGATATTATCTGGCGAAATTGTCGTGTTTAAAGGAATTGCTAGGATTTGGAGGTTTTCATCCTTGGTTTATTTGAACTCAGCTCAGTGCAATGGCCCTCTTGGTGTAATCTGTCTCATCTCTGGAATTCAGTGAAGAGCGCAACTGTATGCAGTACGCCCTTTTGAAATACATAAAATGACATGAATCCGCACTGTTTCCACACAAAAGTTCAGATATCAAAATAACCATTTCAATTCACAACATCCGTTCAATTAGAGACCAGTAATTGGGAAGAAACGAATTATAGTAGTTTCCAATTCGAAAAAGAATCAACTGAATTAAGCTAATCTCTATTGGGGCTTTTATTTTGGATCATTAACGTTGCTCAAATTGACACTGAAATTGAAAACGGCCGATTGTTCCAATAGTTCCAATTGTTAGTAATAGCATATTTGTATACACGATCACAATTTTTTTTTTTTTTTCTAACTAGATTAAATAAACTGTTCACTTCACACAATGTCAGATTATCCAGGTGGCTCAGGAAGTGACGATCTCTCACTCCCCAAGGCAACAGTTCAAAAAATCATTAGCGAGATATTGCCCTCCGACATTGCCATTGCTAAGGAAGCTCGAGAAGCTATCACTGAATGCAGTATTGAATTTATCATGATTTTATCCACACAACTGAATGATATCGCAGAAAAGGAAGCTAAGAAGACAATTGCACCAGATCACGTTGTTAAGGCGTTGGAAGAATTGGGGTTCCAAAATTATCTTGAAATTGTGAATAAGATCTTGGATGAACATAAGGAATTATTAAAGGGGAAAGAAAAGAAGAATAACAAATTCCAGAACTCTGGTATGACTGAGGAAGAGTTATTGAGGAAGCAAGAGGAATTGTTCAAGAAATCTCGTGATCGCTTGCAAAACACTGGAAGTAGTGGAGAGGTAAAAGCAGAAAGTGATTGAACAAAGATAATCAAATATGTATAATAGATGTAATTTTAGAACTAAATAAATAAACAATGAAGCAGAAATGATGTAAGTTAAATAAAAGAAGTGAAAAATACTCACATTTCTACATATTTATGGATATACAAGCTTAAGTAATAAGTTTTCTTTATGCTATATTCGCATTCTATCATATATTATACACTACCTACTGTGGACCTCCTCATAAGAGGACCTATATACATCACTTTTTTAACCCAATACTAATTCGTATAATATCACTACAATATTGACACATATTAATGGTAGTCTCATGAGTGTTCTGACTGCTCCAATTAAGTTTATAAGTCTTAGTTTTATGGATGCGTTTTCTGTCTGTTGTATGCCAGAAAACTGATATTGTTGGTTACTCTGTAAGTTTGAGCTTGCGCCCCAACCTATTCTGTTCAAAAACCTATCTTCGCTGAGTACGGCCAATCCATTGACGGAAAGAATAACCACATACAAGAGCTTTCCTAATCCAAACATGCTGCTTACTCTCTTAAGTTTACTGTTATCGAGGGCACTGGTGGATTCTTCGCTGTCCTGTATTTTTTCTCTCTTGCTTTTTTTTTCGTTCTCTCGTTGTGTTTCCCGTCCTGCGTGCAGCGTGTGCCTGGATAGATCAAAAGTAGAGGGCCGGGCTCACAACGCGGAATATCAAAACATTCCCATTGACTGATTCAGAAGATTAGGATTGGGTACCATACTCGCAGGTTATTATCGTAATTTAAGGCTAATTTCACTCAGAATGCTTCGTCATGGCCGCCGGAAGGACTCTATAGAACAGTTCTTAGGATCCCAGCAACTTTTCCTCGAAAATGGTCTCTCCCAATTGAGATATATGATATTGATAGAAGGTCTTAATGTCCCTGAGGGCTACGAACTGTGCCCGTATAGAAGCTATGTATGGTCTATCTTATGTAGAGCTGCGCCCTTGGAAACAACTAAATATTGTCAATTGTTAAATTCTGCTTCGAAATCGCTCCCTAAAGCTACATACGACAAAATCAAGAACGATACGTTTAGAACGTTAATGAACGATTCCAGCTTCCACCTGAAGGTTCCTGAAGAAACATTAGTTAGAGTGCTCTCAGTGGCTGCTCTTACCGCTGAAAACAATAAGGTGGGTTATGTACAAGGAATGAACGTACTTCTAGCCCCCATTGCGTACACCTGCTACAAGAGTGAACCTCAAGCCTACGCCATATTCCACCATCTCATAACCAAGCAAATCCCGCTATACATAACTCCTAACTTAGATGGAGTTCATGTGGGCTTACTGCTTGTGGATGTCATTTTAAGTCTCATAGATCCTGTGCTAAGTAAATTCTTGGATTCAAAGTTTCTTAAGGCAGAAATTTATGCATTCCCTTCGGTCTTGACTCTTTGTGCTTGCACTCCTTCATTGAAATCGGTTCTTAAGCTCTGGGACTTTCTATTCGCCTATGGCACTCATATGAACATTTTATTTATAGTTGCCCAGTTAATTATAAACAGATCTGCATTACTTAAGTCACAGCAGCCAATGAAGATATTAAGAAACTTCCCTAACTTAGAAGAAAATGAAATCATTAAATTAAGTTTGAGTTTTATACCTGAGTTACCCAAACAGTTGTATTCATTAATTGTTAGACATGGCTATGATCCGAATGTGGGCAATGAGTTAAAAGAATTCATTTCAAGAGGGAGTTGATATACAAATGGTTATATATTATATATAAATCTAGCTCAACTCAACCAAACTCAACTCAACTAGAGTATTCCGTTCAAGTAATCTTGGTGGTTATGGAAAGCGCACAATACCGTTCTATCGTTGTACATCCTTCCTGAGAGTCCCATGATTGCATCTAATGCCATCTGCTCGTCTTGATATTCAACGTAAATTTTACCCAAACCTGGCTGGGAAAACTGGCTGATTCCTGGAGTGAAATCGTTTGCGGGTCGTGGAATCTTTATACTGACGACATCGCCGAATGTCTCGCACTCAAGTAAAATATCATGGTGAATGAATTTATAGTTGGAGTCCTCCACTAAATCCTTTGGAGTGATTAAATTTATTAATTCAATAACCTTCAGCTTCGGATGGTTTGTGACGTATTCGCCCTTTGCCAATGCCTTTAACGAATTGAAATCCATAGGACAGTCTTCAATCCCGGTCTTTCCTGGGATGACACATGAAAGGAATGCATTTAAAATAACTTTGGATTGACTTGATTTTAATTGCTCTATTACACTTTCAATTTTGGGAATTACTCTAATGGTGTTCTTATACATCGTAGGATCAAAAAAATATTCCACAAATCCTATCCCAAGAGATTTTCTGGTTCCAATCTCCCTCAATAACTGGAAACCTTTTATTTGATACTTGTCGGATAATTTTAATGCATCAATTATTTCCGTATCTGTAGCTTTTTCGTCAACTATAATAGTGATTTTCCTTGGATTATCAATTACTGTTTCCTCTATATTTGTAGTGTCAATCTCTTTGTATGGCGGTAAGCATTGAGTAACATATTCGCCGGGCCTGCTAATGACCAATTGAAGTTCCCCTTGATCTGTAACTCTATCTTGATCCCCATCATTATCACCATCGTCTTCATCTTCATCATCATCATCATCATCTTTCAACCCCTGCACAGGAATTGTAGAACCATTCAAAGATAAAATGATCGTTGCACAAACATTGTTGTTGAACTGAACTATTAAGTTCTTGTCATCCTTCGTTTTTCTTTTAGATTCAATATTATTCACCGATGTCTCTTGAACATCAATCTTGGCGAGAAATTTATTCAAGTAGTCGGCCACTTTCAAATGGTCTATTTTTTCAAAGTCAATATCTTTGACTACAACAATTTTGGCATTTCTTGAATCTAATGGGTCAATCTTATACGAATCATAGAATAGATCGGTTTTGGAGCTATTGATGGAGTCCTCCAATTTCGTGAAATCAACCGGTCTAGGGTAACCTGGAAGTGGGAATAATCCTGAAAGTTTTGCTCTCTGTACTGTAACCTTTTCAAAGCCCTTCGGCTTGACTCCCCATTGAGAATCGATAATTTTAACTTCGTCAATGCTTTGGACCTTGTTCATATATGACAATTTTTTAAGGTATCTAGATATAAGCTCTTCCTTGGAATACTCGGGGGTATTGGACTGAACATCATTTTTAGATGGTGCTTGTTGATAGTGCTGCAGTGACTGTGGTGATGCTTGATGCTGCAGGTATTCCATTTGGCTTTGAGAGGGCGAGTAGTAGTCTCCCAGTGGTGTCCCCTCTCTACTCCTATGCGGTCCAGATGGCATGTAATTTCTGTTTTGTCTGGGTTGATATGTATTACGAGGATCTCTATCTCTATCCATTGGCCTTATTCTGCCTCTATCTCTAGGCTCACCGTAATCATTCCTTCGGTAATTATTATATTGCCTGTTATCTCGCCCATCTCTCTGTCTGTAGTTGCGTTGATCTCTACGTCTATCACTGCCTCCGCTTGCATTGTCATTGGCATCACTTTCTCTTCTTGGATTGTAGTCATCGTATCTTCCAGGCCTATCGCTTCTTCCATCTCTTCGACTACTTACGCCATTTCCACTTCGCGAGCTATGATCTATTTTAATATTGTTAGTACGTCTAATTGTAAGTTAATAAGTTAATTCCCACTCTACATACCTTCTCCGTAGTTCATTATACTTCTTCAAAACTAAAATGCTGTACTTCTTTGCAGATGCTTTCCATCCACTGCCTCTTCACCTCTAAAATAATTTTCATACTGTACAAATCGACTTTCCATATTGGTAATCACACGCCCCACTGCATGGATTGCAGCATGTTCTTATTCTGAAGGTCAGGCTATTGCAATGACCAAGCAAGGTGCTCAGGTCCCTAACTGGAAAGCATTTTAAGTTAGAGGAATGGTGTAGTAGTTTGCATGATGGCTCTAATAAAAAGCTCAATATTATTTTTTAGGTCGAGCACATAAAGCTACAGCATAATAAACTGGATAGTTCCACAATAAAATTCCTTTGCTTTCTACTTGTGTATTAAATATAGTTTTATATAAGGTTTACTTTATAAGATTATTAGCCCACCTTATAACTCATCATGAGGAGCTTCAGATTTAGTAGCTTTTGATTCATCTTCTTCGATTACTGTTGAAGATCCGCTTCCGTCTTCCTCTACTTCTTCTACTCTTTCAAACACTTCCTCGTCAACTACTTCTGTATCTTCTTCCCCTGCTTTCTTTTCTGCTTTTTCATCCTTCTTTATCTTTGCCGCTTCTTCTCTCAACTTTTCTCTATACTCCTTTTGTGCCTTTCTCTCTAATAAAGTCTTTAACTTTTGTTCAAATAAAGTAATTCTATCTTTGTGTGCTTCTTCCACCTTTACAACATCACCCAACATTTCAAAAATCTTCAGAGAAATATCATCGTAAATTTCCCAAACTTCATCTCTGGAAAGTCTGTTAAACTTTGCAATATCCAAGTCGATAATGTCTCCCAATTTGGTTAGTTGTTCTTTGTATTGACCAAGGGTCTTATCTAAGCTCATCAATTTATCTGGACCACCTGATTTGCCCAACAATTGCAACTTAATTCTATCGTTCTCTTTATCGAAATTAAATCCTTCATCTTCAAATTTCTGTCTCATTTCATTGATTTCAGTACCAAATTCAATTAAGTAGCCTTGAATGGACATAATAACTTGACTACCTTCCTCATAAATTTTCTTTAATCCGTCAATTGTTAAATCAGTCTTTGAAATCTGAATGATTTTATCCAATTCCTTCTTCTTCTCATTGATTTCTTTGATTTTCAACTTGAAGTGGTCAAGGGTAGATCCACTGCTTTCAAATTCGAGCCATTCGATAACATCACCAACGAAAGCAGTGTAATCGGATAAGCTAGTTATTTCCTTTTCCAACAATTCTTCGTTATCTTCAAGGTATGAGCGGAATTCATAGCATTGACCCTCGAGAATATTCTTAACAGAATCAATTTCAAGTCTGGTCTCATCACGAGAATTCCAGTGAGATAATCTTTTAGAAATTCTTTCCTTTTTAGTTGAAGATAAAGGTTTGATTTGAGAGTACACTGGCTTTGTGATACTTATAGTAATAGGTCTTGGTTGGATTGGCAACTTTGCCTTTGGCTTTGATTTCTTAGTTGTTGAATTGGATGAATTGCTTCCGTTTCCTTCAGCAGCACTTGCAGTTTCACTTTCGACAGTTTCGTCCTCTTCAACCTCATCTTCTACTTCTTCTTCTTCTTCTTCAGTGTCCTTCTTCAACAAATTCTTGATGAAATTGGATGATTTCTTTTGTTTCTCTGGGGTAATACATTCAATTTCAAGCTTACTTAAGTCAAAGATCTTGTTGTTATCCAAACTGAATGTACCAACAATTTGCTTAAGATCCTTCTTATTCTTACATTTCAATTTTTCACCCTTCTTACTAAGGTCATCAATAGGGTAAGTCTTGATTAAGTGGCCATCTTCATATAATGTAATGTCAAGGGTTTCAGTATCCGAAAGATTTGCAAGAGCTACCTTAGTGTCGTTCCCTATTAAAGAACCCCTTGGAAAGACCACTGTTTGTTCGTCATTACTGTTCAATCCAAATTCATAACTGTGGAATGCTTTGTCAAAAACCTTAATGTCCTTTGCCTTCTCTAAATGAGTCTTTAGCTTGAAGCCTCTAATTGTTGTTCCAATTGCACAACTTTCATCTGCATTAACATTCTTGGAGATTTGTTCCTCGTTCAACAAAGTGAATAAATGCTTTTGAACGAAAGGAACTCTAGTGGAACCTCCAGCTAAAACTACAGACTTGACGTCAGCGATTGAGTTCACCCCAGCTACACCCTTGATTGCATTTAAAATTGGTTGGGTGATCCTTCTAGATAAATCACTATTGATTTCTTCGAAAGCTTCTCTAGAGATAGATGTCTTAAAGTCCTTTTCCTTGTAGATGGATTCTAAGGAAACTTGGTATTCCGCGTTTACAGAGAGAACTAATTTCGCCTTTTCAGCTGCTTCCAAGATTCTTGCTTCTATTTTAGGAGTGACTTCCTTATTGTTGTTATGCAGTAATTTGAAGTGTTCCAAGAACTTTTCCTTGATAAGAGAATAAATTGAGTTGGTAAGCAATTGACCACCAAATGTTTCATCGTATCCAACGTTCTCCAATTCCAAATGAATAGTGCCATTTTTGAATGGGACGAACAGGAAAAGGGTAGCCTTTGTAGAACCAGCACCCATGTCATAGATCATATGGTATTCTCTTTCACCAGTCAATTCATCTGGATTTGTGAACTTTTTGTTGGAAAGAAAATTCAAGGCAACAGCAGTTCCGTCATCAATGAGGCCCAAAACACTAGTGAAATTTGCCAATTCCAAGATGTCCAAGTAAGACTGTCTGACTTGCTGGCTTGCAAATGGTGGAATTGAAATAGCAACATCAAGAATAGTCTTCTTGTTCCTAGAAGAAGAGGTTAAGGACAGCTCTTCAATGTCAGAAATGGCTCTTTCTCTCAAGTTGTTCAAAGACATTGCTACGATTTCTTCTGCAGTGAAGTATTCATCCTGAATCCCAACATCGATTAAGGTAGAGCCCAGTCTGCTTTCGTCAGAGGAAAGGCCAACAAAGTGCAGTTGAGCATATTCAGTGGTGGCAAGGTCGGAGAATGACTTACCTAAAATAGACTTCAAATGTAAGATACACGACTGAGGGAATCTAGTGCAAAGTGAGCCAGTAGCTGATCCATAAACTCTTTCCAATTCGTCCTTACTCTCAGGATGTGGGCGGATCGAAAGTCCTGAAAGATCTTTACGCTTACCTTCATCGGTCAATACAAGTTCAAATTGAATACCAGGTGCAAGTAAGACAGCCTTTGTAAACTGCTGTCCAAAATCAATTCCCAATATGGCAGCAGTAGCTACCGCAATTATATAAAGGATGAAGAATCTCATTTGGAAACCCGATATCTCTTTAATATAACAATAAAAACTAAATGAAATTGCTTTAAAAGCCTTAAATTTGAAACTTGATTTGTAAAGTATGGGGAACTATTCAGCTATGTGTACAACTCACGAGTCTATTTTTCATTTTTCAGATCTGCCATGGTCGCAATTTTTGTGAACACAGTGTATAGAACGCAGTGTGTATAGAGCACTTATGGAACTTTCTACAAATTTCTCAAAGAAGCAATGGGTACTGGACTCTGTGCGGCATGTGCTAGTGTGTGCTGCGAGGTACTGTATAAGGTAAGGTCTGGTTCTGGCAAATAGGTGTCTAAAGACCGCAGTGAGCATCTTGAGGATGCGAAGGATACGACTGAGAGTGGTGTAGATAGTATGAGTAAGCAGTGGTGTTAACAAGGCACTGGCGCTGGTCCTGGGCATTGTGAGCTGTTCGATGAGAAAGGGACTTCTTGGGATCTGTCCTGGAACGGCTGTATGAGAGCCAACTCTGGAACCAAGAGAGTGAGACTGAGCACACCAGTGTATGTAGTATGCAGGTCGTGAGAGTATACATACAGTAGGCGCCAAGAGCAGCTGCCCATAGAGGAACCAGTTAAGTCTAGTGTAGTGTGAATGTAGAGTGTGACCTTCTACGATGATATAAAGAAGGTAGGCGAATCAGTGCACCTATTTTTGTTCGAGTAACAACATTCTTGTGTGGATACTTTCACCACTTTCGTTGTCAAGAACGCCCTTTACTGGGTGCAACTGCTAGATCTGCTAGCTGCCATTTCCACTGCTGTAGCTACAGCAGTTGACTGGGAAGGCTCAATAGAAGATATACACTCAGCCACGGTGCCGGCCCATTATTTGATTACTTTTTCCATTCTACTTGCTTATCGTGCTGAAAATATTTACCTATTCTAAGTTACACACTAGTCAACCCCAGAGATAAGGACCGACTACCAAAGCTGCAAAAAACGTATTTTCTATTCCGTTTTTTATTTTTCAGTGTTCTTTTTTTTTTATTTTTTTTTTTTTTATTTTTTTCCCATGATACTCGGCCTGCCGCGGAGATACTTCCTACTAATCCTACTCAGTCTCCCCGTTGGTTAATCTCATGGTGTACGACCTGCAACAGTGTCTATATAAGTGCGCCATACAGCTCTCAAAATAGAAAAATAGCGGGTGAAGAAAACCAAGTCACTCATCTACACTGTACTCACGTACCCCCATCACTATATTATATATTTTGTAATACTGGTTCCCAGCAATTTACAATCGGTTCCCATCTCAGCTAAATCTAGAAAGGAAAAATTTCACGGCTTTTCTGTCTCAGTTGCCCTTCATCATTGAATCATAGAGAAGAAAAAATTGGTGCATAAGATTTTAATTTTTTTTTTTTTTCCATCCTTTGTTATTTGACCTCATCGAATTTAAAGCAATAGGCTCACGTTAACTGCTTCTCTTCTCGCTTCCACCGACTTCAGTACACGACTTTGATACAATATGGACTCCGCTGAAGTTGAAGCATCTAAGATGTACATCTCGTACAACAATATACATCAGCTATGCCAGGAATCTGCAGACAAGATAAAGGCATTCAAGCCTGACCTTATTATAGCCATCGGTGGTGGTGGTTTCATACCAGCTAGAATGTTGCGTACCTTCCTTAAGGAACCTGGTCAATCCAACGTTCGTATAATGGCCATCATTCTTTCCCTTTACGAAGACATCGGAACTGTTGGATCTCAGGTGGAAGCCGTTGGAACCAAGGTTGTTAGAACACAGTGGATTGACTACGCTCAATCCCAAGTTGACTTGGTTGGTAAGAACATCTTGATTATCGATGAAGTTGATGACACCAGAACCACCTTACACTATGCCGTTTCTGAATTGAAAAAGGATGTTGTTGAGCAATCTTTGGCCAAGGGTGTCGACCCAGCCTCCACCAAGTTTGGTATCTTTGTCTTGCATGACAAGGTAAAGCCAAAGAGAGCCGATCTTCCTGATGAAATAATGAAGACAGGTAATTACTTTGCTGCTAGAACTGTCCCAGATTGTTGGATTGCTTACCCATGGGAGTCCACTGACATTGTTTACCATACAAAGAGAGCCATGGAGCAAGGTAACGATGTTTTCATCGCTTCTACAACTATATAAAGGTGTGCAGCATGAGACATCGAACCATAAACATAATAGATAATTACAATATATATAACATGTACTTTTTTTTTTAATAAAAGAAAAGAAAAGAATCCCTAACCTAATCTAATCTAATCTATCTCTATGTAATCATCTGGACTTCTAGAGTGATTTTTCAATGGAGTATGTGCTGTGTTCTTATCTTTTCTCTTCTTACTCTGTCTGAGAGACTGGCCGCTTCCGCTAAATGCATTGGCATTACTTTCGCTATTAGTGGTATCCTTCTCCTCTTCGTCTGTTTCCTCAGGGGTGGGCAATATCACTGGGAATCCAAAGAAAAGTTGGTTTTCAGGTAACTTTAAAGGCACTGGAGGCGCATCTGGGTCCAAATCATCAATGTTGAAACTTTTCTTTGTGCTATCCGCGACCTCACTGGCCTTCTTCTTATTAGTTAACCTATTCCCATCTCCCTTAAATGTATTTACAGTGTTACTTTCCGCGACAAGTTTGGCATAGTCTATGGATTTTGCCATGGTACCTGCACCTATACCTCGGTTGACACTAGATGGAGTAATGGCGTTGGTTGAACTTGGAGCGACTACCTTGGGCTTATATTCTGGTTCTACATACCCCACTGGTGGTGCAAAATCCGTCTCTAAATCCGTTTCCACCACACAAATACCCTTGTTGTTTGACTCAGGCTTCACTTCAAGCACTTTGATCCCATAGATCGAATCATTGTAGTTCACTTCAATTATATCATTAACAGTTAACGTGGAGAACTTCCTCAATACATTTTCCAAAACAGCTTTTGGATCTGATATATCCAAGAAATCGACCGACTGTGGTTCTATTTTGACAAAGTTACCCAATGGAATGTCACAAGATGAAATCTTCAAAAGCAGCCCAACTGATAACTCTAGTGTAGTCATCATCCACTGTGGCAAATACGCTCTCCCCTCTTCGGCTACAAACTCCAAGACACCACTGTGTGTTGTTTTCGAATTAGACTCATTCACTAATTCGAAAAGCATTGGGTACCTTATGTGAAGCATAGTAAGTTTATTAAGTGCAGATGGTGGAAGGAAGATTTTCCCTCCATAGTTTGAATCGTCTTTTCTAGTACTATCTGGCATCATGGCTACTGGGTAGCAGCGGAAGTAATCTTCGAAAGTTGAAGGCATTGGCGAGCCCCCGAAGGATCCTCCAAATCCAAATCCAGAAAACATATCAAAATGTGTATAGTATTAGGTAAAGATCACTGGATCCTGATGGCAATTTCGCTTTCGTTTAAGCGTTTCTCCCTTGGGATGGGAATAAAATGAGATTGATGGTGGACTGCACATAGTGCTGGCTGAGTGGTTGCTTTAGAAATGCAGAGCGGAATGGTTGCAAATTGTCAGAAGATCGAACAAACGATTACAAATGTATTTTTAATTCATTTATTGTGTCTTAGCAGTTCTATCTATGACGTTTGTGTTCATACAAATCTTTTCACTCTACAGTGATTGTGAAGTACTGGTAAGGATCCCACTTAAAATTAGATCTTCTGTGGTGATCTCTAAAGTGTCTGAGGTAGCCACTCAATGGCTTGTCCAATGTTGATTTTGAGCACTCTGTTTCAATAATATCATGGCAAACTGGGCATACGACTCCATTCTTACTTGCCAAGTGAGCGACTGTTTTTCTTTTTTCGATATTCTTGTCCTTCGAGAGCTTGTAAACCCCGTAATGCGAAGGGTTAGGTGTCAAATAATTATCGGTGTGGATTCCATGCCATAACGCTAGATGCTGCGAGTAGGTTGATGTCTTAAAGTTCCTAAACTTTAAGTCAGGGCAGTAGGGACACAATCCACATCTTGTTTCATTAAAAGGAAGTTCAGTTGTAGTATCGACTTCATAGCTGATAAATTCAGGCTCGTATGGCCGATCTAATCCAAAACAAGGATTTTTCTCATATCGAACATTGTGATACAATGAGGCAAGGCTCGAAAGATCGCTCCGAATGTACCTTGTTCTCTTGATTTGAGTGATACGATTATTATCACTAGTTTTAAATCTAATTACCTTATTTCTGACCAATTCTTCAATTGGCATAGGAGGTTTGACGTATGCAAAGTTTCTAAGATTGTTTGTTTGTACGATCAAGTTGTCAAGCTTAACTTTTGAGTAATCTAAAGGAATTCTTTTTTGTTCATTGTAGCTACCACGGCGCAGCTTAACTTTACCAATTGCATGCATTCTCTTTGGAGGAGAATGGCTCTGGTTTGGTGACCTTTTAATTGCATTCGGGATTGGATCTGCTGGTGGTAATACAGAGGGAGTACTTGCTACTCCAGCACAAAATCTAGTCAGCTCAATCTCAGGCTCCCGCTTCAAATTACCTTCTCTTTCCAAAGCTGGTTCGTGCTCCATTGTAAAACGTTCGTCAAGTAAATCACCACTTCCAGTAGGATAGTTCCACAAATTATTAATATTGGAACCGATACTGGGAAAATCGACTGGAAAGTTACTGCAAAGGGTAGATTCGTCAACATCAGCCTGGCTCTTCGAAAAGTTAAAAATATCCTCCATTCCTGGAAAAGCAGTGAACTCAAAGTCGGTAAAATCTAGTTCTAGTTCATTTTGGAAGCCTTGAGCCTCAGATTCTCCTTTAAGTGGTTTCGTAAAATCAGAAACACTTTCTACCTGTGCCTTTGGAATGAGATCGTTGAATTCTATGCCAGTCTCTGCTTCGAGGAACTTGAAGAAATGTTGGTGTGAAGTTTCTTCAACTTCAGATTTATTTTCATTGAAGCAGGGAACATGATCTGCAGTTTGATCACTATCAAAATTGACAGTGGATTCATCCCAACTGATATTAAATTGCTTATCCTGGAAGATTTTCAAATCTGAATACTTGATGTTTGGATCAAAGGAAGGTACAGAAGTTGAAATCTCATCACCGTTCAAGGTTTCGGAGCTAAAGTTGGAATTATTTGTACTTTCAACAGACAAATCAATTATTTTGTCTGGACCCTCGAAGGAGTAGAAAGTCGACTTTGGACTTAGCAATGATTTGAAATAGTGATCAAATGGATCTTCTGCAAAGTTAAGATCATTTAGATCCTCATAGTTGAGTAGATCGCTTGGAACGAATGCGCTTTTGCTCATTGCTCTTGTATGTGGATTAAAATGTAAGTAGAAGTTTGATCACTTCAAGGATAAATTCACATTTTATATATTAGAGTTACATTTCTTGATCTGCTATTATTGTTGTTTGATTTTTAGTATTTCCAGTAGGTTTTGCTTCTCTTAGATTAACTCGATACATCTAGGAAATGGGTGCAAATCGAAATGCGATTTATTAAGTAATTTGTGCGATTGCAACCTAAAAGTTCTCAATTCAGATCGCATAGTTACCAGATCTGTGTTTACCTTACGGCTGAACCTAGATATCAAATCAAAGTGGGAAGAACAAATTTTTTTTGACGTGAGGTATATCCTTTTAGGGAACTTTTATCGAAATCATACAATACAGTCACTTTTTATACTTTCTATATAAATGCAAGTGAAAAGAAGTTAATATGCCTACCATTCATTCCTTTATTATTTGATCTACTAAATCTAATACTTTTTACTCCGCACCTCCGCCTGATTTTGTTCACTTTGTGATTTTTGTGTATAAATATAAATAATTCTACTGTTGTTGTTGTTGTCTTTGTTGTTGACTAATTTGGATGATTTTGCCAATAATATCAACTTGATTTGCATCCAAGCCTCCAAAGATAGCTTGATATTTATTAGCATCTTGTTGCAACGACAAGATCTTTTGAGAGAATACTTCGAAGACATGTACTCCATCAATAGGAGTTTGCTTCAAGGCTTCCAATTCGGCCTCATCGACTTCAAAATCTTCATATACTTCTTCTTCTTCGCCTTCCTCATCCCCATCATTGTTAAATTGTCTAACACTATTTTCCTTTGCTAAAATTTCTTGCCTGGCTCTGATGGCATGTGGTAAAACTTCCAAGTTGGAAATCAACAATTCAGCAGATTCAGGTAAAATATCCTGCAGCTGTTCAAAGATATTTAAGTTTGTAGCGTCACACAAGATGGCTAAACCTGCTAAAATCTGTAATTTACAACCATAGACACTCTGGAATGAATCTGAATGCTTAAACCACAATTGGAAGAATGGAGCAATAAAATTTTTCTCTTGTAAAAAGTTTAAGGTTAAAGTTGGTTCAATGTACAAGGTACTGAAAAAGATCTTCAAAACTGATAAATGGTGCAACATGTGACCATCAAAGGCATCTTGATTTTCCAAGAATTGAAAGACATCAAAAATTTCAGGTAAAAATCTTGTCAAAAATGGAACAAACCTTGTATTCATACTCAATACTGTCATTTCGATCAATTCAAAGGCGCAATCGGCGAAATTAGGGTCGACTTCCTCTGATTTCAAAATATTGAAACAGACACCAATCAATGATTGAACGTGAGGAGACTCAATGGTTTCCTCATTCTTACTAAACCCGTGATTAATTACTGTTTCAAAGAATGGTTGGAAAGTATCAAAGTATTCCAATGCGTATGTCTCAAACGAATCAATGCATGATTGGTATAATTCCCACATGATTGGAGATAACTGCTCTGTTGAGTACACAATCGATTCTAAAATCTCAACGGTCTCAGGTAAAAATGTTACCATGGCATTTTCCAATACAAATTTGATCATTTCTTTTAAAACTGGCTCTAATGAAGATGCTACCTGTGTGGATGTATTCATAGCAATAACCAAAGTGGTTAAAGTGTTTAATAACCCTTCTGCTTGGTATTCCTTTTCAATATCAGTATTGTTTGTTGCTTGCAAGTCCAAAAGTTGACTTGCAATCTGAATAAATTGTTCACTTAATCTCAGAGCCAATTCATATGCGTATGGTTCTAAGTTCTTTGCGAATTTTTCAACAAATGCCTCCATAACAGAGGTCAAAATATCACTTTCAAACTTCTTCGACATATCCAATAATGTTCCCATTAATTGAGGAGCCTGGTCAGCAATGTGCTCAGCAACTAAATCTTCTTCAACCAACGTTCTTAATGCATCCACTGCGGTAAGTTGGATTGGTAATTGATCCTGAGTTTGAAAGCATCTAACAATTCCTTGAAAAATATCTTGAAGAATTTGTTGATCAGTGTATTTATGGGTAAATAATGCAATGGTGCCACAGGCTCTTGCAGTTAAAAATGGAGTTGATGATATAGTCTCTGGCAGTAATTCAGGAAAGACAAAAGTTTGCAAAATTTGGTCAACCTTACCGTATACTGGAGAAAACTTTTTATCCAACTTGTAGCCCAAAGTAGATAAGACTCTAAGTGCACCTTCCACTTCCATAGCAGTCTGAAGATCATCTTTGCCTGCTTGTGCTCTCCTGCTCATGATATCGTTGATTATGGTCAATAAAATGTTAATGGTTGACTTGAACTTCTTAGATGATAATCTGTAAAGGAAGTTGATGGATGCTACGTCAGATGTATTACTTTCTCTATTGACGTCAAAGTATCTTCTGATGTATTCTTCTGGCTCATCTTCATACATCTCCACAGTTTCCTTAGTAGCCGATAATGTTGGTAACAATACGTGCTGGACGATTGCTTCAAGCTTTTCTTCAATCAATGGCCATGCTGGAGTCTCTATCAATTGTTCCAAAAACAAAATCATACGATACAAGGAAGCCTCACTTAACCAGATCTTCTTTTGAGACCAATTTTCAATAATGGACCAATAAACATTTAAAATTTGAGGGACAAATTGAGTAACAAACTTAGAAGCAAATTCACTATTCTTGTCCATAGTGGAATATCCACCACCATGACGGGCCAAAAGTCTATGTAAATTTCCAAAACACCACTTAACTGTTTTGATACGAGGGTTGGCGGATCTAAGTTCAATAGATTCCTCTTGCATTACTGACTTGGGTAATGGCTTATTTATTATCAAAATGTGATAATGGCACCAATTGCCCAATTTGGATTCGTCTTGTGTAAAATAGCTTGGTAAAGTTGAAAAGGTTATGAATTTGAAGATTTTGACAATCAAATAAAGTAATTCATCGCCAACTGCCACTGCAGCGTCATCGGTTTCGTCAATTAGTTTACTTACCAATGGTTCCAAGATCGGGAAGAGTTCAGTGGTTATATCCTCGAACACAGGGTTAGTACCAGTCCCAGTTTCCAAAGACATCCAACGGTAATTCTTGGAATATTCATAGAGACACAACAACCCAGTGTACAAGTGATCGATGTTCGATTGATCGGAAATCAAGCTCTTGATCACACTTAACAATTCTTCCCATTTTTCAGCATTTAACACCTTTTGAATGGAAGTGGTCAACTGTAATCTTAATTGGGGTAATCTATAAGTTTGCATTAAGGTTTGGACAAGTTTTTCCTTGATGGCAGGTTTTTCAAAGTCTTGGATAAACGCAACATTGACCTTATCTTCAGGCTTTAACCAGTGGTTTGATATTCTGTTCTTGAAGAAGATGGCTGCCGATATCTGGATCCCCAATTGGACGTTTGGCTCCAAGATGAGATCGAGTAAGTATGCTGTGAATCCAGGTTGCTTTTCAAACTGGTGCAATTGTTGTTCAGACTCCTTTCTGGTCTGAGGGTTTGCATCCAAGGTGCCCGCAAGGGACTTGAGAAGAGTATCTCTATCCATAATTTTAATGTTCACTTCGCTTTTTTCTGCTACCTGAAGTTAGAGAACTCACCTGATGTACTACAAATGTCAAATATAAGGCCAAGTTAAGGTGTAAGTGAAAAAAAAATCAGAAAAGAGAAAAACTGTTGGTTCTTTTTTTGATTAGACCAGAATGAATTTTGGAACGTAGTGTAAAAAAAAAAAAAAAAAAAAAAAAAAAAAAAAAAAATTTTTAATTCGGATTTTGTTTTTGGATTAAATTTTTATAAAAATTAAGGTAATAGAAAAAGATAAAATTGTGTAATAATTGAAAATTTTGTT